CGGCACGGCGCGCGAGGGTTTTCTTGCAGGCGTCGATCAGAAGGGGGTCCGAAAGCGTGATTTGGGAGCCGGGATAGAGGGCCCACAGGTGGGAGATGTGTCTGTGGCCGGGCTCGGCTTCTTCGTAGTCTTCTAGCCATTCCTGCAGCTGCCCGTGACGCCCGATGCGTAATGGTGGGAATTGGTTGCGGAGAGTCGTTACACGGTTCCTGAGGGGCTCGTCTTCTTCATTGCATAGGATTGAAGCAGCTGCGAGGAAGTCCCCGAATAGGCTATGGAGTATTTCGGAATCCATGGTGGGACCGATGCACATACAACCTTCTTCCCCATTCGGGAGCCTGTACACATTCTCTGGCGACAATGAAGGGTTGGTGACCATATAGCCATCCTTTTCCACCAGGAAATCGCAGAAGAATTCCACGCTACCGCGCAGGACATCATATGCCTCTGCCAGGAAAGCCTTGTCGCCAGAAAATTCATAATGCTGCCATATATGAGTAGAGAGCCACGCACCACCCATTGGCCAAAGTGTAGCAGGAATCCATCTATCTTGCGGTGCTGAGTCTGCCCAGAGGTCGGTATTGTGGTGCGCAACCCAGCCACGACAGTCATACATCTTACGTGCCGTTACTTTGCCATTCTGTTGCAGCCGTTTCATATGAGCGAACAGTGGCTCGTGACATTCGGATAAGTTGCATGTCTCGGCGAGCCAATAGTTCATCTCAGTGTTAATGTTGATGGTGAATTTGGAGCCCCATGGAGGGCTCATACTCTCGTTCCAGATACCTTGAAGCGTGCCAGGCAGTGCTTTGAGCCCCGGCCGACTCGAGGAGATTAGTAGATATCGTCCATATTGGTAATACAAAGCAACGAGACCCAAATCGAGAGTCCCTGATTTTACTAATGCTAACCTTTCGCTGGTGGATTGTGATGTTGCGAGATTCTGCGACTCGTCACTTCCAAGGCGGAAGTCAACGCGGGAGAATAAGGATTGATAATCCTTTACATGACGAGTCCTCAGCTGGTCATATCCCCTTGGAATGGCTTTCTCGACTAGTTGTAGACAGGTAGCTTCAGGGTCGTTGTGGCGGAATGTGGTTTCTGCAGCAATTATGATGGACGCCTCATTTGCGTCTCTTACAACAATCGTCTCCCCGATACTCTCGATACTCCCTATAAACATAAGTATCCGATCAAAAGCTCTAATGGAATAAACTAACCTCCTTCTATTATCACTGTTGCAACGAGGCAAAACTGTACGCCATTGCCTCCGGTCTGTCCTTTCATTATAAGGGTGGTACCAACAACTCTGATAGAGTCCATATAAACATTGGTATCGAGGCCGCGGAATAGTCTCATATCGAACGACACCATGCCAGGATGTGAAGCCGAGAACTTTGCTGCTATGACACCGTCGAGGTAACTAGACAAGGACTCTCGACGATAGCACACCCCGTCTATCTCGTAAGAAACCCCGGCCACGGCATCATTCAAATCCAAGTGGCGGCGATAATTCGTCACCTGATCCTTCAGATGCAGAAAGGTGAGGTTGATATGGCCAAGGGGCTCATAGTGGCGTTGAGATTCCGGCATACCAATGAATGCCTTACCCACGAGATCCTCTGCCTGCTTAAGGAGACCCTCATTGAGTAGTCTTCTCAATTCTGGAAGATATTTTAACGCATCTTTGGGATTACGATCGGTCGCGCAACCATACCAGACCGAATCCTCATTTAGTTGCCATCGTTCCTGTTGTATCTCGCCATATATCATGGCTCCTAATCTTCCGTTGCCGATAGGCAGTGCATCTGGCCATTTTGACGCAGGCGCCTTGTACCATAGTCGAAGGGCTTCAGTCATGCCGGATGGCTAGACGTGAAAATCAAATAAAAGCAAAATACATCAGCTGAGTGAAGAGATCGAAGATTTTCATCTCATATTCTAGATGCTAATTACCGTCGGATATTTGCGATCGCTATTTTAGGTGGAGACGCAAAAAGGGACGCTTGCGCCATGCATATGCATGGAAGAATGTGGTCTATTAAAGATATCTTCTTCGTTATGAAGAGTAGTCGCGGTGTGGCTCTAGGTGAGAGATATACATAACTTATTCAATCGTCCTTCACAAATGTAGCACTACGCATCGCCTTATTTGCATTATGCGGCATCAGTCTACTACATTAATACTGATTGCTCAAGCTAATAAACCCTTCCCATCTTTTGTCCATTGGAACATTGATAGTAGCTCGCGACGTCGACTTTTATGCTGCTCATGATCCACAGTCGTCGTACCGCGGACATTGTTTAGCGCTGATCGAAGAACTTTTCGGAAATTCCTCTGAGCACAATGTTAGACATGGTGTATTTGATCATCTCACGCGTACAAGCCGCCTGCTGAGAATCGACTAAACATTGAGACGTTTCACTTACTTGGTATTCCGTATTTAGCGTTGTAATGCAAATTTCATGAGCCCTAATGATAGTTTCACAGGCCTCAATGACAGCGTCACTTGTTGACATATCCATCCTATCCGCAAAGATAAGCAAAATAAAGCTCCCATGTAGCAGGTATATGCCAAATAGATATGGCATAAAGCTCAGCTCGGGATCTAAGCACATGATCTCCGACACAGCCGTTGCAGCAGATATTGCATGAGTGGCGCACTTGAAGAAACTGTCAGGTGTGACCCATTGTTCCATACCATCATCTAGCATAGTCATTGGATCCCAACAGCCATGTAGGAGAATGTGCAAAACATGAACCAAATGCTTGCTGTACGCAATAACAAGTTTCTGCCGTGTACGCTCGACGGACCAGTCTTGGCTATCGCCCACCTGGCCAAAAGTCGCATGGGAAGACCGAAAATGCTCCACATGGAACATTGATGACTCTTCAAATGATCTGAGAGATGCTTCATAAGTATTAAGCGAACTTTCAACTTGCGCAATTGCCGGCCCGAGGTCCAGTAGACCAAAGCGTGGATGGCAGGTGAGGTGATGAACTTCCACGACGTCTCCAAGGATGCTCATCAACGGAAGGAAATACTCGAAGAATCCAACGCCCGTAATAGTTGTCGAAGGACTAAAAGAACGATGCAGGACCTCGTGCGGAAGCTTCAAGTCGAGGTCCTGCCAGGTCCTTTCGTCCAGTGGTTGGTATATATGGCACTCGGCATCAAGAATGCTGAGTCTGGCGTTAAAGGCGAGCGAAAGGTGCCGGTCGGTGATATAGAGCAACCACCACGTTCTGCGCCTTTCTTCTTTAGCCTCTTCCAACTCAAGAACTTTCTGTAGGGAATTGGATTGTTCTCCTTCAAACGCTTCTTGCGGGCCGTCTTTGCCATGCAACTTAACATCATCAACTTCTCTGTTCAATTCGAGCTTTTTGGCCAATGACCAAGCACTGGCCCACCACTTCGTGCTTTCTCTTTTGATATGTCCACCTGATACCACAGTTCCAATAAGAGTCAGAGTAAGTACGTCATCTACAGTTTCTACCCGTTCATCAGGTGTGTTATCAGAGCCTTTCCTTTCAGAGTGCTGACTCCTATCGCGGCTACTACATGCATGAGCCGCTGACTATGATCAGCTTGGGCATACCGTGCGCTACAGCGGCGTAGACTTACATGACGACCACGGGCGTTCTTCAAGGTCTTTCCCGTCTAATAATTCGAAGCAAACCCTCAAAAGCCGATCACAGATACTCGCTCTCACCCTGGCAGAAGTCTTGAAAAACTGTGCATCAGACGTTTGTGCTGTAACCCAAACTATTGCAGCCAAAAGTGCTGGCGAGGTCTTCCGCGGCCTATCCTTTCGAAGAAGCGATTTCTTCCGGATGATTTGTGTAAGTACATAAGGTGAAGAGCACTCGAAAAGAGAGTTGGAGGGTTCTGTGAAGTATATATCAAGGAGATTACAAAGTTCCTTGGTCGGAATAAAAGAACGAACGTATGGACTCAAAGACAGCAGCACTGGGTATCTGCAGCCTGTATCGGTTCGGTAAGCTTGCAGGTTATCATCTTGTGGAGTGAACCCGCTCGTGGACAGTCTTGTAGATGGCGAGCGCGGTGTACGAGCGTGCGACGTGGTATCTGGGCCATTCAGCCCAACAAGTGGTGAGAGGGGAGGTTGGTACGATGCTCGCGCTTGTAAATCGCTCATGGCTAGGTTCGACAAAGTGTTCACGACGGGCTGTTGTTGAAGGGGTGGTTGGTTGAGAGCTGGGGTTTGGGGGGCACCGACCACTCTGGTGAAAACCCGCAAGTTGTCATCGCTTGGCCATTCCTGATATGATGGATCCAGATCCAGTCCGCCAGTACCGCCTGTGACGGCTGGAAGCTGGTGTGTACTCAAGACATCGTGTGGAGAAACCTCGCCATATTGTCCGTTGGAATACGTGCCTATCTCATTCGGCCTTACTTGGTACACTTCTTGCGCCTCGGATTGATCAAAGGAGGTGTCGTGTTGGAATTGTTGGGAGGAATCCGGCGAAGCTGTAGTTGTTGGCTGATTCACAGCATCTATTTTACCGTTGGTGCTTGGTACATTCTCGGCCTCGCGGTAGTCAGGCTCATTGAGGCTTTGGTCTGTATCCTGATTTTGAGACGGGTGATCCTGTGTAACTGCTTCGAGTGAAGTCGTTTTAGCAACATTGGCTGTTCTTCCTCGTCTACGGCGAACTCTTGTGTAAGCACATACAAGATGGTACTCTAAAGCCACCAACAAGTCAGTTGGTGCGTGCAAGCCGATGGGCTATCAGAGTATCTCCTGTTCGGGGTCCACACCTTTGCAATGTCGGCTGGAATCCCAAGGAACATTAGTTAGCATGGTTACGGAGTAGGTGCTGCGTATAGCAACGTGACACTTATGAGTTCATGATGAGGCCTTACCACGGCGTGTGTCCATCACATCTTGTTCTCAAAGTGCTGCACTTGTCACAGGCACGCTGTATTCTTTTAAGCCGTCGTTGCGGCTGGGCTTCTGGTGTCAAGTCACAAGAGGCTCTGTCATCAACAGAGCCGCTCTGTTCCATACTATACGGTAGCCTCAGGCCTGACGAGGCTGACGATACAGTACCGGTACCCGAAAGGTGTAGAATTATTGACGAATGAGGGGTGTTTAGCTTTTTCGCATCTTCTGCCTCCACAGACATCGATATACAAATACCCGTCTCGTATTTTGGCGGGCCGGTAATTCGGGACTTCTCCGGTGCTTGGGCGGTCAACCCCGCCTCGTTCTTTCCCAAGGAAAGAGAACGAAAACCGAGCGGCAAGAGACGGTATCCTAATGGGATGGGATAGGGTGGATGAGATATCAGTTTGCAGTAGCACACCACCACATGGTACAGTCAGTACCCTGATTAGTGCGCATGTCGCATATCACATCTCAATTCGTACTTATATACACCTGGCTTTGGAAATGGTTTGTTCGTCGTCGTCTCTATTTTAGTGAGTACACGACCAGAAGAAATACACCATTGTAAGATAAGGTAGGCCAGACTGGGCTGGGCTGGGTTGGGTTGTGGAGGTGGGGTGGGTTTTATACCACGTGATTGACGGACCAACCGATTAGCTTAGTCATTACTCGTACTGGTACCAACAGGTACTGTACTTGATGTTATCGCATCGCAGCAACCATAGATCTTGGAGCAGGCCTATACTGATTATCACCTCCCCTCCACTGTGTAAGATTTCATCAGCTCAGCTCAAGGAAAACGTAATTCATATCTTCTAAAAGCTATCTAGTTCAAATAATGAGGGCCCAAATAGAACTACGCCTTTTTCGTGTGGCGCAACGAGGTGGTAAAGTCGAAAGGTTTAGCCTCCAGCCTGTATTGGGGAAGAGGGGGGGGGCCACAGCTTCCGGATCCAATTCCATGGTGATCATAGTCTAAATTCAAAAAGACTTCCTCCTCCCGCTGAAGCTCGTAGGGGTGTTTCGCCTCATCAAGCGTACGCAATGAGTAGTGTCCCGCACTAAAGCTGAACGGTGATTCCATGGCAGCCTCCAACACACCAGTTGTCTTCGACTGCAGTTTGACCCATCTCGTATCCATTCTGTTGCCATTCTCCTGCGGATACTCATAGTTGGTGAACAGACCATCAATGGAAGAAGTGTAGCGGCCAATCTTGTTGCCGTCGTTTTTGTCCTTGTAGGATTCCCCTTGGCCACGTCCGAACCATGTGCAAGAATCGAAACTGTTAGCAAGCGACATCTTGAGGCCTAATCGTGGCAGGTATTTGGGGTGGTTTCCGGAGAAGGAACCGGTGCTTCTAATGTCCACCCCCCAACCGTGTATCGTGTACGTCAATGAGGCATCAACAGCCCATTCGAGTATTGGCGGCGCGACGCGAACCCCTGCGGTGATGACAACGACGTCTCCCTGGTGTTTCCAGGTAACACTTCGCACGTACGTTTGTACTCGATGAAGCTCAAACTTGTTCCACTCATTTCCGTCACCGCCGAATCCGAGGTCATTCTGCGTAAGAGCACGGTTTATGCTCAGCTCAGGGCTTTGTTGGAAGATTGGATGGCCGTCTGACTCCCATGTGAGAGCTCCGCGGACCAAGTCAAAGGAGAACTTAGTACCTTCATCAGCACTTTCGATAACTAACAGAGTCTGTACTTGTTTGCAAGTCAATGCAGTCGGTGGTGGGGATGCGGCAAGATGAAGTTTCTCCAATCCTGATAGCTGTATCTGAGCTAGAGTGATGAGATGTCCCTTTTTCGCCCACCTGGTGTCATCTTTCAGACGAAAAGCCAAATTCAGCCACGCCTCGCTGCTGGCATTTATTTTTCCGATGGGTATATCAACAATGCGGGTCTCCCCTGCTGGGATCAACGGCAGGTCAACCTCAGTTGGTGTTGATGAGACATTATCTTGAAGAATTTCCCAGTAACACGAAAGGCGACTCAAGTCCACAAAATCGTAATGATTACGAACGTTAATTTTGCCGTCGACAAGGCTGACGGTGATAGGTGCAATGGCTTCCTTGTAATCGGAGAGGGCGGGAGTTGGCGAATGGTCTGAGAACACCAGCCCGTCCATAACGAAATCAGCGTCATTGGGTTCATCTCCAAAATCTCCCCCGTAAGCATAGAAGCTTTTACCATCCTTTTCAGTCAACAATCCGTGATTACACCATTCCCAGACGAACCCGCCCTGTAGCCGTTCTTCTGTCCTGAAGGCATTGATGTACTCTTTGAAGCTACCAGGGCTATTGCCCATCGCATGGGCGTACTCGCAAAGAACCAGGGGTCGATCTGGCTTATCATTGATAAATTTGATCATCTGATCGATTGTCGGGTACATGACGCTGTAAAGATCGGTACTCTCGCCCTCTCTGTCTCCCTCGTAATGGACGAGCCTGGTCGATCTGCTGCTTTGATCCATTCATACATACTCGCGCAGTTGCGCCCGTAAAACGCCTCATTACCTAGCGACCAGAGGATAATGGACGTGTGGTTCTTGAAGCGCTCAACAAGCTGAGTAGCCCTGTCGACATAGGCATCTCGCCATTCAGGATTGTCTGTAGTCCACTTGGCCGCAGCTTTGAAGACAACCTCCTGCAATTCAAGTCCCTCCAGAGTGGGATCAGTTATTTTCCCACGCTCGGGAGGGTCAAATCCATGGCATTCCAGATCTGCTTCGCCAATGAGATAAAATCCAAGCTCATCACAAACATCGTAAAATTGAGGGTCGTTGGGTTGATGAGACGTGCGGATAGCGTTGATGTTGTGCTGTTTCATCAATACCAGATCAGCTCTCATGGCTTCATATGGGACTGATCTCCCAAACAGGGGGTGATGCTCATGTCTGTTCACTCCGTAGAATATGATGGGTTTTCCGTTAACCAAAAACGTGCATCCACTGCTTTCGATCCGCCGGAATCCTACACGTTGACTAATGACGCGTTTGCCAAAGGATATCAGCACCTTGTACAAGTAAGGATCCTCTGCTGACCACAGATGTGGTTCCAAGGAGAATGAGATAGGCTCTTTTGAGTTTCCAATCTCTTCCTTTATGGTCTCGCCACCGGGAGCCAGCAATTTGACGTGCACCTCTCCTGCTTCGCCTTGAGTTTTCAATTTGATCTTCAAAAGCCCGTTCTTGTAACCATCATCGAGTATGGTCTCAAGTTTGTAGTCAATGATGCTACTGGCGAGGAACGGTATGAGGTAGACGTCGCGAAAAATACCGGAAAGCCACCATTGATCTTGACTCTCGATGTACGTGCCATCGCAGTACTTATATACTCGAACCGCAATGGAATTGGCTCCTGCTACCAAGAACGGCGTGATGTCAAATTCGGACGGGTTTCGGCTGCCTTGGCTATATCCTACCTCATGGCCGTTGATCCAAAGATGGAATGCACTATCCACACCTTCAAAACGTAATCTGATCTGCTGATTTTGCCACTCTGTAGGCAGGTGGAATTGGCGCCAGTACGAACCAGTCTCGTTCAAATAAGGAACGTTTGGTGGATCAACAGGGATAGGATAGTTCACATTCGTATATTGCGGTTTTCCATAGCCTTGAAGCTGCCACATTCCAGGAACCTTGATATCATCCCAAGCTGAGGGATTGGCCGTCTCCCATTCCGGAGCCTCGAAAGGAGAAGTGTCATGATGAAACTTCCACAATCCATTCAGCGACTTATACTGGCTTTGGGTGCGGTCAAATGTCAGCGCCTTTTTCTCGTCTTCGTACAAGTGGAAATGTGCTCTCGGCGTCAGGGTATTGCGATGAAGAACTTTGAGATTGTTCCAGTCGGGAACTGATGCTGGGAAAGACATTCTGCTTCTCTGGGTTTATGTAACCCTACTGCTGGCGCTGATATTGAGATTATCCGCCGAAACCCAGAAACGAATTGACACTCTGCTGCGAATTGGTGTCTGGTCGGGGATCTTGTTTTGAAGTATGGTATTCTCAGTCCAACGATACAGCGTTCTATCAGAGCTCGCGAGAACTGCCTAAAGAACTTACGAAGAACGCAAGAACTGGATGACAGGTGAAAAGCTTAAGACCCCTCAATAGACGAAGACACATGCCAACGGTGACACCTGGCGAGGCACCACACGGACCCGCCTACCATCATTTAGAGCAGTGATCTTCTTGCGATCACATCGGAATATGCAAGTGGTGCGCATCAACTCACATCAGCATTGATATGTCAATTAACCGTCGGTTCTATGAATATGCGCTTTGGAGTCCCACGTTCGGTACACTGTCCGAGACTTCGCCCGGCTCGCGGCCGTGGGGTGTTGTACTTACTTACCCCGCACCAGTAAGGACATCGTTGCAGGGATGTAATGCATGATCACGATTTTGTGGAAGAAACCTTGTCGTATGGAAAGAGAGAGGAGATAGTGGAATTGGCGAAGTTTCTCGTCAAAGTGAGATGCCTTTTGACGCCTCATTGACATTATCCGTCGGGATCGTAGCGCCCTAGATGAAAATGAGGCCGGTGATACGACCAACAGCCCTTTGAGATTGGGTCAGCTCATTATGTGATGGGATGGTAACACTCAACATGTGTTGGGTCTGGGGAATGCGGGGATTATCAATGCTCATGGGGACTTTGTAAGTGGAGCTATCGCATAGTTGGAACTATTCCGTGCCACCCAGATATCTCACCTGGATATAAAAGGATAAGTATCCTGGCCATCTGATCAATATCGAAAAGCCAAAGGGAACACTCTCATACTTCGCGAATTCCCCAAGTCCTAACCTTTCAATCTCCTCGCTACTAAGGTTATCTATATCATCAACATGGCAGAAGCAAAGACTGGGGACGTCATCCACCATGAACACACCCTAGATGATGAGGTGAATGAGAAGATCCAAGATGATTCAGTCGAAGCCGCCAAGCATGACCTTAACCGCATGGACCTGGACAAACTTTCCAAAGATGCGTTCAGTGTAAAGTCACGTGCAGCACGTCGCCTAGCAGTCGTGATTATGATTCAGGGGCTCAGTAAGTTATTCTTCGCTTAATTATCTCGAGGTTTCTAGCCGGGAATTAACGGTTTGATGCTAGGTGTCGCTGCATTTGCAATCGATGGCTCCTCTATTGGTGGGATCACAGCGCTCCCAGCCTTTAGGAGCCACTTCAATGTCGGAACAAGTGGTGCTGCACTGGGCATCATCAATGCAGCCATGTCCATTGGCAATGTCGTTGCCAGTCCTTTCCAATGGCTATCCGACCTGGTTGGACGCCGCGGGGTCAGCTTTGCCGGCAACGTGATTCTAATTCTCAGTGGTATTATCATGGCTACAGCACCCAATAGTTCTGCTCTCATCGTGGGCCGCGTTTTCAGCGGAGTAGGTGCATCACTCTCAGCAACAGTTGGACCACTGTACATGAGTGAAATCGCACCTTCTGCAAGTCGAGGTCTGGCCATTGGACTTTATTGCGCTTCCTATAGCATCGGAGCCATTGTGATTGCTGTGGTTCTCCTGGGTGGGTCCTACATGGACAACAATTGGAGCTGGCGCCTTCCCATGCTCTTTCAGATCGGGGCGCCTCTCATAGTCGCAACTCTCATCTACCCCTGTACACCCGAGTCACCAAGATACCTCTACGCTGTAGGAAAGCATGATCAGGCGCGGAGGATCATCGCACGTTATCACACGACTTCCGAAGACATTAACGACCCGATCGTTGTTGCAGAGATGCAGCAGATTGGAGAATCTATGGTACGCCATGAAACAAAACCCTGGGACTTCAGCCCACTCTTCAAGACCGCCAACGCACGAAGACGAGTATGGGTTATTTTCCTGTACAGCTTTTTTCAACAATGCAACGGCGCTGGCATGCTCACATATTACCTCCCAGGTGTCCTTAAACTTGTTGGAATCACCAAAACACAGCAAGTATTGGGCATCAATCTTGGGATAACGTGTGTGAGCTACCTCGCCACAATTGGGGGTTCCTTCATTGTCGATAGGGTTCGCCGTCGTACCTTGCTTTTCACAGGTTGGAGTGTTTATATCTTCTTCCTTGCGCTCATGTCGCTTTGCGGTGGATTGTATGCTTCCAATATTGGTGTAAAGCCAAACGGCTATATCGTGGTCATCGCAATATTTGCCTTTAATGTCTGTACTGGCGTTTTCGGTGAGTAGCATTATTTCACCCAAGTTGATGGCATAAAGACTGACCTTGTTAGTAAACGCCCTGCATAACATGTATCCCAATGAAGTGCTCCATTATAGCCAACGTGCTAAGGGGATGGGGATATATTCGTTCTTCCAGAACTGCTTTGGTTTTGCCATGTCATACGGATTCTCCGTCGTACTCGCAGATCTCCAATGGAAGGTACGTAACATATTCATTCTATGCGTCTAGTCCAGGGATACAACACTAATATTAGCTACCAGACATACTTTATCTTCATGGGTATAAACGCTTTTGCTATCTATTCGACATGGCAGTGGTTCCCAGAATTCCGACACCTTTCTCTCGAAGAAATCGATATTATCTTTGAAACCGAGGGCACACGACCTGTAGCCTTGGCTAATAAACTTCAAGAAGCCAAGGATGAGAAGCGTAAAGAGGAGCTGCGTATGGCATGAAAATGATTCCTTTGTTTCCGTTATCTAGTGGTATACATAGGACAGCAAACACTTAACTTCATGGCTTGAAACCCAAATGTACGTAAATTGAGAGTAAATAAAGTTGACATTTTTGAGGATAAATCTTTCTTCCCCAGAAAACTTGAGATAGTCTGATTCTTTACTGCTGGGGATGTATCTAAGAATCGCTAACAGTTTCATGTCTCATTGAGCGGGAATGCTTTTTGAGCAAATAACCAATGTTTCCTCTCCTCATTTCGAACAAACGGGTCAGTTTTCAAAATTCTACCTCCATAAAGCTCTCTTCCAATTATAGGTAAACCACCGTGACTACGACACAGGCTTATTACCCAAAATTCCATCGATCTCTTCCATGATCTCCGGCGTGAGTAATTTGATCGTATCAAAACATTTCACAGCATCATAGATCTGCTGGGGTCTGCTCGCACCGGTGATGGCAGAGGAAATATGCTTATTCTTCAAGATCCACGCATACGCCAGATTAGCCATCGTACACCCAAGTCTCTCGGCAACGGGGTTCAGGTTCCTGACAACGTCGAGTTTGCTAGTCCAGTCATCGTTGCCATACTGTCGATTCATAGCTGCAATAAAAGACTCCTTCGAGTCCCTGTCGGCGAAGCGCGAATCGGCAGGTATTTCGTTATTGTATTTCCCGGTCAGGATGCCGGAAGACAGGGGCGAGTACGTGGTTAACCCCATACCGTATTCTGCGTACAGATGCGCGTATTCACTCTCGACTCTGGCCCGGTTGAACATGTTGTAACACGGCTGTTCCATCAGCGGTCCCACCATGCCAAGTCTACTCGCCACTCCCCACGCGGTCGCGATTTCAGCGGCGCTCCATTCGGAAGTCCCCCAGTAAAAGGCTTTGCCCTGCACGATTACGTGGTTGAAGGCCCGTACGGTCTCCTCAATCGGTGTATTGGTATCTGGTCTGTGTGCGTATACCAGATCCACATAATCCAGCCCCAGTCGCTCCAGTGAGCCTTGCAAGCCTTCGATGATGTGTTTGCGGCTCAAGCCCATGTTGTTGACGGCACTCGCGCCGCTTGTGGTGCCGAAATATATCTTGGTGGACACTACGATGTCGTTTCTCTTCCAGCCGAACTTTTTGATTGCGAGGCCAACGATGCGCTCGCACTCTCCGTCTGCGTATCCTTCGGCGCAGTCGAAGAAGTTTATTCCGCACTTGTAGGCTGCTTCCATGCAGGCAAAGGCGTTGTCTAAAGTTGTTAGATTGCACGGTTTACAGATTGTTGGGATCGATGGGGGTTGTACCTTTCTCGACATGACCACCGTATGTCAGCCAGCCTCCGAGTGAAATTGCGGAGACCTGTAAGCCTGACTTCCCAAGATATCTGTATTCCATATTTGGGAGGCTAGTAATAGTAAAGATTTGGTATCTTAATTAGGATATTTTTGGTTACGATCAACAGTAGTATCTATATCACAGCTTGTTATGAACCTTGGACTGTATAAAAATCCGGAAGACGAATTTTATACTTGCCCTTTGCTAATTGGCTGGAACTGAAAGCTAATCCATAGTTGACATAAAAAAGTCCGTCGGGTATTTGAATCACTCCATCCGGAACCATGTGCTCAAGCAAAAAAGCCATTTCGCATTTGTTTTTTAGTGTGAGTGATATTCTTTGAATTAGGTAAAATTAGTTCTACTTCCTCCAATACAAAGAACAGCCCCTTGATCAAAGGCACTAAAGCTGAGGACCATTGCGAAATGAATCCCTTCCCCGAGTACTCAAGCATCGAAAGTGAGGTTCTGGACATGTGGATTGACAAACATGGGTACGTAGTCAGAGGTGAGATACCAAGCAGGCTTTTCCATGGTGTCGGCAATACTCTTGCCATTAACAGTTAGATTCTCAAACGTGACGAATTTGATAAGGCGTTCTTCGTCGTACCCGGTTATGAGTGAAAGGTCAGCATGCGTTCCGTTGTAACTGAAATTCCGGATGGTAACATTCTCAATGCCACGGCCAGGAGCAGTGTTATAAGCGGGATTGTACGTAACTCGCAAGTCAAACAAGCGCCCAAGCCGAAAGTCCTCCACTCTAATGTCTTCAATTTGGACGTTCTGGACCAAATTGTTATCGCCTGGGTTGATCGCGATCACGCCTTGGTAGAGCACTTGAAATTCGCGATGGTCTAGGACGTCGATATTTGTAACAAAAATGCCGTCCATGGTCTCCGGATCATCAGTGTTTCCATGGGTGCCCATGACTATGGGGTGAGCTACATCTGCCCATAGACTGGAGTCCTTAATAGTGATGTTACTAGAATCTCCATACCAATCATTACGGTGCTGATAAATGGCTATGCAGTCATCGGAATTGCGCATAAAGACGCTATCAACAACAGTATCCTGGCAGCAAAACAAATCGATGCCATCGCCCCATCCTTCTGAACTGAAAGATCGCAAGTGACTGACTGATAAGTTTTTCGCTTCCCCCGCTACCAGGGCAGCGCCCCGCGGGTTTAGAGAGGTAACACCTTCGACGATAATATTGCTCGAGTAAGCAACAGTAACAGCGGCTGTTGGTGTGTTATATAGGACACCACGCCCTCGAAGCGTAGCGCCTGTGACATTCTGAAAAAGGACACTTGATGTGAGTACCCCGCCACCAGCAATGTATACAGTCTGACCGCTGGCTATGGAAAGAGTACCACTGGAGACGTTGTGGATGCCGGGTCCGTAATAAATGACGTTCGGATCATCAGGTGAGGGCGCATTCGTGTCGATAGTATTGCTGAACAGGTGTAGCACATCAAAAATATCATCATCGATTTGAATAACAAGATTGCGTGGCTGAGTGAGTGTGAACGTAAGGGTGTTGGCCTGTACTTCGGGAACAATGCCGTATGAAAGAGGCCTGACTACTACGGACTGGATCGGCCGATCGATTGAAGTGACCGAGACATCAACAGAGCCGCAGAAGTCGAAGTAGGCCATAGAAGACTGTTTGCTATCAAACCCACCAGTCGTAGTGTCGATCTCACTGAGTGTCGCCAAGTATGTTCCGAGAGGTTCCCAAGTTCCATTACCATTGCTTGATCGGACATTGACCGAGAATGAGTCTTTGGACGGTACTCCATCCGGAAGAGGATACACGGAGAGGGATTGGGTACCGCATGATGAGTTTGAGACACTAGCGACAGCAGAAGTGACAAGAAGAGCCGCAGTAGCGATGAAGCAGATAAACATGCTGTATAAATGGATAGGTATTTGAGTACTAGATGTGGTTCTTGCGAGGAGCTGCTATTTAAGAGAAGCAGGGACCTACACGCAGAATTCTATATGCATACCCCCCCACCATGGTGGGGCTTGATTGCTGTCCCTCGCAACAATTAAGGTAAGTTTAGCCAACCTTCCGATCTTTGAGGCATGCTCCGGACCAGGAGTGAACTAAGTCATCATATCTTTTCAGCTTCCACCCGACGTTTAAATCGGACGATACATAATAGACGCGGGAGGCGATTTTCGGTTCTTCGTAGCGACATTCCTCCGTCATTGTAGCTCATGAATCCGGGGAAATGTAAGATCTTACCCCGGATTTAACGACGCGGCGTCCGGGGAAAGTGACGGTCGTCTCGATTCACCAACACGTGCACATCTCAACAATTGCAGGAAGTTATACAAGTAATTGGCAAGACGGACGACCCTCAATAACGCAAATCATGATAGCGGGAGAAGCTGTGGGTAGTCGTTCTTCACGCGGTAGAGGTGATCGTCGTTCGGACCATGTCATGTGAAATTTTAGTCAGATCTTAGCTTGATCTTAGTCAGCGTGTGACCTTACACTTACTTCGTATTTGCAACTACTTCTATTCTTATTTTCATATATCCACAAGATCAGCAAATCTCAAGAACATCCGTTTTAATCGGCGTCTATCCAGCCACTAGTTTTCGCCGCAAGTGCCATAGGTGGCTAGTGTATGTTCATTCTGATGGCGTGAAAACTGTATCGTTGCATCCAACCGTAACCGTGAAAGTGACCGTTACCTGTTGCTTCATGAGAGAAAGTAATACGACGACTCGCTCCTCCCACAGACCACGGAGCTGAGAAAAGGGACTGCCACTACGGAGGTACTCACCTTTCCTTCACGAGCTTCAATATTATTTGTGCTCCATGCAGTATTGCGGTATGACCCCCTCTCCGCCATCCAGCGTGCTAGATTTCCAGCCTTATGTTATTAGCCTTCTCGCACTTGTAGCAAATATGTATCATGATGCTTAGATCGCAGACGTTCTAAATATATTCTCGCTGTTTTGAAACACCACAAGTCACGGCGCACATGTTTGTGTGCTTTTCCTCCGAATGCGAACTCCGTGCCAAGAGCACCATTGCGTATGGCTTTCGATGCGTAGCACAGACAGCAAGAGGCGTCGCATGATGTGATGCTTTGCAGACGTTATACGACTTGCTGAAAGGACGCAAGGGAAGGATCCTCCGAGCTGTTGTTAGGTGTACGGAGTTGTAGCCTGGTATCGTTGTAACTATTGGCGTGGCTAATCGGGTGTAGTAGGATTAGGATAGCTACTAAAGCTAACATTCCGTTGAGAAGTTACACGCGGAGTACGTGGCAGATCGTGAATCTCTATCACTAGTCACGACGCTGATGCGAAGGGGCGGATAAAGGTATTATATTGTCGAAGCAGAATGTCCTAACCGGCGTAGGACATTCAAAGGGGAGTTTTTGGATAGCCAGTGAGTACTGAGGGTTAGAATCATTTGGGCCTGTACCTGCGGGAGGTTATCTTGCTTCTGCATGTCCAAGGTAACACAGCAGTAGGATCCTCCGGCCTCAACACAGCATGTGCTTAAGTGACACTGTGCGTATCTCATCTTTGGGCTTTTTCGTCTTTTTAGTTATCAAGCGTTTCTGTTCAATCCTTTTGAGACAATATTCGAGAAGGCCCAAGTACTGTACAGATTACTTCGCACAATCGTATTCTATTATTGTAGCATGTACCGCTATTTCCAATATCTGGAACCACGAGAATTACTGGGGTAGTGCCTAGATTTATCGTTTGTCCATCCCCGCATCATGACATTGTTTTGGCCTGGAGTTGTCCATTTTTCATGGGTGCATTTTGGAGGTAAGTAGCCGTATTGAGCTGAATCTACCCGGTGCAAGAAGCCGTGGCTTCTACTCAGAAGTTAGGCTGCAGACAAGAGACTCTGTCCCATGCTGATCGAGATCAAGATGGACAAGAACTATTCCATATCACTTACACAATAATATGAGATAATGACGGCCTATTTCGAGAAGGACCGAATGTGTGGAAAATCTATTCCATGTGGAACACTTGGCAGAATGATATAAAAACCCTGGGGACCCCACGATCTGCCAGTCAATAGACGGGTAAACTATTATTCCTCTTCCACATTCACACCAAATGCGTTGGCGGGTGCCTTGCTAGTGCGGAAACGATCTATAAAGTCTTTGCTCGACTCTAAATCTTTGACTTCTTTGACATCGACTTCTTTACCACCGAGCAACCCTCGATCTTCAACCACAACGCTTGACCATCATCAATCCCTCAGCATGGCTGGAGGCTTAGCAATCCATGGTACGACAGATACGTCCCGCATCGAGGCGCCCGTCACCCTCAAGGCCTATTTGATGTGTGCGTTTGCCGCATTTGGAGGTGTCTTCTTCGGATATGACACTGGCTGGATGGGTGGTATCATGGGAATGAAGTATTACATTCGACAATACACTGGACTCGAAGTAAGTTTCCCAACGATCTCTTACCCTTGAAACCTTTGGCAAGACAGATTTGGAGATTCTACCAAGTCAGCGCCGCTTCAGCCGAACTATGTGAATTGCCTAATTGAATTTCCTTCTGCTTCTTTTTTGAGGATCACATGAACAGTTTTCTGACTATTCACAGTACCCTGGCCAAACGCCTCCCAAGCTGAGAAGGACGCCTTTGTTCTCCCAGGATGGCAACAATCTCTCTTGACCGGCATTCTTTCCTGTGGTACATTCTTCGGTGCCATCATCGCTGGTGATGTAGCCGATCGGATCGGCCGTCGCTGGACCATTATTGTTGGCTGCGTGACCTTTTCCATTGGTTGTATCTTGGAGACTGCGTCCACTACGCTGGCTGTAATGACTGTCGGTCGTCTTATTGCCGGCACTGGTGTTGGGTTTATTTCTGCTATTAGTAAGTTTCCTATTTTGAATCACTTATTTTATATCAAGAGGACTACCTATTCGGGTGGGAAAGAGGATGAAGTGCAAGAAGTGGAGCCCATGTGCTGCGCTAATGTGACACTAAACCCCCCCTCAGTGCCAAGTATCATTTGTACGTAGCAATTTAGTTCTTCCAGCTGACTTGAGACTTTCACAGTCATCTTGTACATGTCAGAAGTTGCCCCCAAGAAAGTCCGCGGTGCTTTGGTCGCCGGATACCAATTCTGCATCACCATCGGCATTCTCCTGGCTAACTGCGTCGTCTACGCCACACAAAGCCGTGACGACACTGGCTCATACCGCATTCCAATCGCGGTTCAATTCCTCTGGGCTCTTATCCTCGGTGTAGGATTGTTCTTCTTGCCAGAATCCCCACGTTACTTCGTCAAGAAGGGAAGGCTTACCGAGGCAGCCAATGCACTTAGCAGCGTCCGTGGCCAACCTATTCAATCAGAGTATATCCAGGACGAGCTTGCCGAAATCATTGCAAACAACGAGTACGAGCTCTCTGTCGTTCCTCAGACTTCCTATATGGCCAGCGTAAGGATAACTGACTCTTTGATTTTACCCTACCCCCTTATATTATGTTTCATCTCATGTACTCCAACTACTCCTTATATACTTCCTGAATAGGGAACTTGCTCTTCTTCTGCTCTCAAAACACTCTTGAAGAGGAAATAACTAACTCCCCCGTGATCTAGTGGACCAACTGCTTCCAGGGTGGTTTGTCAGACGCCAATAGCAACCTCCGACGAACTCTTCTTGGTATCGGACTTCAGATGATGCAACAGTTGACCGGAATTAACTTCATTTTCTACTATGGTTTGTTACATCCTAAGCTGAGACATATTTTACAACCCGTACTAACTAAATGGGAACTTAGGTGTCGTTTTCTTCGCCTCGCTCAAGACAATATCCAACCCCTTCTTGATCAGTTTGGTTTCTACCTTGGTCAACGTCTTATCTACCCCGGTCTCATTCTGGATGGTCGAGAGATTTGGTCGCCGCAACTTGCTCATCTTTGGTGGAACTGGAATGGTTATCTCGCAATACATTGTTGGTATCATTGGTGTCACCGTCGGTGGCGACAAGGGCGATCAGACCAACAAGGCCGCCGTCGCAGCCATGATCGCCTTTATCTGCATCAACATCAGCATGTTTGCCATGACCTGGGGTCCGTGTGCCTGGGTAGTAGTGGGGGAGGTGTTCCCCCTGCCCATCCGATCCCGTGGAGTCGGTCTATCTACCGCGTCCAACTGGTTTTGGAACTGCATCATCGCCATCATCACCCCATATCTCGTCGGCAAGCAGTACGCCAACCTGTCCTCCAAGATCTTCTTCATGTGGGGATCTCTCTGTGTGATTTCCGTCCTCTTCGCATATTTCCTTGTGCCTGAGACCAAGGGTCTGTCTCTCGAGCAGGTTGATCGTATGTTGGAAGAGGTTACACCAAGGAAGTCACGTGGCTGGGTTCCTCACTCTACCTTCGCATCTGGAATGGCTCTTGGTGAGAGGGGAATCACCCTCAATGATGAGAAGCACAGTGTGACCCATGCTGAGACGCAGAACTCTGCGCCTAATAGAAGCTTTGCCTAGATCCTAGATCGAGGAGATTGTAATGACGAAATGGGAGTACGCGGATTGGCTCACCTTATATTGGATAATTGGGCACCGAATTTGGGAAATGGCATGGGATAGGAGCGTCGGCACGGAACTAGAGGTTACTTTACCATACCTTCCAGACTATTCATAATGCATTGATCAATCACTATTTGTACCCCTAAGCAGAGTGGTGCTTTGAATTTATTACACTTAACGTAGGCGATAAGATCGCAGTGGAAAGCGAATAGCTTGTGTAGTCTGTATTTGTGGACCTTCAAAGTATCATTCACCTCTTCTATTTCTTGATCGTTTAATTTCTCACCAACGTTGTAACTTGTGACATCTAGAAGAGGGTATGTAGTATACTAATAGCAAAGTTTTCTCTGCCAGCTTCAGCTTGTAATAGATGATAAACCAATGCCTTAAATAACACCACCACATTTCAAGAATCCACAATCACCAAACGAGACTTCAAAGGCTACAGTACAACTACCAACGTTACGACCTACGGCATACAGCGTAACAGCGTACACTAATGATCGCCAAGCCTTCTGGGAGACGCATCGTCGCAGCGAAACTCCCGCCTTCTTTAGATATTTGCTACCTTGCACAAGATGCAAATCCGCTATATATATCTCTTCAAAGCTCTTTTTGCATGCCTCGTGCTATCCGAGAAAGTAGCGGTGCAGTGCTCTTGCCACAACGAGTTTGGGGTGTTTAGGGGATGGCTCGCTAAATAGCCCTGGCGGCCCCTTTTACTAGAAGAGGTATAGCGATGCAACTGACTAAGGTATATCAAAACACCATTTTTCGGCAAGGTCCAGTTAATAGTTACTATATATATTAACTAAATACTATGCTCTTATATAGAGATTAACTAGACGTGGACTCTCTTCTCTAATTAACATGTTTGATCTATCCATCTCTTAAGTTATTCGGTGAATGAAACACTGACCCCCGTTTTTTTATTCACGGTTAATGTGCTACATTGAACTATATTAGCATATCATGGAGAATGGTGAGACAATAACTTACAATATATCAGGACGAGAATAGCTTCCTACAGGATCAAAGTCCATCTGAATCACCAAGTCAGCGGATACTTTTGATTTAGATACTACCAGATAACCTACCCTAGCTTCTGTCAAATCTGGTAAGTTCAGCGTAGCATATATGATCTCTTCCTTGTCCCAAACTGGCTCAGCGATGAACGTTCCCAACGGTCCGACAATGCAAGAGCCGCCATGGTTCAAGATATCATCTGCTACCCACTTCGATCCTGCTGGGTTACGGTCATGGTGATCGGCTGTGAATGGTGGATAATCGGCTGGGAAATCAGAGACCTGTCTCATATCAGCATGTTGTTCCCAAGGATGTAAAAATGAAGACGGACTTTGCAGAACTGATTGACTGAAATTACGAAGCAGCGTCCTTCTTTGGCTATGTGCTGCATCGAAGCTACCCAAGAAGGCAAATCGTCTGCATGCGGGGCAATGTATATTCTGACACAGCCATGATTAGCTTGTAGCCCGGAAAGTTCAGGGATATTAAGCATACTCGATCCCAAGCTGGTATAATGCCAGTCTGGCTGCGGGCATATAATTCTCCATACTAAAACAGGTTAACTAACTTCCTTCTGCTTGAAATTCTCAATCGGGAAAATCTACCAGATCAAGCCTCCCATCTTTCCGAATTCCGTATCCACAACTTGAAGGCCATCACCAGCTCCTCTACCCCACACAAGTCTTTCCGCGGCAGTGGGAATAAGCTGTGAAATTGTCAGCTCGTCTATCATGAACCCATTTTTCTATATACTCACCTTGCGGTGATGGGTAAGCAGCTTGCCGTCTTTCCCTATCAACACGGCTGTACAGTAGAGAGTCCCGCCTTCCTTCTCAATGATGCCCACAGATAGCATGATTTTGTTCCTCTCGGCAGTATCGCGCAAGACATCAAATTCAGGAGACGGGATCGCAACAGCCGAATCGTAATATTTTGCATACCAAATTCTTCCTTTGCCGCAATCAAGTTAGCCCCGCATCTCCTTCTGCGATATAGTCGAGATTTGTTGGTGGCAATCATTACCTCGTGGTTCTCGGGTTCCAATTGTGGCATCAAACGCATATCGCCAAGGGTACGCTGAGAGGAAAGCCTCGCTGGCCGGGTGAAAGGTAAATTAGTCACACATCAAGATGTGCATAGTGTAAGAGATTGAAAGCATGAAAACTCACGGAAACACAATTAGTTCAGCACCTGCCGAGGCAGCTTCTGCGGCCAATTTTTGCAGTTTATTGAGGCTGAGCTGGAGATCGAAGCTCACGGGCGATGCCTGAACGGCCGCGACTTGAAGGGTCTTTGGTTTAGGCATCATGGTGGTAAGAGGGACTGAGGTTAAGCAACAAGGTCAATTCATCGTTGCTGGATATAATTGTCTCTATATACTATTTCTCGGGGGGTGCGATGCCGTCAAGGTAGTGAGTCATTTGGCTCAACGCGTTCCCAGCCGTGCATTGTCATAATTGCAAAGCGGTTTCGCTCATTCAGGTGGATCTGTGAGCGCAGACCTAGATACGCCAACTAGGGATAGTCTCACCTCTACGGTCGTGCAGCAGTGAAGTAGACTCATATCTTCTATCCTTTATAACTTATAACTTGTATATTATACTTGTTATGAAAATAAACTCAAAATAGTACAATAATCGTATCCACCTAACCCTTATTAACAATAATAAATCTTTCTATCATGCTATGTGAGTCAAAGACGACGGTATATAACACAGTGGGTCCCCTCTGTCTAGGCTAAGAGGTGTGTCACTGAGCCTGGTGAGCGAAACGCAACAGATGACTAAGCATACCCCTATACTCGTACAAGTACAAGTACCAACCACGAAAGCAAAACGTAATAGCCGCTGTAATTTCTCAAGCGCTCCACTTTCCACCTAAGTCCAGGGCAAAAATCACAAAGTACCGACCGACGTAAACATTGGAGTCTAGCTCAAGCATCTATTACGTTTTGCCATGTGCCACGTTTTATTAGGAGAAGTCCGTCGCGTTCATGTTATGGATTGAGGCGCTAGAGACTCGCTTATGGAATTAGCCTGTGCTGTGCCTATGAGGTTATTCCCAACTCCCTGCTTCTGTACTTTTAGCTTCCTCGTCGTTGTCTTACCTGTATATTGATGCGCGGCCGAACCGTGTCGGCTGAGATCTTCAGAAAAGCAACCCAAATATCTGCTAGAGAACGAGGAATCGAATTAGGAGACGCAAATGTAGACTAAGTAGCTCCAATTAAGTAAACAACCCCTTCTTTTTATTATTCTCGTTCGCGGAGTCCCAATAGATAAGTACTATAAATTACGAGGACTATGTATTTAGTGAGACGTAGCCACACTTGTTGCAACATAGTCCCAGTATTTTTTTCTCCGAAACCTTGCGCAGACTCTTCCCAGAGAATATCATTAGATCAAAGGTGAGAGTCCATGTACAGGCAAGAGCTACTATAGCTAAAGCAGTTCTGCAGCCCTATGCCATTGATCCAAGGGTTAATTGCATAGGACACTGGAAAACATAATGTGTTCCGAATAATAGTGATGGAGATCCTGGATTCGAATCAGTAAACATTCGGCCGGTGGGTGAGGTCATGAGGATGGGCTTGCTTTGAAGCTGTCGACATGATAACTTCACGATATCGAACCCCCAAAGATGACACTGAATGCTAGCATTCCCAATCCTAGGATGATACCAAACCAATGCACCCCTCTAACGGCGCCAACACCCCACAGAATGAGTCCCGAATCACATATACGGAGATTACTGAAACCACTTAGAGCCTACAGTCTTTGCTCCGGTTTTCTGACACCATTATTACTGTACGGTGCGCAAGACGAATGGCAAGTCTATCTGTTGACTATCCAGACCGGACGGCACCGAGTAGCTGAGGGCACCGATGAACGGGGAGAGGTAATTAAGCAAAGCAGTGACGACGAGGCAGGAAGAAAAGTTGTAGGGCGCTACACTGAGGACCATACTTGCACTTGCGTTGAGAACGTTGTACCATGAGAGACAGGCTCCGTAGACACTTGAAATTCTCGTCTTGATTTCCATGCTCGGAAGAGGGTACTTATAAACCAGCCAAGTGACGCAAGGGAGGTGAACGTCTCGCTATTCAAATCGTGGCTCTAGAATTTCTACAATATAGTCGCGGTCGTGGTTTTCTCCTCTTATATCTTGAATTACTAACTGGACCTCGTCTCACGCGTGCACCTTAAGAGGGGTATGAGATACAATTATGTGACAACTCACTCTTCGTGGTTCCCTTGAGGTTGGCCATTTGACTTTTAACCCCGTTTCATGTATTGACGCAGAAAAATTAGTTGCAACAATGGTATAACAACTCTAAAGATATAAATGGCCGACTTCTCACTACAAAGTCCCTTCCCCTACATTGACAAAACCCCACCTCAACCTCATTGCACAGGTCCCCCCGAGAAATAGTAACAGTCATAAAGCACATTTACACCATGCCTTATAAGCTGCACTCGCACACTTCAAGCCTTCGCATCTCCTCGTGAATCATAATGAGAAATCCGCGCTCGCCGAGATCCCTGTCAAACATCAAAGGACCCCCAAGCAATATATTACGATACACCTAGACCCTCCTAATCCTTTCAAATCCATTCTCCTCCCTATTTTCACAAAAGAAACGACGGGTTTAATGCCAACACACATGCACATCGACCGATATTACAGTGGGAAAGTCGCGCGCGACTTGCGGGGTACTGTAAAAGACAACTGCGGCTCATGTGCATGCTAGTTTGACTTGATAGCACTCGAATAGATTCCAGTCAACACAAGGGAAAGAAAGCCCACTCGGGAGAAGGGAGGTACGTCGTCTTACATTTCGGCAACGTACTGTACTGAGCTGGAAGGCTAATTAAACATGATGTAAATCAAGCCGATCGATGAAGTTAAGCATCGCATCGCATCTCAGCCTTGCTAGCAGATCTGATCTCTGCTGTATGAAATAGCGATCAGCGATCATCAGTCAGCGCGGGTGGAGACGGCTGGACAATAAAATGATCAGAGCAGGAGTCAATTAATAAAGTATTGCGGGCGGTAAAAGAGAAATGTGATAGGGGAATAAGACTTGCTTGGAATTTTAAATGTATATACCGTACTGTACTATACGCGCTGGGGATTGCTTATGTTTAAATATAGGCATCTATTGAGATTTGGTGGTGGTGGTGGCGTGATGCCGTGAGACGATGCAGGTAGGTGTACCTTAGGTGTTGTGCAACAGTACGGAAAGCGAGTCACCCGCTGCGGGCTAGGCGGGACAGATGCTGGGCATGCATGCAAGTCATCTGCAGATACTGTACGGAACGGAGTACTCGGTAGAGATGCGGTGAGGATGTTCTAGATAGTCTACGGAGTTCTAGCTACTCTACTAACTCCACAAAAAAGAAAGCAGGAACGGAGTGGAGGCGGAGATAGGTGGAGAAGAGCATGTTTCTGGTATATTGGTTCGCGTGGTTACGTTACCACAGATATGTGCTATTGGGACTCTTGGGCGTAGGGGTCGTACGAACAGGTACGAACAGGTACGAACGGACGGACGCGGCTCGATGGCTTACATTCTGTGGGTATCATATGTGGATAAATCCCTCTTTCATTCTTTCGACTGGAGACAGATTCGCTGATGTGCTGCCACATGTACACGGTACATACCAGCATCAGTTTACGAGGTTTGGGATGGGTGGGAATCAGGAAGGCATTGAATTGGGCATTGATAGGGCTCTTTCCAGCTGAATCGTCAATTATGTATATATGTGTGTGTGTGTGTGTGTTGTTCAGGAGGCTGGGCTGGGCTGGGCTGGCTTGGGAAAATGTTTAGAGATGTCTCGTCAGCACGGGAGAAGGATGTGAATCAATGAAGGTCTCGCAAGTCGCGGCTTCACTTTAAAGTAAGCAAATAAGCTCGAGCTCGAGGCGTGAAGTGAAGTGAATAGGGTGGAGCGGAGTGAAAGCGGCACCAAACTTTTAATCTATCGAGCAGATGTTGAAAGACGAGTATTCTATCGTAATGCCGCTTTTCCCCATGCTAAAGTTAAAGCTCGGGGGATCTTTCGCTTATCGCGCCGCCGTCTTATCAAAATCGAACCAGTGGGGAACGGGAAGATAGAAGGGGAAGAAGGGGGGGGGGGTGTTTCTCCAAACTCTAAAATAATACCATCCATGCTATAGTACTTTTGGTATGACGACGTAAGGCCCCTTATTCAAACTACTATACACCTCTTCAAGTCTATATCTAGGTATGTATTAGGAAAGAAGAGAAGTCTTTGCAAGGGAAATGTGTTGAGTGTTGAGCATTACTAATATCTGACCAGCTAGTCGCAGAAGTCTTCATTCTCATTAGTGAGATATCGAGTAAAAAAAGCGAACTAAGAACCAGGAACGGAAACGGACGGAACCGCTCACTAGGAACTGATTAAGCTTGATGTGGCATAAGGCACATGGCTTGATATGCTGCATCCCATCGTTAGCTACTGCACTTGGTGGAGGGGAACGGCCAAATTCAGGCCAAACTATGTATAATATGGACAGTGTTAGAAGTTAGCAACTATTGAAAAATCTAATGCGCTGAGGGCTAAGCGGTGAACGTCTCAAATTCCCACGTTGTTTGATCGCTTTTCGTAATTCTTACAATCGTCGTCATCCTTCTCCGCAAGACTGGCATTAATTGACTCTTCTGACAGCTGTAACAGCGGCGACCCGCAGTAAATATTCAACGAACCTCACGTATTCGGGTGGAACTGTAAACGTTTAGGGTTTGTGTTGTCTAAACGGGTATCGGTAGATAATACTCGATATCGAGATCAATTATAAGCTACCCGCCTAGTGTAGTAGTTTGAGCTTCACAGGGGGTTAGGAGGTGTGAGTCGGGTGACAGCGTTGGTACCTGCGTGTTGACCCTTTTTTCTGCAACAAAACAGAGTTGTCCACGTATGTGTGATGAGATAAGTAAGAAAAACCCCAAAAGACCCAATTGAAAAGGTTGTTTCGAATGAGGCTCTGACTACCCCGAAATCGCAAAACCTGGCCCAGGGAGCTCCCGTTGTCGATCACTTGCAGCAATTTTATTCCCCTTATGACCAATAAACAGCATCTTACAATGCCATGTATACATGGGCTGAGTTTCGAAACGAGCAGGTGTTGGAATCCACGGGACGGCACAACCTGTCAGACTAACCAATACCATGGTATCAAACTGTAAAGGTGGTGTCGCCAGCGCAAGTTTTAGCCAACCTTTTCCCGCTTTTTCATATAATGCTTGGTGTGGCCGGTTAATCTGTGGCTTGAGAGAGAGAGATATGCCGTCTCGAACGTCGATAAGGCTTTGCTTCACCGCTCCCATCACATCCCATCCCCCTTTTCCCTAGTCAGGTACACGATAAAGTAGGTGCGCTCATAAGTCTGGCTCTTACGTTCTCGAAAGCCAGACCCACGACCTGTCATTTCGGATTTATAATGTATTCTGATCATCGGGCTGTTCAATCGAAACGACGAAGGAACAAATTGTTTGTGATCGAGCGTGCATACAACAAGGTACGGAGGTAGTCCAGTCCTTGTACTTTCTGCGCTCAAGCCTGCGAAACGTGCTTTGCATGGGCAGGTGGGGTAATTAGGCGAACCAGAAGAGGGGCGCCAGGGGGTGTAGGAGAGGGAAGGGAAATCTATGGCTGACAACCATTGGTTGTCACTGGATTAGTCTCCGAAGAACCCATCCACTAGGCCCGTCCACCACCCGAATGAAGTGTTTGACGGCCAGTCAAGCTCAGGTTCAGGTTCAGGTTCAAGCTCCCTAACCATTGAAGCTTTGGTCTTCCTCCGCCCCCACGGTCGGTGACAGACCCCATCTCGCCCATCCGAAATGCACCCATTATCAATGGTGTAGGTGAGATATCCATCCCTGCTACCACTGCAGGACGGCTTGACTCGAGCCATGCTGCTTGCTCACTCTTATAATAGAAGCCGTATCTCCAGGATGGTGCCCTTTTACACCTTGTGCGTCTTCGACTGTTGTCTCAGTGTCCCAAGTTGATCCATGGATCACTTGGCCACAGTGTATTTCATCATTCGTATTCTCGCTGTCTGACTTCTTTTAATCATCCAACATTGTTTCTTTTGAAAGATTCTGCCAGTGCACATAGCCCACCCCAGCCTTCATAGCGATGAGTTGAGCTCCTCCACTTGGACTTCTTTTCTTGATATCACTCCATCACATAAGCCTTCCCTAGGCATGAGGAACGTCCACTCGGCAATCCTCACATATCTATTGTGCTTGGTGCTTCATTGCGTTGCAGAGTCAGGCCAAGGACCTGAGACGGCCGTTGGTCCGCCTTCAACTCCAACATTCGCAGATTCGAATACGGCACGAGCAAGCTCTCCCCCCACGGTCTCACCCATTACCAGTCCCATAACACAAGCAACGACCTTTGCCTCTGTTGTTCCATATTCGACTCTCAGCTCCTCTGAGCTGTCATACTCTTCACCAATACCAACCTCTTCAACACTTCAAGCTGTCACTCAAGCTGTCACTGATGGCTTTGGGTACACCTCGACTTCCAGTCCTATTCCTTCTACATCAATGGCGACTTCCATCTCGCCGGACTCAGGAAGCAACAGCAACAGCCACAGGAATTTGGTTATTATCTTATCTGCGGTGCTTGGTTTTGTCGGGATCCTCCTCATCACAGGTGCAATACTTCTTATAACCCGATATCTGAGAAATCAATCTCCATTTGCTCATAGGGGAGCATCACCAATCAACGATGAAGAGATTGCTTCTTGGCGTGGAACCAGTTCCGAGCAAAAGCAAGCAGTTCCGTATTCAACCCAGCCGTCAGTCACACATGATGCAAACACAGTAGGACTTGCACAAACCCCTGGATGGATATGGCCAACTTCAACTTCTGCCGTACAACCGGCAACGCCCAACCCGGCGTCGATCGTCCCCGATACGCCATCTTTCCTGGCCAAAGCGCCAAACGCCAGAGCAGGCCTCACCGATGAAACAGTGCCAGGGGCCGTTCCTTTCATACCGCCTATAAAGAGACAGAGTAGTCGTCTATCTAAAGCTCCTCGTGGCCATGCTAGATCGAAGAGTAGACGAAGTAGTTTGAGTGCGAAAAGCATGTGGAGTTATAAGGAGCCAAGTATGGAGATGAAACGCAAAGAAACAACTCCGACTTGGTTCGATCCAGAGGACGATCACAATACTGGCAGAGAGTTGAGGGATATTGATACCTCCAACGATTCGCCTGGTACATCCATATTTGATGGGCTGTCGGCTGGCGGACTCTCACCGAGACCAAAATCACGCTCAAGGCTACGGGAAGCAGAAAAGGAAAATGAACACGGCAGAACTCTAGCCTAGATGTTTTACAGAGTGCACAATTCGGGAACTTGTCCTCTCACATCCTATCGCATCCTAGAGCGAGATCACTATGATCTTCGATGATATACGGATCTAACCTAGACGGTTTTCTTTTTTTCATTTTATAGGCACTTTTGCCAATAGGGAGGCGTTCATGTGCGATACCCAGGTAGGACACCAAATGATCATTGGTGGTCCTGGTATACGGACTGGGGCATACATCAGATTCATGCTTGTTTTGAACAATATAATGGTATCAATGTAGAATACGAACCAAGATATGGGCAAATATATACCTTGTCAGAGATCTAATGCCCTGCATATCATATAACCAATAATGATATTATGGACAAACAACTCCATCTCCACTTCATACGAGTACTATACATGCTTAGAGTTGACGCGCAAAAAGTATCTCTTTGATTGATACGTTCTCGCTTGAGACGCTGACCCCCCTTTTTAAGACTCGTGAGATGATACCAGATAATATCACTACCCCCAGAACAGGATGTATATTGAGTGAAAAAACGTCGTAGAACTAGAAATAAAAGTGACTGCAAGATCATTGTTCAATCAAAATCAATTACACATCACGTGTAACCGACGCGCTCGCGTGATTGTAAAGGGACACCGCTTTGAATTGCCGCATCCCACTTCCTTTTCAACACATCTGGGTCGCACTCCAACGCAACGATCCCACACCTTCTATTACCTTATAATGCCACCCAAAAAGGTCGTCGATGTCTCCAAATCCGCGACGGGCGATGAAGGCACCCCAGCAAAAGACCAACCCCTCCGGGAGGGCGTCAATATCGAGGTTAGTTGCGCTTTGTTGAGAACCAGAAGGCACACTACGCGCATTGAAGATATATCTAACTTGATTCGTAGGACCTCAATCTCCCTAAAAGTATAGTTACGAGACTGGCGAAAGGTGTCCTGCCTCCGAATACACAGATACAAGGCAATGCGATGTTGGCAATGACGAAAAGCGCAACGGTGTTTGTGAACTATGTAGCCGCGCAGTATGCATACCCACGTCTGGAAAACCCTCTAAGATTCGAGTACACCAATTAGCGAGGCGTGTTGTGCTGATTGAATCTCCCAGAGGAAACGAGATCGCACACCAAGAGGGTCGGAAGACCCTTGCCTCCAGAGATATCATCAGCGCCTTAAAGGCCCTCGAGTTCCCTGACTGGGAGGACCGACTACAAGCAGAGCTGGATAGTGAGAACCTTGGTCCTCCCCATGGGCTCCCCAGTATTGACTACGTGTAGAATACACCGAGATCCAAACCGACAAGCGACTTAACTACAAGAAGAAGGTGGCAGACAACAAAGTGGGCACTGCAGAAGGTGCGCAAGCTGGAGAGGGGGGAGATGGCAATAATGATTTAGGAGAGGGAGGAAGTCACCAGGACAGAGAAGGACAGCCTGCTGCTAAAAAAGCAAGACTTGAGCCTGGAGTCACGTCAGACATAGACTCCAGTGTAATGATACAAGAGGGGGGTGATCAAATGGGTGAACACACAGCGGATGAGAGTGGAGAGGATGACGAAAACCATCCGGACGAAGCCGAAGATGATGAAGACGAGGGGGATCATGAGGAGCGGCTCGAGGTGGAAGACCAGTTGGAGGATATAGAGCCGCAAGAAGCAGAGGACGAAGCGCTGGATAATGGAGAGGATAGCGATTGATTCTACGATGCTGGAAACGAAGTCTCTGCTGGTGACTACACTATCGGGCTGGAGTTATTGGTTTGCAGGAGTAAAAAACGTATTTGCATGGAGTTTAGGCGTATTCGACAGCCTCCCAATACAAAGTTTGGGGATCTTTTCGTGGACGCTATATTTCTATCGACTCCTCGATCGATTGAACCATCTGGAACCTTGAAATGGCACATCTGGGTATTGTACGCTGCTATGAAGGAATACAAATATGATCATGGTACAGAGTAGAGCCCAGTTAGGTAGATTTCTGCGACTCGGCATCTTCCACATCTTCTTCAACATCCTGTTCCAGCCTATCTGCTTTGTCTATAACGATCCAGTATATTTTCTGGGCAACCTTATGCTCCTTTCCATCTGCCTTTTGAATTTTAGATTCCCCCTTTCTCATTCCCCTGTCCATCTCCTCTTCCTTTTTCCTGCGAACTTGATCCTGCTCCTTGTCGATTTTTCTCAACTCGCGTTGAAGGTCTTTCTCAATCTTGGCTCTGTCTTTCGGATCCCGACCTTTCTTACCACTCAACTCCCTCTCAACCTTAGCGACCTCCTTCGTCTTATCTCTCTCAATATTCTCAATCTCTCTATCATACTTCCCTGCTTTTCTCTGTGCCTTCCTCATATTCTCCTCATACTTCTCAAACCCCTTCCCCCTCTCCCTCGCCATTTTCCTATTCATCTTCGCGTCCTTCTTCTGCGCCTGCTGACTCCCTATCCTCTTCCACCAATTCCCAGGGTCTTCAGGAGGAGGCAGTCCCTCGAAGCTCAACTCCGCCACCTTATCCCCCAACGCTCTCATCCTCCTCATCCGCGGCTCATCTCCATCTGTACCTCCACCCCCCTCAAGCCCCGGCAACCTCAACAGCCCCTCCCCACACCCCACGACCCGCATCATCTCCCCCGTCTTACACACCTTGCACCTCAAGCCCCTGGGCTCCCAAAGCCGCTCATTCGCCGCCCTCACAAACGCCCTCGCCCTCGTCCAACTCGTAGCCGTCGACGCCACCCCCGCCGCGACCTGCAGGCCCAGCCCGGCGAATTGAGTTGCGGAGAGGGGAACGGCGGATAGCACGCCGCCGGCTAGAGAGGTGATCTGGAAGGCGGGCGCGGCGAGGAAGGCTTCGTTGAGCCCGTCGATGAACAAGAGGAATTCCGAGACGCTGATGTTGATGCTGTGTGCGCGCAGAGCGGGGCTGTAGGCGCGTGCGAAGGGGGAGAAGTAAGCGCCTCGGAAGGAGGTGGATGTTTCTGACGAAGAGAAGAAGAGGGGGTTAGTGACTTGGTTTTAATCTTATGGGAGGATAGGTTTTGGTTTGTTCTAATTTCAAGGAACTTACGGGGAATGACAATTGGTTTGAAGCTAGTTTGGACGCATGGTTCCGTGGCTTGAGGGAAAGAGATAGAGGAACTATTTACTGGACCTGAAGACTCGGCGACATTTCTCTTTGGAGCTTCTTCACACGCAGGAGGGGCCCCTAGATATGTGGGTATATAATCCTGCTTCGAGGCCGCCATGGCTTGTTTTTCTTTTGGGATATGAATAATTCCGAGGATTTAGTGAGTCGTGTCGAGGTCAAAAGTTGGGTTTACTGATTTATTTGCAATGCAATAAAAGAAAACAATACGGAGGGGAGGGACGGAGGGGAGTCTTTACTTGTGTATATATATATGTATCATTATTCCTTATCTCTCTCTACCCAATGTACCCAAGGTACTCACGTACTTACTAACATCGTCGTCATCAGATCACCCCTTCCTTCCTTACGATGCATTGCGCATCGTTGCGCTGAGGTTATCCATCCAACCCACTTGAATCCAACATCTGAAATTCCCCTTTCTGGAAGCGATATGCGCTGCGCCGCTATTCCTAATCCGGGATATCAAGGAGTCAGGTTGTTAGGTACTTTGTACTTCGTAACTTTGCCGTGGCTGAGCTGAGACGGTGGCTCCCGTGCACAAATAAGCTTTAGCCAATCAATACCTTGTCTGGCAGATGTCATTTACTGGACCTACGTAAGTGCTAAATAGCGTAGGATACTGAATTAGAAGTCGATGAGAGCAAGTAAGTGAGTGCCGCTTTTTATATCTAGCATAGGCAGGCGCACCGACCGGATCTGGCCTCGAACCGCATTTACTAAATACGAAGTATCCTCTCGTTCGATAAGGGGTGTTTGCTTTTGCAGAGCGCAAAGACCTCGTCGTGTTTTCCAATTTTGCTTGTCATCCGTGATGTATGTGTCGTATTGTTATTTTTATATACAGCTTCCATCGATGAATATACTCCTCCCATCCCATCCCATCGCATCCATCTATCTCCGTGCTCAGCATTCCTTGCTTCCCATAATTATCGCGTGTCTACGAGATCATCAAATCAACGTAGTCTGTCCACAAAGGGCAACGAGTTCCATCGTCATGCAAATCCTATCATTATAGCAATAAAAGGCCCAGTAGCGGGATGGTATGAGGCCCGGCCCACCAGGCCTTTCGTCAAGAAAAATCAATCCATAAAACTCCTAAACTCATCGCTGATGCATTTCCGTGTGCTCCTATGCTGCAAAAAGCGAAGAACGCCATACCCATGAGCTTCAGAACGCATTGCTGGGGCTCGAACAAAAGTATACAAAATAATGGACAAGTAGAATGTTGTCTTATCTTCTCCCGCATTTTCTCATCCCAAACTTCCCCGAGAGCTAGCTGAGTGTACTGAGCCATTTTCGCTTGGAGTCCCTGGATCAATTGAAACCTGAGACTTGATAGCCATAATCCATTCATGTTGAAGTAGTTCCGCCGCCGAAGCACGCAGCTTTGGATCTCGAACAAAGCATTTTTTGAGAAAGTCAATGCCTTCTGGGCTGAGCTGATCAGGCGATGGGAGTTGTGGAGGGTTGCCTTGTGCGATGTTGTACATTATCGCCCATTCGTTGTCAAGAGAAGCCCACGGCCGACGCCCGGTTGCCATTTCCAAAATGACGCAGCCGAGGGACCAGACATCGACGGCACCTGCACGCCCTGTGTTTTCACCCTTGATGACCTCGGGGGACATGTACATTGGAGTTCCAGTCATGGACTTGGCCTTGCCCCCTTGCTCGGCTGCAATAAGCGTCTTGCTCTGACGAGCTATGACCTTTGCAGCGCCGAAATCGACATATTTTATCACACCATTATGATTGAGGAGAATATCTATAGGAAGTCAATATTGCAGGTTGGGATAAGGGTGTAGGGGTATCTTACTCTCCGGTTTGATATCGCGATGAACAATGCCACTCTCATGGAGGTAACCAAGACCCTCAAGTAGTTGCAACGCATATACCATGATAACCTGTTCATCCTCAATTCGACCATGCTCAAGTAGTCCAGCTAAAGATCCACCAGAACAAAATTCCATAAAAATATAGACCTTGTCTCGGTGGACTTCAATGCCATGATAGGATACAACGTTGGGATGGTCCAATACTTCCAACACAGTCATCTCATCCCTAATTTGCCCAGCAATGGTCGGAATGAGCGTTGGGTCTTGTAAGCGAATCTCCTTGACGGCCATTAGTTGGCCAGAATCCAGGTTAATGGCAGCATAAACGGATCCGAAGGTGCCACCGCCAACGAAGCGACCTTGCTGCCATCTCATATTGACATTGGAGGCAGAGGATGAAAGGTAAGTAAGAGAACGATCTGCTTCGCTTGAATCCTCCAACACGCGGCCAAGAGCTTGTCTTTCGGCTTCTTTCTGTTTTCGAGAATCATCGAGATAACTGAGGTGTTCAAGTCTCTGCTCGAGGATGTATCTTGCAGATTCCTCGTCATTCCTCATCCTGCTCATGTCCATCTTTCGAAATTGTCCTGCTAATGCTTCGATACGTTGTTTCTCGGCCTGTGCGGCTAACGTCGATCGTGCTCCCATGATGTCAAAATGCGAAATCAGAAGCGACATACACCCAGCTACCTTTGCACGTAGCCTCGAATATTCATCATCACCGAGAGCCAAGATGTGCTGACCTTGAGTCATGACCATCGCAAACTCAAGGGCTTGAACGGCCCACCTAAACGTCTTCCTGTCGGTAGCAATGCAATCGTCGCAAATAAAGCTGACCCAATCCAGTGCAAGTTTCGTAAGCTTTAGCTTATTCATCTGTTGCCTATTTCGATCCATGTAGAGCAAGGACCTTTGGCCAAATTCGGTTGCGAAGACGAAACATATCTGAATTAACTCGTGGCAGTCCAACCCTTGAGTCTGTTTCCGGACTATTTCTACGCTGTCCATGATGAGACCAGATAGCTTGTACACTACCCTCTTTATCTCTGTCAACTTGGCGTTAACCTTTTTGAGATTGGATCTTTGCTCAACGACCATATCCAGATGTATGTCGATAGACTCCAGGAATGAATGTCGAGCATTTGCGAGCCTAGCTTGAGAGCCATCCGCAATCAAGCGAAGATGACCAAGCTTGACATCAGTAGTCGGCTCTGGAATATCAGCATCTACTCGTCGTCCGCCCCAATGAATCTCCATTTCCGGGCGAAGGACGAGTACGTATGGGTTTGTGGGATCCTCTGGGGTGTCATCCGGATGATAACACGTTCCAAGAATTGCTTCGATATCTTTAGGCCGATCCCACAGGGCAGGCGAGGCCAATAAGAAGATGCCGTCATGTTCGATACTTGCTGTATATACCTGGAAATGGCCCGTCTCAATAAGACTCTCGTAGAGATTTTGCAAGTCATTTTGATCCATAGCAATGCTGAAATCCGTCGAGTTCTCAAATCGGTCACTCAGAACCCTCGAGAAACGTTGCAACATACGCTGACGAACACGAACCGAATCCAAGCTCTGTTTATACCTCTTAGTCATCTCACCCACAGTTTCCCTTGGCTTCCTTTGCAAGTCGCGCTCGAAAGTCTGGCTGAGTCGGTGGAATGCCTTGAATGTCAGCGAACTGAATTGCTCGGCAACCTCAACATCGCCACCTTGTAGGTGACGCCCGATGTCGTTAGAGAATTCCCACTCTTGCTCCAACACTTCTGCCTCCTTGAAAGTGTTCCTGTTGCCACTGAGTTTGTAATTCAAAAGTTTGAAGTAAAATTTCAAAGCATCTAAGACCACCTGATCGAAGGCTTCATCAATGCAAGGTGGGAGATCCCAGCCTGCTTCGGGCTCAGATATGGTGTTGTATTCTAACTTGATTCGTATAGCGAGATTCAAGAGAATTTGGAACTGAGATATCATCTGCTCCTGCATCATGGAATTCTGCGCCGCCGAATCTTTCATCTTCCACGCAAACTGAAGTCGAACCTTGATGATCTCCTCGATCAGTCGGGAGGAGAAGTTGATGAGAGTAAGAAGTTCCTCGATATAGGGCGGAAGGTGCCGTTTCGCAAAACTTTCGGAGTTCTGAATGAGAGTGCTCTTGGCCTTCTTGATTACCTTTGAAACACCAATAAGAATGCTCTTGTCCCCTTGTAACGACTTCAACCCATCCTCCTTCAAAAGCCTATCTATGAACGAGGATTCATCAGAGAGTCCGTTCCCAGACGGGGAGCGCTCCTTTGCTTTGTTGAAATCTAATTCGGCATTTCCGACCCAGCTCTGCAAGATTCCTAGTTCCGTGTTGATGAGTTCAGTTGTATTATGCCAAGATATAACAGCTTCGTAGGTAGCTTGGTATTGAAGTGAGGCCGCGATCTTGTTGGTGGTTTCCAGAGCAGTTCGAGTAGGATAGAGGCCCTCACACTTCTCAATTTTGGCAACAACATCTCGAACCTGATCTATGGCGGGCTTTCCAGCTTCACTTACACCTTGAACCTCGAATTTGACTATTTCATCCAAGAGTGTATCGACAGTTGATCGAGTATCCTCTATTATCCGCCGTTGCGCTGCCAGCGACCGCCCGCAGATTCTAGACCGTATTCCAAGCCATATTTCTGCATGGAGGTCTTCTCCTTGCTTGTCTGAAGCTCCTATCAGTCGTTTCTTCTCTTGCCTCACCACATCTCCAGTCAACACAGATGCCAACATGCCATGCCACTCAAGCCGCTCCCGTTTTGAAGGATCCTGGAGGTCCTCTACACTCGGCTTCATCTCGTCATTTCCGTAAAAAAGCAAAGTCTCCTGGTCGTAATGGTCGTTATCAAATTGGGGATCGGAAGGAGACTCGTCCTCTGTATCGGACCCTGTTCCATATCCGATGCTTGGCGTGTATGGCTCAAAGTATTCGAATGGTTGGTCTTGCCGTAGCCGTTGTACATATGCCTTCTCTTGGGCTCGATAAGAAGCATTTGGGTCTTGTCGGAAGCGCGAAGTAGTAGAGCCTGATCGATTGCGCTCGGAGGTTGACAAGTAGGGCGGTTGCGGAGGTCGACGTGCTGGGGCATATGTACTTGAGGGAGTTCGAGCCGGCGCTGTTGGTCGTTGAGGTCTGGACGTTGCACCATTCAACGGTGGGGGGGCGAAGGGGATCCCATACGTCCCTGTCCCGTTCGCATCGCCGCTGTTCCTATGAGCACGCGTGCTGGAGGCCATATTGGTGACCAATGGTCGAGTGTCGGTAGCTGAGAGCGAGCTGGGATGCAGTGCCGTTGCCATATCGATTCCTGCTGGCTGAGGAGTTGCGGAATCTTGGGAATCGCCGGAAGAGGCAGATCTCTCGGAATCACTTGTCTGCACATGAGGGCGCGCCATTACCCTGGACGACTCGAGAGGTTCAAGGGTATCGTCCTCTTCCGCGTTGGAGAAGCGGACGGAACGCGGTGTTATGTCAACGCTCATAGCAGAGAGAGCGGGAGGGGGGAAAGGAGGGAAATTGTCGATGTCGGCGCCCAAGGCAAGGTAATTTACAGCTACTAGCGTCGAAGTTCGTGGAGTCGTCTATGCTTTCTTTCCGCGCGTAGAGTGTAGTTCTCGATCTCGGGGAGGAGCAGAACGGTACGTTTAAAGCCAGTCTATTATCATACTTGTATCTCTAAGGGAGAAGGAGAGGAGCGAACCAAAACCCTGGGGATGCCACACTATAGAAGAGAATACTCGGCCCTCGATGCTGTCCGTATCGCGTCGTTTGCAATCAGTCTTTGACTCTTTGGAGTTGTACGCACGCTACTGCACGAAAACTGGGTCGGAGCTCTTCTTAAAGCTCCAAGTGTGGCTTGTCTTGTTACTAGCATGATAGCCTTTAGATGAATGGCTGAATCACCTTGGCAGACTTGGAATGCACGGACAAAGAGTTGGCTCAGGCTCAGTACCAAGTAAATAACACCTAGGTAGGTAGGTAGGTACCCTCCCTCGTACCTTCATACAGACTCAACTCGACCCTTCCAAACAATTCTTTCAGGTGTGGCATTTTATTCACAGACAGATAATGCCAGCCTACGTACTCTTAGTGAGTTCAGATACAGATACAGGTATTTTCCATGATGTACAGAAGTATGTACGTGTCGAACTCGCCACAGGACGGCAGCTGTGGCGTCGCAAGCTTTTACGGCGCAGCTCAGCCAATAATTATGGGCGGCGAGAGCAGAGCAGGGGCTCGAACCAAGGAATATCCCAACTCTGATCTTTTTGATATGCTGTACTCCACTCCGTACCAATCCAACACAGACTCCCATTCGTGGTAGACGGATATTCGGAACATTCGAGACGAGACTCTAAAAGCAAAAAAGACAACATCAGAGCCTACGCAACTCAATACAGTACAGTACTTCTTTAGGTAGATAGCGGGGTATAATATGATAATGCTACGAGTACAATGTTTACAAGTAGACAACCCCCCTTCTCAAATCCCAAGAGTAATCTCAAGAATTACAGTAGAAGCGATATCCATTAACTCTTCGATGGATTATAGAGCTAAGAATGATAACTTACAGAGCAGTGGATGAGCTTTGGAAAAAGAACCCCCATGTCTGCAGTACATCGGACGAACATAGCTTTTACACAACTCCGGGTAACAGCTTTCCGTAGATACCTCAACTTTCCCTTTTGGCAAATTCTATCCTGACTATAGTCGGATTCTAATGCCCATTTCATCTTCTTCTTTTGGAAAGGAAAAATAACATCTATTCTATGCGAGGTTGCAGAAAGCATCGAGGTGCCGTCAAACAGCTCTCTCGTGAGTGAGTAAGTGAGGTGACAACTCGCTTCAGCCTTGTGCCTGCGCGTCACGTATTTTCAAAGAACGCGATAAACTTCTTTCATTCATCCCCACCAGCACCACGCTAGCAGATGTTACCGGCTTCGAGGCCTTTGTTTTATAGGAGAAAGGCCTCATGAAAATATTATTCCTATTTCATTGCTATGTCAAGTCGAGATGAGCTACCGGGCTCTGACGCGTCCGCCAAAACCCTCACGCGTTCTGGTTCTGGTATCCTAACGCCGGTCTCTGACAATTCTCCCAATTTGAGCGATGGCACCTCTCCCGGCTCAAAGAAACGCAAACGCGATGGGCACTCGATGGAGGACTTGCTGAAGGACAGGTTTGTAGTAAAAGTGAGTACTTTCATAAGCCACTGACCACTTTATCTCACAATATATCCAGCCCTACCCCTCTGCTGTCTTCATCAAGCCTCGAACCCTCCAACCGCTCATCCTCTTACCTCGAGCCCATCTACCATTGGCATCTTTGGATTTTACGTCATCTACGAATGCCCTGCCCCAATCGAGACTATTTGAGGCTCATGTTAAAATACTGGAGCTGGAAGAGCGAATGGGAAGCCAACCAATGGTATTGGTAGCAAGACTCGACGATGGGCGGACTCTGTACGCTGTAGAACGGGAGGATCGTGGGCTGTATGTGTTGTGTAGGCTTGGGTCCTGGGTCGATCTAAACCAATTGAAGCAGGCAGCTGTTGTATTGAAACAAGAATTACCCAAGGGGCTCGAGAGAAGAGATTCAATACAACAAAACACGCCAGTTCCCCTTGTCACCCAGGAATCGAGCAAATACAGTAAAAAGAAACGACTCGCGATCGAAGCCATTCAATCCATGGTGAAACGTCCATCTACAGGCCTTCTATCGGAATCACAGCTAGTCGCAGCAGAATTAGAGCCAATACTTGATTCTCAGCCGGCAGAATCGACGGTCGAACAGCCTCTCGTGGATGATCCTGTAACACGTACTGCGGCGGAAATATGTGATAACGTTCGAACACAATATCTAGAAGCATTGTATATCTCTAAGGTAGGCATGCGTGAAATTTGCCCCGACTTCAGCTAATACGTGTAGGCTTCTCTCGCATATTTCGCCAAAGGACCTCTCTCACGAGCACGAGCAGCATTCCACCTAGATTATGACTCTACTCTGGATATGAATGACCATGTCACTTTCTTGGAAAGCCTCGTAATGTCTACGACTCTTATTGATAAGAAATATCGTGATGGGGTGCCGGAATGCGTGTCCTTAATAGACATTCAGGACCACAGTGTAGACGATGCTGTCGAGGCTGCTTCAAAGCCCAAGAAACGGAAAAGCAACAAAAAAATGAAACCGGGAAAGAATGGCCTTTACCCGACCGAGGACACGTTTATTCGACGATGGTGGTCCAGTTACGACGATGAAATGGAATCTGGAGCGCCCGGGACTTCCAAAGATGAAATGACCAAAAGTAGAATTGCTCAATTGCGGATTCGGGAAACCCAACTTCAGATAATTGTTATTCTGGAAGTGCTCGCTCTCCAACCTTTAATCACAGGCTCGGGTGATGTAGATGGTGGCCTTCCTTCCGCTCTTCCTAAAGGCGACATCGTCGAGGGGAAAGAGAAGAACACCAAGGCCAAGAAGCCTGACCATTTCGCAATGCTCATTGATGTCCACATCGATAGATTATGTATTTGGCAGTCCATTCAACTAGAATCGATGAAAGCACCTTCGGGGGAATCACAAAATAATGCAGGGGAACTTGGAATCTCAACGGGGTCTTTGACAAATGGAGATAGCATCCTTAGAGATTTCTGCGTCGAGGTGATTGCACCTTTGTAAGTTCATCCTTTTAAGTGAATCGAGACGAATTTCTAACAATTGATAGCTTCTCTGCTCGTCTGCCCGACCGCTGTGCTGTTATCAACCGCAAGCTAGGAGGTCCTGTTGCATGTTCACCTCCGAAGCCAAGACTGTCCAAATCATCAAGTTTCTCGGGTCTGTCTCGACCGGGAGCAGCTACCAAGCGTCCTGTCCCAGCCAAACCACGTCGCAGTTTACACCGAGTCTTGACAGACGATCGGGAGCGTCGAAGTGTTTCTCGAGGTCCCGAGCGAGCAATCTCATTAATGAGGTCTGCAACAATGCCAACAATTCCAGGATTGAAGAGGGAGACTAGCGAAGCTCCATCACTTTCAGGAATTCCCTTCGCGGAGTCGCAGACTCTGGCGGCAAATAGGGGTGGTGTTCTAAACTCAAAACAATTCTCTAGACGAGAAGTTGATTTAGGCATTCTTGCTCCTGACTTGAATGCTAAAGCAAAGAAGAAAGCTAGTATAGAAGCTGAACTGAAACAGGCGATTTCGGCACTCAAACGGCCAAATCGAGAACTGGCGGGGAAAGACTTGGTCGAAACTGCCGAAAAACGGTCAACATCAGCTTCACACTCTCGGAGTATGTTCATATTGCATATTGAGAATTTTCAGCTAACGTATCACAGAATCCAAGAAACCTATTAGGAATCCACTTTTCCAGGGTGTGCAGATCTCTGCGACACCCAAGACGAATCGATCGACGAATGTATTCGCCAAATCCCAACCTCAGGAGTTTCCTGGGTACGATGGAGTACCTGAACTACATATTGCTCCTTCATCGAGCATGTCAGTAGTACCGCAATCAGTTTCTCGACCATCGCGAGAAAGTTTGCAGCCCAGAAATCCGTTGTTCTCTTCAATTCTAGCGACGCCAACCCGAAGACCTCTATCGGCATCATCCAAGCAAATAGGGGGCTTTCGGGATATTAACAATACAGACCAGGCGAGCTTCCCTCCCTCATCGCCGTTACATATGCGGCGTTCCAGTGCGCAGCTATTTACTGTGCACGATTCCGCGGTAAAGAGACCGGCAGATTTTTCGACAGACCAAGGCATTCTAGAAACCCCAGTTAGAAGGAGAACAGAAGACAAATTACAACACAGTCATCCAGGACCCTCTCCCGGGGGAAACAAGGAAAATGTCGGAGCAAAAGTAGGAATTGTAAATGATGAATCGAAAAGTAGTGGCGGAGGACGAGAAGACTCCATCTATAAGGCGCTAGGATGGGATGACGAAATTGATGACCTGGCATGATGATGATTTTGAAAGACTATGGGCATAGCATGGGAAAGGAGTTTGGGGCTGGCACGCATTTTGCATTTGAGCATAGCGACGGTGCTACGAGGGATCTCGGTGAAAGAATGAGCTTTTGCGTAGAACAGTAACTCATCAATAAGAAATAGGGAATAGGGAATGTTATAGTCATAACTCACGCATTTCGTTGGAAATTACTCAATGTGTTGGTCTCAAACACCTATCACATGCGAGTTGACATCTAGCGCGCTCGCGCTTCCCCATATGTTCACGTCGGCCATAAAGTAGTATACACAAACCACACCTCTACCTTCACAACACAACACTTCGTCCATTCACCATCATCTTCTCCAACTACCCAGAATATACACGGACATTACCTACCCCATCACACAGCAACCCGTCCAGCATATAAACCCTCCCCTCCCCTATCATTCATCATCTTCACCAACACGCAAACGAACATAAGCAATTAATCATGGAAGTATTACAAGGTACATACGCGTTTCGCCCTCCCTCCCCTTCTTGAAACCAACCCACAAACACACACTAACCCCCGTCACAGAACTAGCCCTCCAGACCATATCCCTCTACCACTTCCTAACGCCCTACCTCACGCCCCTCACCTCCACCCTCAACTCCGCCTACACCCACATATACCCCATCGCCCTCCCCTACGTCAACCGGCTCTTGATTCTCGCCCACGACTCCCCCGCGCTGGTCTCCGTCGCCTTACTCCTGCTATTCCTGCTACTCGCGATGCGCATCCTGGGGGCCGTGCAAAGGCTCGTGGTGTGGTGTTTTCGGCTGATATTGAGAACGGCGTTTTATGGGGGCGTGGTGGTGCTGGGGTGTGTGGTTTGGCAGAGGGGGGTGGAGAGGACGGCGAGGGATGTAGGGGCGTGGGGGAAAGTGTTGGCGGAGGTTTGGGGGAGGGAGTATGAGAGGTGGGAGGGGTATCAGAAACTGCAGCAGCAGCAGCAGGGGCAGGTTGGGGGCGGAGTGGGGAAGGGGAGTTCGTGGAGGTGAGGTGATTGGGGTGTTGTTAGGATGAGATGAGATGATGTGGGGGGGAGGTGTATTTACATGGGAGTAATGGGTGGGTTGGAGTTGTTGGTATTTGGAGCCAATACACTGGGCGTTTTGGGACTCTACGGACGGATACGGTCAGGGCTAGAGAGAACATCATGGAGTTCGGTGCATAGGGATAAGGCCAGATGCAGATGTAAGAGTCTGTTTACATATCATAATTCATGAATAACGCCGACGCTATGCTATTTGGTCCGTTCCAAATGATCCCTCTGCAAAACTCCAAGCCAAAAGTATCTCCTCATTCCATGTCCGCCTGCTCCTCATCCATATCATGATCGACAAGCTCTCTAGGCTCCTGTGCCTCATGGAATTGAATCGCATCATCGACATAGCTCAATATACCACCTACACTATCTTCATCCTGTACATTTAGCTGTAGGTACGACACCATGCTAAAGCTATCAATCAGCCCCGCCACGGCCCTGTTCAGCCTCTTGAAGCTCTTCCCCCTCATCAACGTCTCCGTTTCGCCTGGTCCACCTTCTCCATTATCTTCATCCCCTTCTGCCACCGGTTCGTCGTCCAGTAACGTAGTATCGGGGTCTAGAAAGCGCTTCAACTCCCGTTTCGCAATCTGCCCTTTCACCAAATCCATCTTAGACAATATATTAACATGCGGCACCTCCAACATGATCATCGCACTCATGGCACTCAGCGTCCCCGAAAAGAATTTGGCCCTATCAACCACAAAGGTAGCTTCGAGCAAATACGCAGCACAGAGATTGACATCCAGCGCCCCCGTCTTGGTCAGATGCTTCACCAGCGCAGGTAATATGGGAATATGCGTATAGAGTTCAATCTGGCCCGGCATATCGATTATAATGAGGTATTCCTCAGTCAGAGGATCCAGGGCATCGCCTAGCCATTCGAGATTCTCGAGTAGGAATTCGAAGCAGTAGATGAGACCCCCGTTTGGGCCGAGGCCCATTTCCTCCATGACATCTTCGAGCGAGATGAGGTCTTTGATGTCGAGATCGGGCTCGTGGGTGAAGGTTTCGGCGGCGGGGTCGAGGTTCACGTAGAAGCAGGCGCGGCGGTTGTTTTGCAGGTGGGTTATGAGGGCTGAGCAGAAGGTTGACTAGGTAGGTGATGTTATTAGATATGGGATTGCTAGGTATATTCTGAGAGTATTGCTAGCTGACTTTGCCTGCCCCAGCTGGGCCCATGACGAGAACTCCGAATTTGCTCATTTTTGGTTTTGCTTGCGACGCGGGTGTTCCGCGGGGTCGCGTGGAGGGGTAGGGTAGTGGTGAAAAATCAAATCAGCCAGAACAGAACCTCACAAGGCTGGAATGGTTTGTTTTGATTGTGAGAAAATCTTCGGTCTCCGAACGAGGCTGAGAAGCAGTATTACTGCGAGTATTAAATCGCCGAATCCCGTGATTGAATTATTATTGAATGATTGGTACTGTACGACACGTGCATGAGTGGATTATGTTGCAGTTACAGTACTCTTGCGTGCTCGAGCCTTCGTCTTTTCTGCTGATGCATGCCTGCATAGCGGTGAGTGAGGGGCTTCACTATATTGCCTGCCATTCGCCGAGGATGGTGCAAGGAAACCCCCAACACTGAAGCGGCCTAGCGCAGGATGAGGAGGAAAGAGTTTGGCGTGCTTTTCGGGGGGTCTGAAGGAACGGATCCGAATCAAAAAGTCCGCTGCCCTGACCACTCTTGACTACTCCCTTTCTAAAAACCTCAATCCTTTTTCTCTCTTTCTCTCCATACCTCCTTCTTCCAACCACGTTACCAATAACTAGATCCTCTTTCCATTCTCATTCTCCCTCCCTCTCAATCATCCCCTCACATAGCCAAGATGGCCACCAACGGCACCAATGGTGTTAGACCCCACCACAACCAGGGCACATTTCTGTTCACCGTAGGATTCACCCCTCCAATTCCCATTTCCAGTGCCAATATACATATGCTAACCAATAACTTCAGTCCGAGTCTGTTGGAGAGGGACACCCAGACAAGATCGCTGATCAGGTCTCCGATGCCATTCTCGATGCCTGCTTAGCCGAAGATAAGGCCTCCAAGGTTGCCTGCGAGACTGCCACAAAGACCGGTATGATAATGGTCTTCGGTGAAATCACAACCAAGGCCCGTCTCGACTACCAAAAGGTCATCCGAAATGCCATCAAGGACATTGGATACGATGACTCCTCCAAGGGCTTCGACTACAAGACTTGCAACGTTCTGGTCGCCATTGAGGAGCAATCCCCCGATATCGCCCAAGGTCTCCATTACGAGAAACGCCTCGAGGAACTCGGAGCTGGTGACCAAGGTATCATGTTCGGATATGCCACCGACGAGACCCCAGAGCTGTTCCCCTTGACCCTTCAATTGGCCCACAAGCTTAACGCTGAAATGGCTGCATCTCGCCGAAACGGAAGCATCCCATGGCTCAGACCTGACACAAAGACCCAAGTCACCATCGAGTACAAGCACGATAACGGAGCTGTCATCCCACTGAGAGTTGACACCGTCGTTGTATCCGCTCAGCACAGCGAGGACATCACCACTGAGCAGCTACGAAAGGAGGTCAAGGAGAAGATTATCAACAAGGTCATTCCAGCCAAGTACTTGGACGAGAACACTAAATACCACGTATGTGCACTCTCTAATTATGTTCCATACCCCACTAACATATAACTAGATTCAACCCTCCGGACTGTTCATCATTGGTGGACCACAAGGAGATGCTGGTCTCACTGGCCGAAAGATCATTGTCGACACCTACGGTGGATGGGGAGCTCACGGTGGTGGTGCTTTCTCCGGCAAGGACTTCTCCAAGGTCGATCGATCTGCTGCATATACTGCCAGATGGATCGCCAAGTCATTGGTTCATGCTAAGCTTTCGAGACGTGCTCTCGTGCAACTTTCATACGCCATTGGTGTCGCCGAGCCACTCTCCATCTTCGTCGAAACATATGGTACCTCCGACAAGACCTCCGATGAGTTGGTCGAGATCATCCGTGCCAACTTTGATCTCAGACCTGGTGTCATCGTCAAGGATCTCGACTTGGCCCAGCCAATCTACTTCAAGACCGCCAAGAACGGTCACTTCACCGACCAGAGCTTCACATGGGAGAAGCCAAAGACTTTGAAATTCTAAGTGCATAAGCGCTGAATATTGTCATGACTAGCAAGAGACTCAACGTCTTTTGCACACTTTTCCTTCGGACATCTTAATGGCGAAAATGACTGACGATATGAACATGGTTTCAACGACCTTGGGGCGGAGTTATTTCAATCCTGAAACAATTGCTTTTCAAGTGCGCTCAGCGGGGTTACATTTTCATTCATTTTCGGAAGATAAAAGTCTGATTCAACATAGACCGTAGATAAAGCGGCAGGCGGCATCATGAAAAGGGAGTAATTTCACCTTTTCATTGGGTTTCTGCGGTAGAGAGAGCATCACAGCATCCGGCGTTAGGGAGAACTTCAACATCTTCTAAAAGGCTGGATATACCCCGAGACCCCTTCGCGGGGCATGCAGAATCATTGCATTGTGCTCTCTTAATGCTACGGCTAGGAGAGACGGTTTTTAGATAGGAGCGTTATACAGAATATACTGCGTCCTGACTAGTTCTGCTTCCTTTGATATGAGTTGTGATTGTTAACGTGTTGCCTCCCATATTCCAGTCCGCATATACCGCAGGCTCTTTCTCAAGCCCTTGTTTTCTTACGAATCCAAAAATCCTTTTTACATTTCCTTGAAATTGTTACCACGGAATTCCGTATGCCCTCTATCCTAGGTAGTACCTTGGTTTGTAATATGCGGATCGACTAGGTGGTGTTCTTCATTATAAAGCTGTTGGTCACCACGCAATTCCGTGTCTTCTTACTTTTACTAGACGGTGTTGACATCACCTCTTTCCTTTACAAGTTGAATTCATTGTATCGTATGATGACTTTGTAAGCAGAGTTTTCTTCCTCGCAGCCTTTGAGCGAGATGAGTTGTAAACTTTTACCTTAGTCTAATTTCTGACGTTAACTTGTTTCTTAACCCCATGAGAGACTGACTTGATGGTCGATGGTTTTACAAAGCATGACCAATAGATGAAGGTTTGACATAAGATAGATCATGGGTATGTTTATTGAGGTGTTATAAATGGCCGTCTCTTTCTCCTCAACGTTCTCTCCATCTAACACCTCAATTCAGTTCCGTTCCTCTTGTCCTTCGACTTCCAAACCATGGGCTTCCACTCTCCTTTTACCACTTCTGCTTGGGCATCCATTGCGTTCTGGGCTATCTCAATTTGCCCAAACCAAGCAACCGGTCTATCAGCTTCATCACAACTAACAAGCTTCAATTCTACATTCTCGCTTTCGCCTCAACAAATTTCAGATGCGAATTTTACCCTCTCCGATGTCGACAGCGTGAACAGCATCATAAACTGGGAGCAATCACAATATGCAGGAGGTCCAACAACAGAAGACATTTTCTACAACCTCCCCACCATCGCCAACGGGTCCAATCTCACACCGGGCACTCTGATCAAGACCGAAGATTTCACCAACATCACAACATATAGTCTTTCCCCAAACCTCGCCTTGTCCAGGATCCTATACATGTCTCGCAACTTGAATGGCTCCTCAGTTCCAGCATCAGCATTCATCCTGTGGCCTTTTACACCCCGCCAATTCTCCACATCCAGTAATAATACTACTTCCACTACCGCTCCAGTAGTTCTATGGACCCACCCAACATCCGGATTCTTCGGCCCCCAGGGCCCAAGTAAACACCGCACTCTCTGGGCCGGCGACAGCGCACCCTTCGCTCTCGCCCTAGCCGGCTACGCCGTCGTCGCACCGGATTACGCTGGTCTCGGCGTATCTGTTGATTTTGAGGGGAAGCATATCCCGCATCAATACCTTGCTAGTCCCGCCTCAGCCAACGACGCCATCTTCGCCCTGCAAGCAGCACGATCAGCCTTCCCGTCTCGCCTCGGCAGGGAGTTCGTCGTGATGGGGCAGTCGCAAGGCGGAGGCGTGGCGTGGGGGACCGCCGAGTTGATGGCCCGCGAACCGGGGCTCGCTGACGGATATCTGGGCGCTGTGGCTGTGAGTCCGACGACGGATGTGTTTTCAGGAGCGCCGGATTACATCGCGCCGTTCGTGTCATTTGGGATTGCGTCTGTGTTCCCTGCCTTCCAGCCCGAGGAATGGTTAACGGCTTTCGGGCAAGGGAGAGCGAATGTGTACGCGCAGATCAGCGGGGGCTTGGCTACTGCGTTTGCCTTTTTCACGACTGAGGGTGATGGTGAGGGGATTGCGCGGGCGGGCGTGAATGCGACGTGGGAGGCTGTTGCGTATGGCAGGCTTGCGAACGCGGGGCGGAAAGAGGTCAAGGGGCCGTTGTTGGTTATCCAGGGCACGGAGGATGCGTTTGTGCCGTATGCGGTTACGACGGCGACGGTGGGGGATACGTGTACGCTGTTTCCGGGGAATGGGATAAGGTATGTGGTGTCGAATGGGACAGGGCATGTGCCCACGCTTGATGCTAGTCGGATGCTGTGGATGGGGTGGATTGGGGAGAGGTTTGAGGGAAAGAGTGTGGATGCGGGGAAGTGTGGAGGGAGGAGTGAACTGGAGAGCTTTTTGCCCATCGAGAGGTATCAGGCTACGGGTAATTCGTTTGTGCAGTGGGCGGGCGAGGATCAGTATTCGTATGAGATTCCTCTGGCGTTGTAGGGCGGGAGAAAGAAGTTGAGTTTGTATTTTATATAGATGGATATCCTTCAACGCAATAATCGGGGATGGATTGTTGAATTGGACAGCGACCTACCTTGATATTATATAGACTGAGTAGTAGTAGTAGTATAATATTCTTCTACCATCCTTACTACAGATGATATCCATAGAAGTAGACATCGCTTGTATCCCATTTCTATGTAACAAAAACAATGCCATAATGAACCGCATCAGAACAGCTAACCAAACAAAACTCCCGTCATATATATATTGCTTACATGTCAGAATACTTGATATTTACGGTACATATGAAAGATGGTGTCAACTCTTTCCCTCTGATGGTTGTGAGTGATATCAAGGTCTCGAAGCCGCAACTACCTTGCTTCTTCAGGAACTTTCCTGGATTTTTAGGCCTTGACTCTTGAGTAATCAGATGATACGATGTGTTTAAAGAGGACTCGAGACAGTAAGGATGAATGAAGGCAATAAGATCGAAATATGGATCATGTATCAAATAAGGGAGGAGGGTTAAACTGCCTTATCCTTTCCTCACCTCACTTGAAATCCAGTCCCTCACTTGATTATTGTCTAGTAATTAACAAGCGAGGGAGAAAGAGCTACACCTCCAGCCCTCCCTAGGTACGGTACCTAGCCTAGCTCCCTGTTTTAAGATATCCGAAGCCCTCCCTCCCCTTTTCCTTTTTAAAGGCGCTTTGTTCGGGAGGCGCGATTGCCGAAGATCTGTTTATTACCGAGATGAGATGAGGTGGCGATATTTGGGGGGGGGGGAGGGGAAGTGTGAAAGCATCAAGACTTAGAGGTTTGCTTTCCTTTCTTTCAATTGTTCTTGCTAGACAGAGAAAAGAAAAGGGTTAATTCGGGGCAGGTAAGACGTATCAACGGACTGTTGTAGACTCTATCACTTGACCTTTGCTAAATCCCAGTTTGAAGCTTCAATAACACATCTTACGGGCTGCCTGCCTGGCACTTGGAGAAGACGTCGAAGTCCACCTCTTGATTCGCTTGTAGGTTGAGATTAATAGGCAAGAGGTTGGGTGGTGAATGATCCAATAACAACGCTTTTCTCGTGCGGGGGATATTCGAGGCCTTGTACGAAGTGCCGTAATGACTATAACTCGTAAAGTTGAAGGAACGGTAGCATTAAATCAGCGTGGGAAATATACCTCCCCTCCTTAGGAACTTCTTTCGACTTGGGCTAATAAAGCATTATATTTTAAGAGCTAGTATAAAGCTTTACTTATAACGAGATTCTATCTATTGAAGCAGAATAAAGCGGCTTTCTCGGAATCTTAACATCTTGAAAACTACCTAAGTATGTTCTTATCAAACTTAGTTACTCGTAGAGATAGGGATTCCATGCTAAACTGCTAGCGTTATTTTAATCTGGAGAATTATTGCCGAAAACGAGAGGCGGGTACTGTATAAAGGAGCTGTTGCTTTATAAGTAAAAGTAATTTCCCGCTATCAAAGGCATTTTGATTAGTTAGATCTTCTACTGTATGCGACATTACAAAGGCAGCAAACGGCCCGAGTTGAGCTGTCGGCAAGATGGGATCAAATGGCAGGGAGATGGATGGATTGAGAGATAAGTCCGTGAAGTGTTACATTGGTACTGTGCTATATGATTTCGTAGATCTTGAGGGTTTATGCTCTGTTATTCTGTATCGGGAATTGTACCAAGTATATCTTTCCTACTGTAGGTAAACGGTCGTAGAGTTGGCGGAACTTTCGCATGAGTTTCGCAGAGATCATGAGACTGGACCCTTCATTTGTTCTACTTTAGGACAAGGTTTAATTTCGGCGGGCAAGCACGCAGAAATGTACCTGGCGCTTCACTCTTTCGGGGTGGAGTGGCGATGGGGGCTCGGTGAAGCTTGAATGGATTTGGTAGAGAAGTGCACGTTTTATGCAGGTCATCATAAGATGGTGGTCAGTTATTATTAGCTCCTAGTACTAGATGCACATCTTGTGCTTTTCTGTACGGCTTGTGTTCCTGAAGGATGAGTGGAGTGGTGACCGTTGGCGGAGGGGAGAGTAGGAGCAGGTCCAACGGCTGCAAAGGTGTTTCTCGAGTTCTCGGGGTACAGCAGCAGCAGGGTAGAAGGAAGGCATGTGGGAGCGGTGTGCTGTGTATTCGAAGATGCAAGTATTCTCTGAGGCTACACAGAAACGTGTCCGTGCTTGTTATGTACCTGGCCTGGCCTGGGAGACGAGACAGAGACTCACGGTTCTGGGGGAGGCTGATGCCTTCACTCTAGGAACTGGACTGGACAGTACAGTCTACCGTATCATTCAGGGGTAATAATACGTACTGTACAAAACGTGGAGGATGCAGTTTATGGAGGTAGATCTGAGCTGGGGAAGAGAAATGATGTGGTTGAATCAGTGGTGATGATTGGATCAGTTGTTGTGCTCTTTTTGTTGGTGGACTGCATCCATGCCGTACTTTATGCACTGTTGCTCTTCTCTGCTTTGAGTCAAAATGAGGTTGACGATGCGCGGCTGACAGCGTAGAAGGCAGATAGCGACGAGATTTGGAGATTAAGATCTCGTCGGCTATGCCACTAAGCTCCACTAAGACAACTCGCGTTGGAGTGGATGGTGTGAGGAATGCTATTCGCTAGTAATTAACTTCATTATTGCACTCCCTTCAAGTCCTCGTTGAGAGTTGGCCAACAGATGCCCTCCTTCGACCTTTGGACCCCTAACCAATTGTCCTTTGCTTGCCAGGCTAAAAAGGGCTAAAAAGACACGATTATCACAGCATCCCCGATTCCCAACATCCCCCTGCCTCTACTTTTCCCGAACTGACCCTTTACCGCTGCTTGCGCTGCCCTTTGCGTCTCTGGCCCACTCATTGATACGGCGCGTACTCCAGTAGGGCCCGTCGTGGATCTATCGCTGCCGTTTTCTCGCCGTCGCTTTCAAACTCCCTAGGGGGGTACCTTGTACTCACCCCCTAATTCAGCATAGGCCCTTCGTTCCTGGCGCGCGCCCCCCTGACCCAGCTCACCACAAAGAGGAAGGCGCCCACTGGGGTCTGACTAGCCACCCCTTATGGCTTCATTGCGACTCTGATCCTCTGATGCCGAAGTGATAATCCAACTCTACAAACTCGGGCTTGCCTCTTTCCAGCACTTATCTCTCGGATTGCACATCTCCTAATCCTGAGTCCTGTCTGATGCAAATGTCTTGTCCTGTTGCAGGTCTAGACAGAAAACATGGCGTCCGTTCACTACCCAAGTGATCGAGCATCAATAATCTTCAACCGCTCTGTCTCTCTTCCCAATCACGACTCTGACACTCCTTACGCTTCAGAACCATCCGATCTCACTCATCCCTCACATTCTCATCCTAATCCTACCGACACGCGCCCAGCCAGCACCATTGCCGCCAGACCCCCGACCCAGCAAGGGGAAAAGGACAATAGACCTCGAATCCCTTCGTTGTCGCTTCGAGATCGAGGCCTCTCTATCTCGTCCATCTCCTCGTCGTCACCGCTTCGTAGGAAGCCCTTACCGTCAACAGCCTCCCCCCTAGCCACGAGGTTCTCCTCCAGTGAACACCTCGTTGCTACGCTGGAATTGCCGGAGCTGCCCTTCACGCGGCCTTATTCTGTCGACAGTCCTACCCTCCACGAGTTCCCCCCAACGAGTAGACTGCCTTTCGCCCCTGCAGATTTTCTTGCACACGGCTTTCCCAGGTAGATACTTGCCCCTCCTGTTTGAAACAAACCTTGAAACAATACATCAAGCTAACGTGGTTGTACAGACCTCCAAACGAAAAGCTTGCTTTGCCAGACGAACCACCAACCGAGCCATCATCGCCCGTTGACTTGGCAAACCTCGATCCAAATCGCAGTTCAAACCTAGCGCTTCCTCAAACGCGTCCCCAAAGTGCCGCTTTGGCAAAACATGCTAGGTTGACCAGCGATTCAGGCCTAACGTCTGCGTCAGAATCTGTCGGCCCATGGTATAGCGACTCAAGCTCTACCAGCAATTCGCGTTCGACTATGTCTATGTTCTCCTCCAAACCGACACCTCCGCATAATCTTTCGACCTCACCACATGCGATATCACGAACCTTTTCTACCGATTCAAACGACTCAAGCACTACAATTCAAAAATCACAACCTAAATCCCCCAGTGGTTCAAAGCTTACATCATTCTTTGGGTGGGGAGGAAGTGCATCCCCAATATCTCCTACAGGCTCAGAAGAAGCCATCTCCCCAATACCTTCACCTCAGCGCCAAGACTCCTTCACTGATGCCTCCAAGACGAATACTACAAAGAGTGTACCTACAGCCATCGATGTCCCAAAGGCCAATGCAGAAGCGGGAAGCTATTTTGAAAACGCATATCTACAAGTACCTTTGTCAACGCCCGGGACACCAATACAAGTCGAAGAGATGGAGAAAGAGCTAAAGGATATAAGCTCAGAGCTTGCCGCCTCAATAAGGCGAGAAATGGATCTAGAGGATCTTGTCGACCGGCTACAAGCAGAGGCACAAAACCCTTCAGGTTCTGCCAAACGGACTAGTGACTATTTCTCAGACTCTGGAACCAGCTCTGTCAAGTATGGAGAGCCAGACTCTAGACAGGAAGAGTTGGATCGCATGATCCGAAAAACCGAGCAAGAAAAGGCCCAGATGCGACTAGAGCTCACCGACAAAGTTCAAGAGGAACGATCAAGACGGAAGCAGCTGGAATCTCAGATCCGGCTGCTTGAAGAAAAGGCGTCACAGGTCAGCAACCTGCCAATTAATATCAACAGCCTCACTAATAGTTATGGACAGGTCGACCTTGTGTCGATAAACTCCCTGGATACAAACGGGCGCTTGAAGGATCTGGAGAGTACCTGTGAAGATCTTCGCCGCCGCTTAGCTGAGGAGCGGCAAGTCAAGGATAACTTTGAAGACCTTTTGACTGCCCTAAAGAGCGAGCTCGAAGGTTCACACAATGAGCGCGATAATCTTCGCGATGAGATTGTTCCACAACTACGAGCTCGTGTTGAGGGTCTTGAAGCACAAGCTGCTCAGCATGAGAAGCTCACCTACGAGCAATCAAAAATGCAGCAGGAACTGCAAGCACTCAAGATTGAGAACACGACACTAGTCACTGCTCAAAGGATGCAGATGGATATGCATCAACAAATGAAGAAGTTCAATACTATTGCGGAGGAAGCTGGACCTGGTTCTCGATCCTCTATTGGTGGTCTAGCACGGTCGAATTCTGTCGCTGTTTCAAGGTCACGGCCACCATCGCTCACAAGATCTTCATCTGTAAAGACTTCGGAGTCAAGAGAAGCATTGGCCGAGCGGGTAAAGGACATTGAACTTCAGCGAGATTCATTACACCGTGCACTCAAGAGCTTGCTTGAACGTCAAGAGCATCAAAATCGTGAGAACCAGAAGAAGATTCGCCAACTGGAAATGGAGCGGGATCGAGCACTGTCGACCTCACCTAGACGACTTGGATACGACAAAGAGGTCGCCAATCTACGAGAAGAAATCAACACACTCCGTCGCCGAGCAGATGATGCTATCGAGCAAAAGTGGCAATGTGAAAAGGGCCTCAGCGGCTTGAAGATGGATCTTGATCGCGCCGAGCAAGAAATCGGATCATTACGGAGCTTGTTGCTAGACAATGATGTTTTCATTCCTGGTGATCGACCAGCCAGTGGATCAGGATCTGATAGTGGTCATGTCTCATCTGAAAGTCTCGAGCATGCCTACAGGGATTTGCAAAATGCCTACACGGAATCACTGGAACGGGTTAAGAACCTGGAACTTTCTGGGCCGAAGGATGAGGAGACTGAGCAGGCAATGAGGCAGCTTGAGCAAAGCCTTGCAGATGCGATCTCTGAACGAGAATTTGCCCAACAGCAAGCAAACTCACTACGAGAGCAAACTGATTCCCTGCGAGACTTGGAAAAAACTCATGTTGGAGAAGAGCTTGCTCTAGCGGATGAGCTTCGAGGCTCTGCACAGCGTGTAGAGGAGTTAGCAGCCCAGGTTCGCCAACAGCTTGCTTCAAACAACACACTTCGTCAACGCTTAGCCAAGACTATCGAGCGGGGCGAGAAAGAGCAAAAGACGAATGCTGAGAAGATTATGTTTATGCAGAGCAAGCTTAAGTCTCTCGAGGATCAGGTGATGACTGCTCAACAAGCTTCCGAAGAAAGGCTCTCCAAACACGAAGACGAGATCCGCGACCTGAAGGAAAGTCATAACTTCCAACTCCAACGCATGAAAGAAGGCCTCCGCTCTCCTCGTACTTTTGGACCCAAGTCTCCAATATCTCCGCTATTCGCGGCCAACCCTGCCAAGGCCCCAAGGATCATGTCCACCACCTCCGGAAAAGCAATGTCTGTGTCTGAAGACTCCCAGATGCATTTCCTCAAACAACGAGTTATCGATCTTGAGGGCGCCCTGGCCGAGGCCGATAAAGAGATGGAGGAAGTTGTAGGACGCATGAACATTGCCCAGATCGAAGTAATGGAGCTCCAGAACGAGCGCGAAGAAGCAGTCCGCGAGACGAAGCGTCTGCAAAAGACGATCGAGAACGAGAGAGTTCGAGCTTTTGAGGGTAGATTCGCCACCCTCTCTTCTTGAATACACCTCCCGGATGGGAACGACAGGATATATAATCTTTAGATTGGTGCATTGCAGTTTTAGCGGGTACCGAATTATCACTCACGATATGATTAATTAATAGTTTTAATTTTGTTTGCTGTAATCTTCCTGAGAGAGGAGAACAAAATTCGGAGTTCTGCATCAGGAGCATTTACATAGGATGGGTCTTGGCTGGCATGCCTTGGATGGCCTTTGTTTGGTCTTTTTACCTCCTTTTTGTTATCGCCCATTGTGGCTGGCGTGCGAGTTGGTGAATACTCATACGGATGTATTTGGGTATTGTTTCCGTCGCTTTTACTCAAAGTAATTGTAAAGATATTCAGTGGATAGATGAGTGGATGGATGTATATATACTAGGTGAGTGGATGAAGAGATGATACGAATGAAGAATAGAATACTCCTACACAAATATCACTTGATGCTTGATTCTTGATTCTTGTTTCTTTGTATGAAGGGGCTCGCTATACCTGGAAAGGGAGAGCCTTCATCTTGATTCTTCTTCGATGCAGTTTCAATGCTAGCTTGTCGAAAAAGCTGCCTGCTAGTCGCACTTGGGTCGGTTTATTTTCTAGATTGTCTGGCTCTTTCCCCCCTCCCCTCCGTCTTTCACAGCAAATACCTCCTGCAGTAGCAGGCATATCGTATTTTCAACCTCATAGCCATCCTGTATCTCCTAAAGTATCATAACGAGATAGACAGTACAGACTACAGTGGAATCTCTCTTATTTCAGAATCCCAATCTGTCTCTCTCTCCCTTCTCTCTCTCGCCTAGTCCAGCACTTAATTACTTGCTTGCTTTATATATAATTAACACCTACATGCAGTACGCAGTGCGCACGATATATTGGGCTCTGTCCGACTCACAGATGCTGGTTCTTCTATATATTATTTTGAAAACGTACCGTATGAGTATAATAACTTCCTTGTCTTGGTTTGATTGGATGTATGGATGTATGTATAGGAAATACCCGGGCCGGGCCCTATGTTTCTGGGTGTTGGGAGGAGGGGGGGAGGGGTGGATTGGATTTATGCTTTCGTTTTTGCTTTTGCTTTTATCAAGGGTAATATTATAGTAAGATTACGTGTATGTATTACGTATTACCTACGGAGTATATATATACCTAGCATGCATGCAATAGTATTTTTAGACGGATGTTATATGATATGTATAGTGTGCTGACAAAGATGTCCTTGGGAGTAGGGGCATTGATATTGATATTTGTGTTTGAGGTGATCCGTGGGGTGGAGACGGAGAAGGAGTATTCCCTGGGATAATTGCAACATACAGCAACTGCGACTGCCTTTCTCTAGAAACCATATATGTATCCCTTTTCTTCTTCCTACTTACTACTCACTCGCTGGCTCTAAATGAAAAGGAATGGAATGGAATAAAATGGAATATCTACACCGTTACTTGAATAATAAAGAAAAAGTCCACCTAGCAATTAACGAGATTCAGGGTCGGGAAATCCAATTACCTAGTACCTACGTATATACTTTTCAAGATAGCTAAATCGCCAACTTATCTCGGACCTCGGTTGTGCTATTATGATATAATATGATATTAGGGTATTTATATGTATATATAGGCATACTTGTATGATTTGGAGAGAAGGAAGAGATAGCTTAGCTTAAGACTATTTTTGCTTTAGAAATTCAAGTAGCTAGTAGCTGTGTTTTAAATCTCGAGAGGAGGTTGATCAATTAAGTTTGTTTGTATATATATACTTGATTCCAGAGGGAATTACTATAAGAAACAGCTGGCTTTATTTGTTTGGATGATTAGATGAAATGTATGGATTTCCAGAAAGTGCGCGCATAAGTACTCTAAGATGTGTTTAGTTATGTGGAAAAGCAGTTTGGCGGCTGTTCCGAGACATTTATGAGAATGAAGTAAGCAAGCAAGGAAGTAGATGGATGATTGGATAGCTAGACGATTTTGTTGGATATTGGAAAGGTGTGGCTATGGAAAGAAGGGTATCAGGAGAAGAGGGAGGATTGGATCACGAATTAATAAATGTCCGATTTGCAATAGAAGAAAGAAAGCTGATTCTAATTCCTGCAATCCGATCCAAACCCACGGTACGTCTCATTCATTCATTCGATAGAGTGATTGGAATCAGGGAAGCCTGAGAATATATATGTAATAATGTGAATGCATGCACTTATAGATGGCTCTTGATACTAGAGCTATGGCTTGGTAGGAGAATTCTCAGGAGTGAAGAAAGATGAATAGAATGATGATAGGCGTCTTAGAATAGCTGTATAGGGAACGTTGCGAGGGCTCTAGACAACTTTAACAGCTAGTCGGAAAAGCAATCTTGTCAACCAGAGTAATAGAAAAGGGGTCTGAAACCTCGCAACTTCATAATTGACCCAAATGCTTCAGAAGCTCGGCTTGAGCATGGCATGGCATGTACGTATGAGTATAGTATATCCAAAATGATACTTTTATTTAAAAATATAAAGGTAAGACGCTAGAAGTATTAGCTACTCGAGATCAAGGGGCAGAGGCAATCTCGAATCTGGGATTGGCGTATAGTATAAGTATAGTATGCGCAAAAGAACGACCAACGGCTATCCCGAGAGCTTGGTCCTGATACAGAATCATCACAACTGTACAAGTAAAATTGGATCTATGCCGCTGCGTGGGGTTCAGAAGGCTCAGGCCAATGATACGGCGGGAAAGCTTATTTTGTATCCGTATGATGAATGATGAAGCAGGCTTGCACGTAGTTGCATGCAGCAACTATGCAGTAGTTAGTGCAACGGCGGGTTGGGTGGGAAAACTACTATACGAACTGTAGGTACCTTAGTAGGGAAAACCTAGGAGTAAGGTATAGATTAGGTGGACTCCTTTAGTAAAACGCTGATGCGTACTATAGGAATGAGGATTTACTCTACGCGTTTTCTAGAGGCAGATGCAGTGGATGGTGGGGGAACGTATGGGGTATCTTGACTAAGACAAATTTTTTTTTTTGAAACAATTGGTAGTGGGAGTGGGATAATGTTTTGTGTACAGTACTGTATGTACTTGGAGCTTGGGAATTTGAAGAAATGGAAAGAATGGTAGAGTATGGAATGACGACTGGTATAACTGCTTTGGCGGAAACTATATAGACTACAGATTATATATACTAGTGATACATGTATAGAAAGCCTCGAGAGCCTTCCTCTGATTCAAGCTTATTTTCGTAGTGAGTGAGTGAAACATCAAGTGATACCCGACCCCGACTGCGTGACATGCATCCAAGCGGCTCCTTTCATGCGCACTGACGCAGGATGGGTGATTGGGCGATTGTAAAGAAGATTGATGGATTTCAATTGTCATTATCATATCATTAGTTTAGCTGTGAGTCGTCGTTGGCTTTAGGTCTAAATCTCTTATCTCTGTGGCTCGAGCCGGGTGGGTAGGCGCGGCGTCATGGCCTAAAAGATACTAGAGTCGACGCCACGCACCTACAGTACCTACAAGGCGGACGGTATTCTTCATCCGAGTACGCAGGAGGGAAGGAGTGCGGGACGCTGAAGCACCCTTTTATTTCCTGACGCGGCTGAGATCTTGATAGGAAAACTAAGTCGCGGACCGAAGGGAAGGATTTATGCTTGAACTGTATAGTAAGTAGTACTGGACACCACCATTCTATTCTTAAAATACTCGGAAAATGATTAAGTGTAGGTAGGTAAGGTATCCAGTGCACTTGATTCACTTCAGCTGCCAGAAATAACATGCGTATGCGTGCAGCATTGCCAAGACGATACCATAGTTCGTGTGTGTCTGCGATGAAACTGCACATAGTTATCATATACTGTATTCCATCGAGACATTATACTCCGTACAGCAAGACAAAGCACCGAGATCGGATGTTGATTAGCTAGAGGACAAAGACTAAAGATCAAACAAAACTACCAAGATATGAATAAGTCACGGGTGGCAAGTCACGCGTCTACTGACTGTACTTACCTAGGTACCAAACCCAGAGCCTCGTCTAAGACACCTCGTACCACCGAAAGTGGACTGGTCAGGTCAGGTCAGGTCAGGTTGTGTTCCGGGATTCAGGTACTGTACAGTAGCCAATAATAGCCAGCATCTTAGCCTCTTCGACTTGGACTACAGTTACAGTATACTGTACTGTACTGTACTGTACTGTAGTGGAGGATCATCATTTCATTTCAACGCCGTTGTACAGCAGCGTTTGTAGAAGGAAGGTTACAGTCGATGGATGCTATGCTGACTGTTACTGTACCGAGGGCGTGTTGCTATTCCGTACAGGACAACGAGCCTTGGTTGCACAGAACTAAAAGAGTAGGTAGGTAGGTTGGTAGTACGGCAGGTTCCTCCGCCACCATGGTCTTGGCATCCCCGTGGCCCATGCTCACTGCCCATGCTCACACCCACGCTCATAAAGATAAGCGACAGGCAAATGGAAAGTCGTAACAAAATTCGTGGGGTCTGCTGTCGACCAATAGCAGCCTCGCATCCTCTTCCTTGTCTCTTATCTCTTATGGGGCTGACGGGAAGACCCTGTCCTGTCTAGAGGATCCACTAGTACGACTCACGCCTAATCACGACTCGAGAATTAGCCTGCACCGAAACTCAAGTCCTAATCGGGCTGGAGAACCGGCGTCTGCAGGCAGAGCTAGAGAGCTACGGAGGTAGGGCCTAGAGCTAGAAGAAATCTAATACACTTCTGCTTCTCAGAGAACCTTCGATTCCGAGTTCCCAGGTTGGCGGGTGTCGCCGTGGGTAGGAGATTGTCGGATTCACTCATCCACATGTAGAATGGTACAGTAGGTACAGTACAGTACTAGGTACTAGCAGCTAGGTACATATGTACGTACCAAACGCGTGCATACCAAAGTACGCAGTCCATATATATTGTGCATGTCCCCTCGTAAACCTCCTCTCTCTCCCCTTCGATCCCGCCTTGCCTTGCCTTGCGTCGACAACAAAGAATTAGGTATCTATCTATCTACCCAGGTAGTAGATCACTTGGTGAAAGGAGTTCCGACTTCTTCAACTGCCATTTTACCTTCATTCCCAGTCGATCCCCGACGACTGCCACACGTCAATTCTGGCTTTTAAATCCCCCACGGTCCGGCCTCGCATCCCACTCCCAAACCTCCCGAGCTTCTTTTGTCCGCGCCCATTCACCCTTTGCACTCCTTTTAAGTGAATCACAAACCCTCAAGCCTTTCGATTTCTCCACATCGATTCATCGTACTCAACAACTACACGAGCTCCAAATTTAGAATTGTTCGCAGCAAGCAACATACCATCAAGATGGATCCCTCCGTTCTCGATGCGCTAAACTACACCATTAAAGTGCCATACAATGGCACTGACATGACTGGAGGCGACTCCTTGAATGCCGATCTCAACATCTTCTACGATGTAAGCCACTCTGAGCCAGTCCGATCCAGAGACCTCAATTTCCAGCATACATGGGGCGCGCAAAGCTGACAACCATGACATTAGGCCGGTGATATCGCATGGATGATCACGTCTACAGCACTTGTGCTTCTCATGATTCCAGGTGTCGGGTGAGTGCAGCGCAGAACGTGCGTGGACTGTGCTACGTACAGAAGCTGACTTGTCACTCGTGTAGCTTCTTCTATTCTGGTCTGGCCCGTAGGAAGTCTGCCCTATCCCTCATATGGCTCTCCATCATGGCCACGGCCGTCGTCTCCTTCCAATGGTTCTTCTGGGGTTACTCTCTCGCCTTCTCCCACACCGCCGGCAAGTACATTGGCGACCTGGAGAACATCGGCTTCCGGAATGTTCTTGCTGCTCCCTCGGTCGGCTCGTCTAAGATCCCCGATCTCATGTTTGCCGTCTACCAGGGTATGTTCGCAGCCATCACTGTCGCACTAGCTGTTGGAGCCGTGGCCGAGAGAGGTCGCATGCTCCCATGTGTGGTTTTCATGTTTGTCTGGTCTACTATCATCTATGATCCTATTGCATGCTGGACATGGAATCCTTCCGGATGGGTTTTCAAGATGGGAGGTCTAGATTTCGCTGGTGGAACCCCGGTGCATATTTCTTCGGGATGCGCTGCCCTCGCATACTCTGTCATGCTGGGCAAGCGTCGTGGCCACGGTACTCATGAGTAAGTAACATTTCTTTCATTTTGAAAAAGGAGGGTGAACCTGGTGTTCATGCTTCCAAAAATACACTTTTCAGCTGTCCATTCAAGACCAAGTACTAACTTTTGTCATTCTAGGCTTAACTATCGCCCACATAACGTGACACACATTGTTATTGGCACTGTTTTCCTCTGGGTCGGATGGTTCGGTTTCAATGCCGGTTCAGCTCTCGCAGCCAACATGCGCGCCGTCATGGCTGCCGTGGTCACCAACCTCGCGGCATGCGTTGGCGGTATCACCTGGTGTGTGCTGGACTACCGTCTCGAGCGTAAATGGTCAACCGTCGGCTTCTGCTCCGGTGTCATCGCAGGTCTCGTCGCCATCACGCCCGGTTCCGGTTTCGTGCCCGCCTGGGCAGCAGTCATTTACGGTGTCGTGGGCGCAGCAGGAGCCAACTACGCCACGAAGCTCAAGTTCGTCCTGGGCATTGACGACGCACTCGACATCTTCGCTGAGCACGCGGTCGGCGGGCTCATCGGCAACATCCTCACCGCTTTCTTCGCCGCAGACTACATAGCGCATCTCGACGGCTTCAGCGTCATCTCCGGCGGCTGGCTCAACCACCACTGGGTGCAACTCGGGTACCAGCTCGCGGATTCCGTGTCCGGGGGCGTCTACTCGTTCGGCGGCACCTGCCTGATCCTCTTCGTCATGAACCTGATCCCCGGCCTATCGCTGCGCGCCTCGGAAGAAGCAGAGATCCTCGGTATCGACGATGCGGAGATTGGCGAGTTCGCGTACGACTATGTTGAGTTGACGCGCGAGGTGCTGAACGATATGGAGGATGCCGAGAGCAAGTACTCTGCCTCGCACCCGCAGCACGCCCACGTGCACGAGAAGCTCTCTTCGCCATCCCGGGAACATGTGCCTGGCCATGATATCGAAGCCCAATAGGCTGTTTCTGCGTTTTCTTTCATCTTCTTTCTATTGGACATGCAGATTAATATACTTTTTTTTTTTTTCGCTTGCAAGAAGGGGGAGGGAGAGAGGGTGTTCAGCAGACATCTATCCATCTATTTGATATGGTAGTCCATGGACGGCTAAGCTAGCTGACTTGTCGTGGAGGATAATTGAATGATAAAATACTACCTACTTCTGCGCCAAATACGGAAAACCCCTCCCTCCCTCCATCCATCCTCTTTTTCCTTTCTCAACTTGTTTGATCTGATCTTTTGTAAATCTGTTTATTAGACAAAGATAGATGTGGGGCCGGGGGAAAAGGGGGGGAGCTGGCTGGGCTGGCGAGTGGAGGAAGTAGAAGATTGATTGATAGGGCGGGGGAGATAGTTAATGGAATGCGTGATGTTGAGTAAACGTTCTGCTGTGTGCTCACTGCGTACCTACCTATGTGCCGTGCCGTGACGTGACTTTGTTTCTAGATTGTACTTGCTTGGTAACTGGGAAATATATATATGGTTTGGGGAATGAAAATGAATCGTGTGTATGTGTATGTGTATCACTAGATACTATCTTTCACGAGCTTTTCTTTGGTAAATTCGGCGATTGCATTATTGCAGTGCATTGCATTGACTGATCGATAGATTGATAGATATCCTACAGTAGGCGCCAGACAGATCCTTGTTAACTTTCAAGGCCCCTTACTACTTACTCACTTACCCAGCGTACATGGATGGCATGCATGGCTACAGTACGATTGATTAATTCTACCCATCCACCTCTTACTGCCCAACATCACGGAATTGAACTATAACCAGAATACACAAGACAGACAGACACAAGCTCGCTCAAGCAATCATCTCCCCCGGCGCAAGCGTATTCCAATACCCACTACAATAGCAGCGTCTCGTCTGCATAACCAACCACTGCAGCGCCCTCCTCTCCGTCAACACATCCTCCATGACCGCCGCGCACCTAGCACACCTCCTCCACCTCCTGCCCTCCTCGCCCTTGCGCGGATTGCTCAGCCAGCCCTTGCGGAAACAATCAATCGTGCTCTTCTGCGCCTTGCGCCGCGCAACACTCACCGCATCCTCATCCACTTCCAGCAGCGCGAAGTCGGCGAAGAAGAGTTTCGCTGGCTCGATCTCGCCGCGCACGCCTTCGAGGAGGCCTTCGGTGCGGAAGAGCTCCACGATGACGCCTTTGAAGGCTTCCGGGAACTGCCCGCAGAAGAGCATCTTGATCTCGAGCGTGTTGCGTGCTTTTTCCGCTTGTGGGGAGCCCGAGTAGGGCGGGTTGTTGTTGGTGTATGTGTTTTTGATGAGGGATGTTAGGGAGGCGAGGAGGGTTTCCATGGTTTTGGCGCGGATGATTGTGTTGCTTGTTAGGGTTGCAATTTGCATGTATGCGCTCCTTAAAGCGGGCGAGAGAGCGGGTGAGTTGTTTGGTTGTTGAGACGTGTTCGTGTTTGGGTTGGTGGTGCCATGCACCATTGCTTTGCGGGCGATGTAGTCGAGATGGGTGAGGCGCCGGCAGATTGCTGTTAGGAACCCACGGGTTGCGGAGGAGAGTAAGAGGTGTAGTGATATTGTGTTCGTAGAGCGTAGGTGGGCGTATAGTTCGGGTAGCGAGAACCCGTCAGCTTTTGTAAGGTCCATTGAGGAAGAAAGTGTTGTAGGAAGTGTGAGAAGTGTATCTGTTAACCAAGCCAAAAAGTCGAGGACCCAGCGGACAGAGCCCGCAAGCGCATTGATCACCTCTGCGGAAGTATAAGTATAGAAACAGCATTTCTTTTAGGGAATTTACCTGGATCTTCAAGCGGTGATGTCTTGTCGTTTGGATTTGCACCAGGTACGTTCAGGTTCGCGGCCATTGTTACAAGTACGACGATATTGCGTAGTTGGAGAACCAACCAAGCAAACTTACCCGAAAACGTTCTAGGGTTAAACTCTCCTTGAAAGCCGAGGGAGTTCTGGATACAGAGACATAGTTGGATGGTTGTATTCCTAATGAGAACGTCGTAATGCTGGTCTTCCGAATAATCCATGTGTGCTTTCAGTATTTTTGATAGTTCGATCAACCAGTCATAAGCAAAATCTATTCATGTCAGCTCGTCTCTGAGGAATTCCAGCTTTGATGACTGCATACTTAGCTTAACATATTTGTGGGCTGTAGCAAGTAAATCATCATAAGTAACGTTTCTCATTACTGAGGTAGAGCAAGAAAGAGCTAGAGCTGCTACTACAGCTGAATATTGCGCTGGCTAGAGTTAGGATGATCTATAGGAGGTACGAATGGAAAGCTTACAATCTTCCATACTTGACCCTATATCGCCCAAATGATAATCCAGCTGCTTCCACTTGATCTTGCCATCATTTCGAATCTGCACAACGGAGCAGCAACTCGGTGATAATGCGACTTGAAGGCCTCGAAGGGATCAGGATTGAGATCTGAGGCAACAGGGAGCACTTACAAGGTTCGTCTTCTGTATACGAGAAACCGATCTGGGATAGATGCCAAACGCGATCAAGGTCTTGATCAGTAAAGGTCTCAGCCATCGTAGTACGGTCTCGATAATCTACCGAGCTATCGCTATACGCGAAGAAAATGACTTTGCCAAGGTTCATAGTTTGCATGGTTAGCGCAATCTTGTTTACAGTAAAGCTGTCAAGCTTTTTCAAAAAGACAATAGACTTAATACCAGGTGTTAGTCTCGTGTGGTGGTATATTTAGGGCTTGCTAGACTTACTGGTGGCTGAGAACCAATACTATTTCTTCGGGAACTTAACTGTTCAAAGGCCGGGTGAACGCTCTGAGGCTTGTCGCGAATCTCCCATCTATCTACGGTCGTGTGAACATCTTGATTGTAATGGGTCATTGAAACTGGTAGATGGGAACGAATGGCGACAATAGTAGCAGGAGTTATGCGGCCAGACGCATCGCCACAAGAAGGCAAGAATTCCAGATGAGATAATTGGGCCATCGAAGACTCCATATTCGAAGCGTTCAAAGTCTCCGCTGGTGAGTCGTGAAGCCAGCTCGTCACAGCAAGATGGCGAGTTTTGATGGTTGGATTCAGTACCAGCGCAGCCGGAGGCAACTTTTCAGCCGTTTTAGGCAGACCCCAATCTACCAAAGCACGCACAGTTCGAAGTTGCTTTGAGGTTGTAGCAAAAGCAATCAGTAAAGTGTTGGCTGAAAGGAAGTTAGTGAGAGTCAAACTTTATGCATCCTAAATCCCTACATTTGTCAGGGCAGATCGCCGCGTGAGTGATTAGATCATCAGATGACACGATACTCTCCAGTTCTGTATGTGATTCATAATACTTGCCATTATTCTGGGGCCATAGTACGCGCAAAATACCGTTAGTAGTAACGCACACCAATGCGGATTTGGCGTGATTTGGGTGAAAGGGTCCAAATACGGGGGCTTGGGATGCCTCATACCGATAGTTGGACCCCTCCTTGATTGCTGGACCATTCAAAAAAGTCTATGGGACATGTTAAATAAGATGCTTGATTTTGCTCCAAGGAGATGTCTCGGCTTACTGGGCGATTTGGGGGATAGGGGGCTAGATTCAACCAGTAACATCCGACAACACCGTATAGATCATCGACTGGATCCTCTGTACATGGTCTATGTAAAGTAGGTTTGTTCAGAGATGAAAAGATAGATAGAATGGTCACTCGTCCGGCACAATCAATAACAGCCAATTCAGAGCCGGTTGGACTCCAGGAGAGATGCTTCAATGGACCACCGTCCAAAGTCGCAGTGAAAGCATTTGTGATGGTTGGTTCACTAAGACCCCAATCGCCAGTGCCTGGATGACAACGAAGATTCCTCAATTCAAGGGCAACCCCATTTGCGGTAATAGTTGCTATGCAGCCCCAATTTGACCAAGCAACGGTCCTGGTGAGAAGTGAGCATAGCACATGGAGCAAGGAAGGAGAAACTTACTGGCAGCAGCCACCTCCCCGAAGCTCATCGATTCTTTGATGGAGTTCTTTCGAAGGTGGAGGGCGTGTGGGGAGTGACAGGTCTGCTGCATCGCCGAATAGGTCATCCATGTCCATCCCATCGTCCATTTCTTGGTGACGGCTCCGGCGCAAGTATTGTGCTAGATGGAGTGGGGGAATATTGGAGGCATGTGATCAAAAAGGTAGGTGATGCAGATTGAATGGCGCGTTCAAGCAGAATACAATAGAGGCAGACAAGTAGACAAATAATGATAAAGAGGAAGAGTAGAAAGATCAGAAAGATCAGAAAGATCCGGTCAGGTGAAAGTCTGGAGCACCAAGCAGGTCGGCTGGAGTGGAGTTCTGGAGCTGGTAGCCTTGCGAGGTTTGACTGGATGACTGTATTGGATTGCAGGGATTGTGCGGGAAGTAGCTAAATATGCTATAGCGGCAACCTCATTGACCCAGCAACTTGAGAAGAATGTGCAATTAGATTCTATATGCTATACATACTAAAACTTTAAAGGACATTAATGGAGGATATTTGAATCATGTTGTTTCTGCTTTATGCACAACACAAAGAGAAACTAGCATCTACGGTATAAGACTATTTCAGCTTTACTGGGCCCGTCACTGTACTAAGTGCCAATTCCCCGCGCCCGCCTTACTTTCATCTCATCCTAAACGAGTATACGTCAGAAGTGATGGCGCTTTCAATCTATGAATGAATAAACTAGTAGTGGCACCATAATGTCTTTACTTTAAGATGTGAATGAATGAATGAATGATTTGAAGTAAAGAAACAATAGGAACGTTCGACCAAAGCTAGTGGATTCCAGGTGTTGCTGCTGCATCAAAACAACTCGCTTGTGTATAATAAGTACTTGTACTCTAGTGCCCGCTCCGCTGTTACAACCTCACGCCTCTTCGACCACGACCTCCTCACCACCAACGACCCCGAATTGTGACTCGACACGACAACCAACGACAGCAATGTTAATGAGAAGTAATACAGAGACATAACAATTTCGGCAACCTCCCCTCCTCCCTCCTCCCTCCCCTTTTCCTTCCGACCGACCGACTCTGCGACGAAGCCAGCGATGACTTGCAGCGCTTCGCCATGCTCCTCCCCGCTCTCCAGCATCGCATCGAGGTCCCCTTCACTACCCGTGGACTACCCATCGCCCCCATCCAGCAATGTGTCTGATAAAGGCGCATCTTCTCCACCCCGCGACGCGGCTGAGAGTGCGCCTGATCGCGAGGGCCCCCCTCCTGCGAAGAGGCGCAAGGTTGCTGGCCCAAAGGAATATAAGACCGAATACCTTGACTTACGCGCCTTAAATGAGAGTGATGACGAGGCTCATCACCGAGTTCAAGATTCCAAACTCAAGAAGCTCATGGAGACGTTGCGCTCGAAGCGTAAGATTGTGGTAATTGCTGGGGCTGGCATCTCAGTATCCTCTGGCAGTACGTAACCCCTTCTTACCAGGCGTCAATCTTGCTAACCATATGTCAGTTCCCGACTTCCGTTCTTCGACCGGTCTCTTCACCACCCTACGGAGCCAGCATAAGCTAAAAGCCTCAGGGAAGCACCTTTTTGACGCGTCGGTGTACCGCAACGATTCATCCACCAGTTCTTTCCATGACATGGTTCGAGGATTATCGAAACTGACGGAGAACGCAAAACCGTCGCCTTTCCACCACATGATTGCGACGCTAGCCGAGGAAGGTCGCTTGATGCGCTTGTATACCCAGAATGTCGACGGCATCGATACCGCTCTACCGCCGCTCGCCACCAACATCCCTCTTAATATCAAAGGACCTTGGCCAAAGACTATTCAACTTCATGGAGGCTTGACCAAGATGTCGTGTCAGTTGTGTAATAAACTGTTTCCTTTTGATGGGGCACTGTTTGAGGGCCCAGATCCACCTGCCTGTCAGGAATGCGAGGAGGCCGACGGTGTACGAATGGCCGCTGGCGTTAGAAGTCGTGGAATTGGTCGCTTGCGGCCGAGAATGGTATTGTACAACGAATTTAACCCTGATCAGGACGCTATTGGAGCCGTATCTACCGCCGATATCAAGAGTCGACCCGACGCAGTCATTGTTGTTGGCACGAGCCTGAAGGTTCCCGGAATCAGACGGCTGGCACGTGAGATGTGTGCAGTTACTCGAGACCGCCGAGGAGGATTCACGGCTTGGATCAACAAGGACCCCGAACCACTTGGCGTTGACATGAAGGACTCTTGGGACATGGTTGTCCGAGGCGAATGTGACGAAATCGCTCGTTACGTTGGCCTTCCGAAGTGGGACGACAAAGACTGTGGGGAGTATTGTAATGTTGAAAGGGAAGATGTACAGGTTGCGAAGAAGGCGAAGGGTATACTAGGAGTCGTGGTGGAGTCGAAACCACCGGAAGCCATCAAGACCGAGGGCATGCTCACACCCACCGACTCCCGGCATCACAGTCCGCAACCCTTGCCAAACACGAAGAAGCAGTTACCCCTCTCATTTGGTCCAGCGACGACTACGATTGCAGGGAAGGTTACGAAACCAAAGAAGAAGGCCATTAGAAAGCCATTGCCTTCCGCGAAGCCCAAGGAGAAGATCACCAGTGCTTTCACCAATACGAAGAAAGCAAAACTGTCGACCAGCAAGACCGCTTCGGCAAACATCAATGTTAACTTTCCGAATCTCAAAGGCAACACGAAACCAGCCAAGTTACCACACACACCATCGCGAGCAGCATCTCCTGCGTTTTCCAACGCCAGCAGTGAATTGACACCACCACCGTCCAGCAAGCCTGAAGTCGTCATTTATCAAGAGACGATTTCACCTTCAAGAATTCCTGGATTTTTGACAGGCATGATGGACCAAGCATAGTTTCGGTCCCTAATCATTAGCTATGGCTGTTGTCCTTGTCACCATTCATATTTGCATTCCGAGGCGTTACGGTCACATCAATCACCAAAGCATCATGCAGAGTTTTGGCAGTAGCAGGAGATTGTGCACCATATGTATACACAATACATCGGCGTTTGTTTTGTAGCATCATTATCAGGTTGGGAAAGCGTCGCACACTTTGGGTCAGGGGGTCAGGGGTTATTGGCTGGATTATCTATCCAGTATTTATGTAACTCCTGCTTGCTTGCTTTTATTTTGTTGCATTCTGAAGAAGGGAGGTATCACCAGTACTTTACTAGTTGTGGCTGGCTGGCTGTATTTAATGGACTCGGGTCTATTCTATAGACGGAAGGCCTTGGAAGCTGGCAGCGATGGATGGCAGGTTGGCTGGGCTGGCTGTTGTACATACATACATATCAAAATAATCATGGCACTGATATCAATGATACCTGTCTGTGCTTACTTGACCACTGTACTGTGACCGACCATACCAATCATTAGTAAAAGTTCTATATATACTACCTAGGCAGTTTTGTAAATTTCTCGCTCTGCATGCATTCCTCCTGTAATTGTAATTGTAATTGTCATTAGTAATTAGGACAGCTAGACAGTGCGAGAGTTACATATATCATCTCCATCTATCCTCATTAGCCTCCCTCCCTCCCATTCATTCATTCACATCCAAAATCGGACTCCTGTATTCTATTTCCGGGCTGGGTGAGATTGTCTGATATTGTTGCATTGGATTACAACATCCGTCGAGTGAGGTAGGGAGGTTCTTCGACAGTGCCCATGTACTGTAATGCGGGCTTTCGCGGTAATAGCAAGCAATGATCTGGACATGTATTGTACTATATACGGGCAGATACTGTAACTACTGTATGTGTCTTTGGAATTTCAGTATTGAGGTCAAGGTTTTCTCAAATTCTTTTTGGAGAAAGAAATTATATAATAGAGATTCAAATCAAAGCCGCCTTTGAAAAAATTGATGGTCAAGGAATATATCAGATGAGAACGACTGAAGAGGGGTGGGTATACTATAAAATCCGCATTTACACAAACGCCCAAGAAAAGACCTGCTATCCTATCCCAATTATGTTTAAGATCTCTTCGCGCCTTTCTTCCTCCCACTCAACGTCCTTATACCATCTTTCCCGCTCTCCTTAGCATCCGCCAACGCCTTCCCACCCCGCTCCTTCACATGGTGTTTCTCGGCCTCCTCACCCACATCATCCATCACATCCGGGCCGACAGTCGTGCCGTGCACCCAGTCCATCAACCCCCACGGAGAGTAATTCCCGCGTCCGCGACTCTCGCTGTGCGCGTCCTGCCTGCGCGCCATGCCGCCGAGCATGATGCCTGAGATGTTGGTGTAGCCGGAGAGCGTGAGCGTTTCTTCGGTGGTGGTTAGAGCGAGGGTGATGAGGTGGGTTAGCAGGTGGGTGCGGAAGAGCAGGGAGGGCAGATAGGTGGGGAGGAAGCGGATGAGGAGGTAGGGGAGCGGGTGATCGTAGTGGGCTGCGAAGGAGTAGGGGGCGGGGATGGAGTGGAAGTAGGTGTTGTGGAGCGCGGATATGTAGGTGGGGGAGCTGGGGTGCAGGAGGAAACGGTGGATGTAGTATTGGAGGATCTGGGAGGTATTATTAGCAGATGTTTGGGATGCGATATGAGGTATGTGAAGTGAGTGGGTTTGTTTATTACCTCGCGCAGAAAGAGTGATCGGATGACGTATTTCGCAATGGACCAGGGCATTGGCAGGGTTGTTGTGACTTGCAATGCACTTCTGATATGGAGGACTTGTGTGAAGAGTAACTCGATCCCTACTTGCAGCGCAACGCTCAACAAGATGTTGAGAAGACTAACTCCTATAACGAAATACCATGGCGGCCTGCCTCCCTTCCTACTACCCCGCGAACCTCCTGACCGCGTTGGCAAGGCTGCCTCACCTTGAGTCTTGATATTGACTATCACGCTCGGTAGGAGAGAGTCGAAGAGCAGGAAGAGTAAGGAAGGCAGCAGGAAGAATATTGCGCGAATAGCTAGTGTTCCGACGATTTCGACTTGCAATGGAGGAAAGGAAAGCACCATTGTACTCCAAGTCTGGAGCCGCATGTCAGTATTTCGTACCCATCATACATTTCGAACTCACCATATAGAAGAATAGCAGGTTCAAACTGGTCGAGTAAGTCCCTATAGAGGGACTCAAAAAGTACATTGCCGCAGGTATGGATAGATAGGCGCCCATATTTGCAGATAGTTACAAGGAGATCAGGGAGTCAAGTTAAATTCCCAGAAATAGAAAACATGTATGTATATAGAAGATAGAAGGAGATTTGAGTAAGACACTTGTCGGTTTCTCGAAGAACTTATCTGGTCGGGACAAGGTTTGTTATCTGGAAGCTGTTTCTTGGAAGCAAGCTGTCGCAAGGGCAAGCTCTCCTCGATGACCCCCCTATGACGCAGCTGTCTTAACGGGGTGTGATACCTGTGGTGTAACTCTGGCGTGGCCTTAGGTGTCGACCGGGTGGGCATATCAGATCAGCCCTGACCAACTGCAGTGGAGTAGAGTAGAGTAGAGTAGCCTGAATAGGGACGACCTTGAATGTGGACAATCGCAAATAGGTATAGGTACTGTACAAATGCAGTTCCAACACGGTGAAAGAATATACAATACTGGAATTCAGTGCGACCCATCATTGCAATTGCCCCAATGGAAAGTCATGGATGATTGATGCCCATTGCCGAAGCTCAGGGCAGAAAGATGAAGGTGAAGGTTACATACAATAATCTCACCGGGGAATTTAGATCTGGTCTCCTATTCGGCTCAGCCCAAATTAATTTGCTGGAGGGCAAGGGCCTTGAAGATCAACCCTTCCTTTTTTGCGATCATGGCGGTATTCAGCACGTATACGCGAGGGATAGTACTTATTATCCGGGACTCTTCTGTCTCTATAGAGTTCTGGCTCAAACTCAGTGTGAGTGAGACAGCTCCGTACCTCCGTATTGCTGCATTACCTGCAGGTGTCCTAGCGTCGGTTTCCCTTGGGCCTCAAAGGTGCATCGCGTACATATCTTGGGGTCCACCTCCACCTCCTATTCACATCTCAGCAGTCACAACAATACGGTCAGAGCGAAAGGAATTGACCAGAACAGACCGTTGGTTGCAGCGCATTGCATTCAGAAATCCTGCATTCCACCACCCCCATTAATCCGGTCCTCCCTCCAATGGCGCACTCTGCCTAGCTATCATCAAACCCGCATCGAGTCGAAATACCGCACACGTCCATTTGAACCAGCTCGCTGAAACATCAAGTCAGCTTGTCCACTGTTTGAAAGCAATGCAGCAGCGTCAAAAAGTCTCCTAGGTTAATAGAATCCCCCACGAGATCTTCTGGAACGGGCGCCGAGATCTACTGGCTGGGAAATCTACAACTATGGACTTTGATGCATCCCCCCTCCAATACCATACAGGGTACGGCAGCATGGCCGTCGAAAGTCTCTACAAGGTCCCTCCACACCGGTTAAAAACCGCGTACATATCCAGCCCGCCTCTCCCGAAGTTATATCGTCTTTGATAACATCGCTGTCCGTCATATCCTCACCTGCGAGTCAACTCTTTGACCACCCGAAATCGACGCCTGCTTCTCCCGCTCCAACGACAAGCACATTTGGGAATTTGAATGCTCACAACGGGTCAGAGTCGCCCAGTGGAAGCTTTGGACTGGACTACGGCGCGTATGAACAACCTTCTCTACGGGACCTTATTCAAGAAGAATCTCTCGATGAGCTTGCTGCAAGCCCTCCAGTTATACGGACTGCCAAACCACCCTCGGGATTTTCACCTCTGACTGCACCACGATCACCCCGAGACTCAGGTCCACTGAAAACCTTTTTGCGAGGTAGTTCAAGGCCGTCATCCAAAGGATCCGATCGGGACGATGACAGCAGCATTGGTAACTTGTCTATCGAGCCTGGAGTAGCGCCATCCCTCGAATTACGGCGAAAGTCATCCAGCGATAGTTGGGGCAAGAAACAAGCAAGGAATACAAGAGGATTGATGTATATGAGTTCCAAGGAGCGACTGCGGGAAAAGGAATATGAGCGCAAAAGAACAAGTGGGCCTACCATGGATCGAGTCGTCCTGCCGCAATTCGATGCGGACTCCTTCATGGCAGAAAGTGCCATTGGGGAAGAGCCGGAAGATTCATCATCAAATCGATTACCCATCGCCAAAGATTTGGGTGCACACCTCGGCATAGGAAGTCAAGGAGGTATCGGTTCTGGTAGGTTTATACCAACGCGAGACTCGTCTCTACGCAGATCACCGACCACGAAGAAGCGTTCATCCCAAAGATCAAGTCGGCAGAGTAGCAAGCATCGGACTAGTGAAGATGCAGGTACTACCGAGCAGGTGCAGAAACAGGATCGGAGACGGGAACGGAGTCGATTTGATGACCAGGCGTTATCATCAGAGGGAACTTCAAAAATGATGGAACCACTAGATAATTTGCAAATGCCACGTCCGCCGAAAGCAACGACACTTGCCAGCGAACAAGTTCCTGAGAGCGCCAAAGTGGACCAATCACGTATAATTGAAGAAGCAGAAGACGGGGCTCCTTCACCAGCTGTAGCCCAAAGAAAGCCACGCGGAAGTCCCAATCGATCCACAGGTGAGAAAAGGAGGTCTGGGAAGGTTCCCGAACCAATAGGAACTCCTAAGCGTACTGATTCTCGTTTGAAACGACTGTCGGCACCACTGAGCCCAAGAGGCTCAGAGAAGGACCCACATCAGAGAAGTAGTTCAACGCCTTTATCGAGAGTCGGGTCTCCTGAACCAGTCAAACCTCCTCAAATACACGTTGATGATAGGCCCTCCAGTGCCGACTCAATTGACGATGCCGTGGAGGCATATCTTTGTTCTCCTCGATTGTCACAAAAGATCAAGCATCCTCAGACTGGCCGAGCGATATCTTTCTCTGAAGTCGGGGATTCCGATGGGTTCGCAGTTTTCTGTTGCGTGGGGATGGGCCTGACGAGATACATTACGGCCTTTTACGATGAGCTCGCTTTGACGCTGAAGTTGCGCTTGATTACCCCAGATCGACCAGGGGTAGGACATAGCGAGCCTTATACTGATGGCACAGCAACACCTTTGAGTTGGCCCGGTATGTGGAATTGAATTGTTTAAGAAATCCTACTAACTTTATATAGATGATGTATATGCAATATGCCAGGCACTGAAAATAACCAAGTTTTCAATTCTTGCTCACTCTGCTGGAGCTATCTATGCCCTTGCAACTGCGCTCCGTATGCCGCAACACATCCGTGGACGTATCCACCTCCTTGCACCATGGATACCACCATCTCAGTTGAATGCCTTTGGGGGTCAGACGACATCACCTCCCAGTAATTCTATTCCAACATCTCAACGTATCCTTCGCGCTCTCCCAACCCCCATACTTAAAGCGGCAAATTCAAGTTTCATGAGCGCTACTAGCAGTTCCATTACTAGCAGCCTCCCGAAGTCACCGCGGCGCAAACGAAAGTCCACTAATCGTGACACTCCAGCTCTTACCAGTAAGAACACGGTCGCACTGTCTGTAGACAAGGAGAATCACGGGAGAAATTCTACCATCTACCCGGATCCCTCAGAGAAAAGTGCTCTAGCAAGAGCAGCCAAGAATCCTGAGGACCCGAACAATCAAGCCGCGATCCTAGCTGCGGCAGCCAGTAATCTTGCAGAAAAGGAGAGGCAGACAACATATGATACAAGACTTACACATGCGATCTGGGAACTTGCTACCACCGGTGCTAACCCTGCGGTGGATTTATTGGTATGCTTAGAAAGGAATCACACCATTGGATTCAGATACGTAGACATCACTCGAGCTGTTGTCATTCACCATGGCAGCAAAGACACCCGAGTTCCTGTTGAGAATGTTCGCTGGCTTGGGAAGACGATGAAGAGATGTGAAGTACGTGTCTTGGAGGGCGAAGGGCATGGACTGATGGCATCTGCTGCAGTTATGGGGGGTGTTCTAATGGAGATAGCAAGGGAGTGGGACGATTGGATGAAGGTCACTGGTGCGTCGACCACTAGTAAGTCCGAAGGTAGAAGAGTGTTGCGGGAAAGGGCTAGTGTTGGAGCGTTCAGATGAGGGTGTTTAGAAAACCCCGCGATAATAATTTTCCTTGGGAGACGACGAACTATGGGATGGTCTGGGGAAATGCGGGCTGGGTGTTGGAATTACAGTATAGTTATGAATGGGGACAGACGACCTGTACGAAAACCTGTTGCGATAAAAGGCATATAATCTACGATAGTAATATATAATTGATTCTTATTTCAAAGCGGAGACCAATTCACAACTGGTAAAATGTGTTTCAGCCGACTTTTCCTTGCATCAGAACCCTTAACAAACAAGCTCGGGATTCAGCGTAATGGGACGACCAATTACTCTTAATATGAGTAATATGGTCCCACTTTCTAGTATACCCAAATCGAATTTTCCATCAAAGACCACCACCATATACAAAACTGCCAATGACTGGTATATAGCATTAGCCGAGATGCAGATGGCAACACTGCACTGCTTTTCCAGCATGATGATCTATTCAGAGAACGACTGCAGGACAAAATATGCAGCCCGTCAACTATTTCGCAGACTAGCTAAACAGGGTCGACTGTCGATATTTGGATTTGCTGACTCCAAGACTACTGGTGCGACGTTATCGGCGCCTGATGGCTCGAGCTCGTTTCGACTTTAGCCTGATGGCTTCAGACCGGCCAATGTTCTTTTTAATAATAATAATAAGCAGATTACCGGATTTATCAACTGGGAGTTTACTTATATGGGACCGACGCAGTTTATTTTGAATCCCGCTTGGTGGCTCCTTATTAAAGTGCTGGAAATGTAGGAGGACGGTATTAATGACTGGGCAAGTGTTTATGAAAGCCAGCTGGAAACCTGGCTTTTGGAAATGGAAAAAGCTGAAAAGGATATGAAGCCTGGTTCTCTATTACTATCTGCATACATGAGGGAGAGCTGGGAAACAGGCCGCTTCTAGCTTGATTATGCTGCTAGGAAGATCTAGGCGTTTGATACTATCTACTGGAAATACTTGGATGAAAGGCTCTTTGGCAAGCGGGAATATTATGGCCCGAAAGAAGAAATATAGAAGTCAAGAGTACATCTTCTAGGAGAAGTGGACAGGAACAGACAGCAATGGAGCTACCAGTATAAATAAAGATGGAGGATCGAAGGAACGGGTCTTAGTTGATTGGGAGGCTTCTAATTGATTGAAACTCGAAGGTTTCTTCTACAGCTTTACCATCTTGAACAGCTTCCTCTGCAGACTTGTATTTATTCAAGTAGCACTTCAATGTGATGCCGTTATCAATCCGAATATCTTGCAACTGTACAAATCGCTCCCCAACTGTATTATAATAGCCATCCTTGTTTGAATATCTCGGTCCAACTCTCTACCATGTGAAATCATGTGATAGATCACGCATCAGCATAGTGAATTGCTTGCCCGACGCTAAGTAATTAGAGCCTGGTGCTTGGCAGGAGCAGGGCAGGTGCGTGCACAAGACCAGTCTCCGCATTTCAAGGGGCCGCGCCGCCTGCCATACCAGCGCAAAGTATATCATTGAATTAGTAACCTTCCCTTCCCTTCCCAAAGGAGTTTATTTGAAACTTCATACTTCTCTGTCCCAAATCCAGCACAATCCTCATATTGTCTCATCTCATCTCAATAAAGCGCCTCGGTTTTGAAACATTGGGAAGGCAGCCAGTATTTGAGACGCCCGCCCGGCCCCGTCATTGTAACACAGACATCGCCCTCATCATCCTCATCCATCCTTCCTCACGCCTTGGCATATTTCTCACCGCATCTGACAAGCACTCACAAGAAGCCTCATTCCCGTCCCGTATCGGAGGGGCTATCGCAGATGCCCAAATACCACCATAACTGTGAGTCCTTCCCTTTCCCATTCTCGGAGGCCACCATGACTGACAGCTTCAACGCAGCCATTTACACCACCCCCTTCCTCAACCGCTCTACCAATATGCCGTCGATGCGCCGCGTCAAAATATTCGGCCTCTTCGTCGTCCTATTCGTCGTCACCGTCCTATTCTACACTGCCTCGCTCCGCCAGAGCCAATCGCAAGACTCGCGGACTGCCAGCGATTTCTATGACAAGACCGTCAATGCCTTGAACAACAAAAAACCGGGAGGAGGAACCTCAGGTGACGAAGAGGTGGCAGCTGCGATGGCGAAGAGCTTGAAGGAGGCTGCACAAGTGGCGAAGGATAATGCGAATGCGAAGGCTCCAAAACCAGATCCACCATCCAGCATATTGGGGGTTGGAAGCGCAGCAGAAGGGGCGAGAGAGGAGAAGAGTGTGGCTGGACGGAAGAAGTTTACGACTGGGGAAGCGCAAGAGCCTATCAAGAACAAAGTTGAGACGCAGGAGGACCACGATATTGAGGTTGAACTCAACAGTATCTTGAAGAAATCGCCGAGTAAGTGTGCACATGCGTTTTATAGAAAGCCAATTCTAATCTTGGGTGTTCATAGTCATCATATTCTCGAAATCGTACTGCCCTCACTCCAAAAGAGCCAAAGATATTCTCCTCGAAAAGTACATTATCAACCCTGCGCCATTCGTCGTGGAATTAGACAAACATGAACTGGGACCTCGACTCCAAGCCAAGCTTGCGGAACTCACAGGGCGAAGCACCGTTCCCAATGTGCTTATAAACGCTGTCAGCATAGGAGGCGGAGACGATGTCGCTGATTTGGACGCCAAGCACACTCTGATTAGCAAAGTCAAGAGCCTGGGACTAGGGAAGATTGTCGAGGTACGAGAGCGGCCTGTTGCTGAAGAAGCAGACAAACCCGAGCCTAAATCCGAGATCAAACCCAAGCCACAGGCTCATGGTCTGAGATAAAAGCTGGCTTGGTGTATTAAGTAAGGGACGGCGATCTTATCAGGTTTGGGAAGGCTATGGGAATCGACAGGACATCACATCACAGGAGTTTATGGCTTGGTAAGGAAATCAAACTGCACTGCGACGGCGTCCTTGGGTTTGTTTATCGTGCACAAAGCATAGGATGCGTATATCATACCTACTGATAATAATGCAAGGGGTTTATATCATAATGAGGAGTGTCCCGTTTGACTGCTTCGAATGAAGAGGCCTGGCAATGAAGAGTTCCAACCCCTTCTCCGAGAGCTAGAGTAAGAGAGAAGGGAAGGAGCTAGTGCTTCTCTCGATATATATATCCAGCATGATTGATGGCCCCAAACTGTCAAATATTACATTCTTCATCTTTTTTCTCAGAACCCTACATTCCTTCTCTTTATTTATATCATCCCAACTTGATCAAGTGATTGATCCCTTTGATCCAGGAAACCTGTGTTAACTCTTAAGGTATTAAAAATTCCTTAGTACTAGCTATAGTGCAGTGTGCTAAGTACGTGAAGGTAGCTTCTCGTCCCTGTACATGTGATAAACCATTCATAAATCTGGATACTCTCTAGTGGAGATTGCGGTTGTAGTCATTTGGAAGGTTATAGATATAGTATCGGTCATGAATAACTTCACGGGTGCGGTTTCGATCATTTGGCGTAGAAAACATCATGCTTTTACTTCATTATAGCTATCATTTTAGTCCTCTCGAATTATTGGCAACCAGCTATCTATCAGGCTATGTACGAGATATGAAAACGAAGATGAATATATCAACCCAATGCCCCATACGCCAATCCAAACTTCTATTCACATGACCTACTTTTGACAACACTCGGCACCTCCACCAGTAACGACCAGCTTCGACATCTTATCCGCGGCGTCGGTCACCTTGGACTTGTTCGCAATCTGACTTGGGGTGCTGCAATAGCTGGGTGGGACATCTAGAGCTGGGTTCTTGAGGAAGAAGTTTCGTGGTCGGAGTAGTAGCGACATCGGCTCTGCGGGCATAACGGGGAAGTCTTCAGGCGCGGGGAAGTGAGTGATACCGAAGGTGTGCCAGAGAACAATATCGGTGTTGTCAATGGAGGCGTCACCGTTGGCAATCCACTCTGGGATACCTTTGGATGGCTCGCCGGATGTTTGGGGCACGTGACGGCCGGCTGGGTAAAGTTGCTCGTCGTCGTCTAAAAGCAGTTAGCTATGATCGGGTGACTTGATTGGACATGTTGCTTACATTGTGTGACATGGACGGCATGTCTTGCGAAACCAGCTCGCTTCCACACGAGAGATCCTTCCTTGGGGAGAAGTCTCGGGACTTCCCTGCTGACGAGCTTGTAGCTGGATGGCTTGTGGCTGTATGGGTTGATTTTGTTTGTGTTGCACATATCCCAGGTTCGTGATGTGACGCCATCATAGTCACTGATTGCCTCGCTCACAGTCGAGTACTTTGTTCGCTTTGCAAAGAAAGCGTTGCCGTATGGGTTCTCTTTGCTACCGACCTCACCAGCGCCTTGAGCTGCATCAACTTGGAAGACAGTGTTGTTAGGACCATCGATGTTGGGGTCAATTCGCAAGCAGAAGAGATGTTGATGGTTGTGTGCGTTGACTCCAGGGTAGACTTCAGTTCCCCATCCCTTGGTGTCCTCTCCTGGAAGCATCGCATAGGTGTTTAGGATGCCAGTGAGCTTGATTTCCAGCTGAACAGTCCCGTCTTGATGGAAGATCCAGTAAACGCAGTACTCGTAGTTGGCTGCCGTGAAAATGTGTGAGATAATGAGCTTGCGGCCTCGGGTAACTATGCATGACTCGTCACGGAAATCTGTGTGCTTGAATAAGACGCCCGCATCTTCTTCGTGTATACAAATAGCGTTCTTGATGGTGGTGCTCTCTCCTGCTCGGTTGACAAAGGCAGCATCCATGTAATGAATTGCACCTTTGCAATCGCAGCCCAGGGAGAGACTGTTGGTCATGTAACCACCGCCGTACTCTCCCAGATCAAATGCATGCTTCCTCTGATGAGGATGCTCGGGGTTTCCGTAAGGAACAACCATCTCCACCAGGGACAGTCTATAGAAGATCGGCCGTACAGTTCCCTTGTCATTGTATGTGATGTTGTTTAGCACAATGCCTTCCTTGTAGTTGAAGCCAATGTGGACCTTCCAGTTTTGCCAATCAATGACACGTCCCTCAACCTTGAACGAGACCCCCTCTGGTTGTGTGATGTTGATGGGCTTGATGTCCGTTCGGTAGCCGCCCTCCTGCTCAATAGATGCTACGTGGTAGTTGTTGGGTTTGGCCTTGTTGACAGGTCTGCGGATCTCGGGAATATCGATATGAATAATTTCTGCCTTGTCTGCATCGAAGATGGGGCAAAAATCGAGGGGGAACGAATACTGGCTGTCATCTATATGTGGTCGGTAGTACATGAGCGCCTGTTGAAGTCGGACGCTATTTCCAAATCTGTGATCATAGCCAATCGTCCAAGCTGAATATTATTAGCCAGGAAATAATTGATGGAATCAAATGGACATACGATCGCAGAAGACTTTGTGCATATCTTCTGCCGGAATACCGCTAATCACGCACTGCTCAATGACCTTTGGGTCTTTTCGCACAACATGCTCGACAGTCTGAAGATCCTCCATGGTGATCTATCTCCAATGAGTAAAATCCAAAATAGCCTACCAGGAAACTTACCAATGGCTGAACTCCCTCTAAAATATCCCACTTGATGACCTTGGCGGTTTTCAAATCCACCAGTCCATCGTACACTTTCCCACCAGGCGCAATGGCTACAACATCTGCCACTCTGCTGGGCCTTGAAATATTGACTGAATCCTCAAGCCATTTCAGCATTTCTGCCTTCGGAGGCTCCCTAAGTGTCACTGCATTGTAATTAAGCTGCCCAAACTCCTTGCCCAGGATCTGGACTGCGGCGTCAATCTCTGCATTGGAGAGAGGGTCGAAGGGGTGGGGAGGAGGGCCAGTGCCAGTGACATGCTGGGCAACGGACTTGAGTCTGTCGAGAGCCATTATAGAATTGCAGAGAATGAAGTTGGTAGTTACAGAAGCTCCTGTGTATTACTATAACAGTTGCGGGATGTGAAAGTCAGTTGAGGAGGGGTAGAGGGGAAGATATAGCAGATGATCGGGACTTGGTGTATCAATCGGGTCAAGACTCAAGAGAGAAAAGTGAGATTAAACGTTTTTGAATTGTGTGAAGCTCTTGCAATACTTAATTGACACGCCTATTTTGACCCCTCGATATGCAACCCGATGGCGGTGACTCGCCGTTCGTCGGAACCATCAGGCTGGACGATTGTTGATTTTGGTTGGAAGACGCGAGTGATAAGACGATAAACGGGATCCGATGGCTGCATTGGGTTTAGTCAAAACCTGTCGATCAAAAGAGCGGGGGAAGCCGCCCTCGATGTCCATTTTGGGTATTTGTATCCCAAAACATTGTTCGGAAGAACTTCGTGAAGTATCAAAGAAATCATCTATTATTAGTGCTGTGGCAAAGGTATAGATTACAAAGTCGCAGCTTCATTACTGGCAACCGCGTGAGTTCGTGGGTGGAGAGTACTCCTCCGTATTTGAGCCGTCATCTTGGCAGACTGCTGTACATCTTTGAACATGGAAAGATTACATGCGGATACATAAACCCATAAGCAGCTGAAAGTTTCATGGCTTTGAGATATTCAATCAACAGGATCAGGCTCAACCAACATTTGCCAGAAAAGACATTTCAAAGAAACACTCTTCATTTTTCACGTTCATTTTTGACGTCCACTTGATGCTATATTTCATTTTGAACGCATAGTAGGTACATATGAACATCTTATATATACCATCTCGGCTAAGACACGTTTGGCCCAGCTTCCAACTGTTGAGCAATTGCCTGAGCCAGCGCTTCATGCACTGGATACGTGGGATGCAAGCTATTCAACCAAAAGTACTCGTTGACAGGAACACCACAGCTTGCATCAAAAGTATTCGTAGCCGAGGTGCCACTTCAAAACGTCAACGAGATTCACAAGTATCTCAACAGGAGCTGCTTACTTTTCATATGCAGCGCAATATGCTGTGGTGTTTTTGTAAAGTGCGGTTTGCGGATAGCTTGCTGGATTATCTAAAACCTTTGTGAAAAGGGCATTGGCATCGACGGTGAAAATATTCACATCGGAGTGATTCGATTTCAGATTTTCCGCTAGATCCAGGAGACCGGTGTTCCAGGCTGTGATATCAGCTTTCTCCATCGCCTGGTTACTGGCACTCTGGGCGAGGGTCAAGGGTGCTCGATCAACAGGTGGGACATTAATAAAGGCAAAATTGCGAGCACCAGAGGTGTAAAGCGTTTCCACAAGTCCATCGAAAACAGAAAATATCTGCGCATTCAGGGTCGTTGTAGCGGGTTCTCCCTTGGACCATGAGTTCCCAACATCGTTAATGCCATCAAATATGGTAAATATTGTGTTGTCAGATGCCCAAGGTGCTGATGATGGCTTGGATGCGTAGGTTGGTACCCATTCGTTCTGGATTTGGTCGGAAACAGATGATACCGTTGGTAGGTAGGGAGCAACGAGATTCGAGTCGATTGTAGCTCCACCATACGCAAGGTTGTATGTAAGAAGCGTGGAAGCATTATATTCTACAGTCAAGTAATCGACCCAATTCGGGCCGTTGGAGGCAGTGTAGCCTGGATATGTTGGGTTGCCCAATGGATTGGTAGGAGTTGGCTGTGTACCAGTTCGATTGAACCCAGTCTGAGTGTAGGAATCACCGCTGTATTTATCTCAGCTTAGAAGAGCAGCTGAGGAACGAAAGTCAACTTACAAAACGAAAGCATATTTAATGCCCGACCATCCTGGCCAGTTGGCAGTGGCTTTGCAGGTAGATTGCGATTGGAAAATTTCACTACGCCCACCATTGACTGCCACGGATTGTGCAGAGCAGAAAAGATACAGAGCAGATACAAAAACCGAGAAGAATGAGACCGACATGCTTTAGCCTCTACAAAGAACTAAGAGTTGATATTTAAGGACAAGAGACTTAACTAACAGGATTCGTGAAATCCGAAAGAAAGGAATGGAAATATGAAAGTCTATATATACTCATTATTATATAAAGTAATGTCAATTCAGGCACAAAAAAAGAAAGCATCTTGCCGGTATCGTAACCCGTAAGTGTGGGGAAATATAAATTGAACCCCCTTTTTGACTCAAGCACGGAGGATGCGACTCCGCAAGTTTAAAAATCAAAAATGTCATATGTTCCCGGGAAAATATATTATCCGCGAATTGATGAAATAGAAACCCGTGAAGCATACGACGGGGATTGATAGGGTGAACTCTCCCCACGCACTTCTTCTTCTCACTCTAAAGAAAAGGCTTCCAAGGTCCAAAATCTCGCTCATACATGACTAGCCCACACATGCCGATTCAATCACCTCAAAAACCTCCGCAATCTTCATCTTCCGAACCCTATTAATTGACAAGAGCTGAGTATCGCACGCCACTAAGCTTGCAAGCGCCAATATACCTTACTTCTCTCTGTTCTCTCTCCCTCCATAATGAATCAACGGAGGCTCTGGAGATGTTGTGGTAACAATGCATGGATTTCAGATGCATATGCGGACTCCAGGTTCGAGCACCATATTCAGAAAGGGGTACGAGTCCTGAGTAGAGATGAAGGGCTTTGAAGAGGAGGCATGATTCGGAAGGAAAAAAAAAAAAGACTGATGATATCTATGAGGCGGTGGTTGGAGCTTCTTGACTTTGGAGACGAAGGATGCTGATGCTTTTGGCTCTGTTAAGAACAACAGACTTAGAGAAGGGAATAGGAATGGCAATTGCAATAATATTGCTCGGGGATTCCAGCAGCCCGTCGACGTTGACACGACCTTAGCTTGAACAGTGCTAATCCGTCTTGCTGATTTGACATATGTAAAGCTTCTGGTTGTTTCATGCGTTCGAAATAAATTTAAAAGCTCAAATACTCGATGGATTGAAACCCGCCAACGAGCGGCAATCCATATTTATGCAACGCGCTTGGACTACTTAGTATGTGTGCAAATGTGTAGTTTTATGCACGATATACTCGGTGAATTATTGGTTGGTGTTACCTTGGGTTAGGTAGCAGTACAGTAAGCGAAGAGAGAAAGGGGAGAGGTTTCGGCAAGATGCATTTTCATATAGGACGCTAGCGGCTTGTATGTTATTGCTGTTTGAGTAACTACTTTCTGAAATGGGTCACTGCAGTGCTACGTTGAATCATGGTTGAGTGCTAGGTACATGTGCAGGTACTTAATTGATGAGGGAAGATCGTCTCTGGATATACGGATTCCTAAGTACCACGCAAATGATATCTAGCTGCTTTTACTCAAATACCCAACAAAACATATACATGCTCAATCGACGTATCGAGAGCTACCAAACGCCACAATACAATACAACGCATATCCCTTTCCCCCCAAACGCCAAATCCATCATGCATTCATCAATTGTACACTCCTCATATAATATCATACTCCCCCATCATTAAAAAGCCTCACTAAACCCATCGCTGCTCCCGCCGCCGCACTCCCCACGACAACCATCTGCACACCCCCAAAACACCCCTGCCTAACCGCCCTTCCTCCCTCCCATCCAACAACCACGCACGTCTTGACATAGCCAAACGCGAATAGCGCGAGCACCATGACGCCGATCGAGATATACAGCCCCTGGAACACCTGCTCGGCGCCCACAAAGAAATATGGGATCAGCGGTAACAAGCCGCCGAAAAAATAGGCACCGGCGATGGTCAGAGCGGATGTCAGGGCCCGTGAGGACGCTGGTTCGGACTCGCAGTGTTGGAATTGCATTACGAAGTCTACGAGTTTGGGCGACGAGGTTAGGTGCGAGGTTAGGTTTGTGAGGGTTTCGGCCGGGATGTTGTAAGGTTCGAAGACGGCGGTTAGGTCGGAGACTATGGTTTGTGGTTGTGTGGATTAGGGATTCGGTTTCGGCTTTTTGGGCCAAGTAGGATGCTCTGGTTTCTGTTAGCTGACCGTTTCACCCCCAAAATATTTCTCTCCTGAGAAATAACAGATGAATGAAGGGTGAGGGAAACTTACGATTCGCTCTTTGCCCCAAGATACCCTCCCAGTCCCATCGAGATGGCACCAGCAATAAGCTCCGCAAATCCGCCATAGATAACCACTTTCGTATTCCCCAGCGCCGACAGGCCAGCCGTGAGAGCAAAAGGTACAGTCAAGCCATCTGAAAGTCCGATTGTCGCATCCGAGATAACTCTTGCGTCGATACGAAATCCTTTCTTTGCATTCGCTTTCTCGGTCTTGCTATTGCTACGAGACTGGGCTTCTAGATCCCCAGATTCTGGGTTGGAGGGGGGAAGAAGAGGTTCGGAGGAGACGTTGCTCCAGTCTGGTGTTTCAGGGTACATGTATCCATGGGTTTTCGGTTTCGATTGATGATGGCGGGGAATGGGAGTGCGTGTTTGGGAGAAGAAGAGGTTTTTGAGGCCGACGAGGGACATGGCTCCTATTGGCGAATGGGATGATTGTGAAGGATGTCGACGTCTGCGGATTACTAGTCTTGAGCGTGGAATTGGAGTGCTTTCGTTCTCTAAATGGTTGAGTATGTTTGTCGTCATGGCGGATTATAGGATATATATATATATATATTTACACGAAGTTTGTTTCTGGAAGAAGCCAGGAAATGGTCAGCATGAATTGCAAATCTCCTGATTCGCTGCATGTGTATAACCATGGGGTTGTCATTGGCTCAACGGGTGTGACGCAAGGCGCAATGCGTCAGGCTACTGTAAGCTCTAGTCGAATTTTGGACAATTGCAGCTTCTAGATGAATAACTCGAGGCCTCTGATTGGATGTCCGGCGGGTAGTGCGTCAAGCTGTGAATCTGCCGTGAATCTGTAATGTTAATACCGTTTGTCTGATTGGATATTGGGCTTATCCACCGACTCGGCCGATCTGTACGGAGTATTCGGTCTTTTCAGTGAGCACGTTTTCTCCAAACCTTAATTGATACTTCGTAGTCGTGTTCCCACTTACACGGAGTTAACTACGGAGGTACAGGTACAGTACACAAACTGCGGGGTGCCGAAGATCATAATGATTTTTGGGGGTTCATCGTCTCTCCTCTGCTGATTCCCGTGGGTGACGACTTCTTCTCAGTTGTTGAAATTGCAGCCCTCTCTGTGCATGTGGTTGCAATATGCTGCTGAATTGCAATCAAGGGACTGGCTTCTCAAATGCTGTGCCCAACGTCCGGAGTAGGACAGTTCAGAGTCGTCGGGATATCAGAAAGTGATTATGTAAACCGTTTTCTATATCTGATGTGTGCAACTGCTGATATCGATGTGTTAGCCCGTTGGGGCAATGCAGTAGCTAATAGCTGTTGTCTGCCGTATACACAAGACTTTGGGCCATCGTCAGCTCCCATTATCCTGCACTTTCATTCTACCTTCATCGGTCTTCTCTGCCTCACTTCCAGATACCGCCTCCCTCTTCTCATCCTCACTTCCCTCCTCCAAAGCCTGCTCCATCGCCGGTCTCTCCATCTTTCCACCTCCCAAATCCCTCCTCCTAATACCCCAACCTCCCCTCCACCCCACCCACCCCTTTTCCCACGGGCCCCTCACAAAACAAAACACCAAACCCGCACCAATAAACCCAATACTACACCCGCCACTAGCCTTCCATCCTCCCTCCGCGTAAAGTCGATTCCCAATCGCAGTGCCTGCAAGCTGGCCGCAGAATACGGACACCATGAAAGCGGTGTTGACACGATTGCGGGCGCGCGGCTCGATGGAATAGATTGCGGAGCGGTTTGCGATCTGGGAGGTCTGGATACCGATGTCCATTGCGAAGGCTTGCTGGGGTAGATGTGAGAAGTGGGGCTAAGGGAGAAGTAGAGGGAGAGCAGCTTACGATGATAGGACCAGCTACTGTGATGCGCCCAGTGAATGTTCCTACAATGACGCCGGCTAGGCAGTAAATTAGGCCAAGGATGACGGAGAAAAGGGGGACGAAGCGGTCGATTACTGCTTTTGCTGGAGGAAGTGTCAGGAGATAGATAATCAAAGGTATATGTTTAATGAGTGGACAGCGTTCTAATGGGAAAAGGTAGAGCAAAGGAAGCGCTTACAATGGAAAGGCCCAAAACACATGGCTCCAATTCCTACTAGCGCAAAAAGCCCAATTGAAACCGGCGAGTATTCATAAGGCGGCTCCGAGAGCAAGAATGTAAGCGTAGTCCAAAAGCTCGTAAATATGCTCGATGTACAGAACCCCACTATGCAAGCCTGTACCAGCACCGGATGCTTGAATATCATCTTCAGGATTGAGAACAACATGCTGAAGTAGTTCAATCCCCCTGGATTTGTAGAGGGGTAGTCGGGCATGAAGAAGAAGAGAAGGACGAGGATTAGATATTGCATGCCGAAGGAGAACCACTAGATCACAGGGAGTTAGTTATTTCCTCTTAAGAGTGTTTCGAGAGCAGAAGAAGAGCAAGTTCCCTTTTTAAAAAGTATTTGAGTAGTTGGAGTACATCAGACGAAACATGATAGAAGGGGGTAGGGTAAAATCCAAGAGCCAGTTATCCTTACGTAGATGCTGCGCCAGGATGTATATTGTGTTAGTATTCCGGACAGGAGGCGCGCGATGAGCATTCCGAGGAGCAAGCCAGATACTACAATTGAGAGAGCTGTTGCGCGGCGGTGAGGTGGTGCGAGGTCTCCGACAAGGGGAAGCATGAGTTGAGGGGTTACCGTTGAGGCGGCTGTGATAAAAGACAGGGCCAGGAATATGGGGAAAGACTCTGTGAGGCAGAGGCCAAGCCACTGTTTATTTTGTTAGTGGATTATATAAGGGAAAGGGGCTCGCTTACAATGGTTGCTGTGAAGAAGACCAAAATGAGGACGAAGGCTCGACGACGGAAGATGTCGCCCAGTGGGCAGAGGAATAACAGACCTGCTGCATAGCCTGCTTGCATCAACGTTGGAATGAGAGAGGCGCGCTCGTTGGAGACGTTGAATTCGTCGGCCAAAATGTTAAGGATTGGGTGGTTGTAGTACAAATTTGCGACAGTAAATGTGCTGGCCTACTAGGTCAATCTTTGGATAAGCCTCGAGACGGAGAATTTGGAGTTGATCCTCGAAGCTGCCATGCTTCAAAGTGTGTTGAGTACACTTGTAAAACAATATCCTGAAGACTTACAAATCCAAAAAGCAGATTTAATCCCATGCCAAACTTGGGCGGATCTTCTGGATCCCATCTACATCTTTTAGGGGTCCACGTGAGGACCTTCCAAGACTTTTTTGCAAACTCCTGGTCTTTAATCCGAGCAAAGAATTTCTTCCCACTACTTATGGTAGATGTAGACGCTTTGGAGTCTTCTTCCCCCCGCCTCGCTTGCGTAGTGACCCCCACTTCTGTCGACTGTGCAGCACTTGCGCTGGCATTGGGACGAATCTCAACTGCCATTTGACAGAGTTTTCGAGATATCAAGGCACGGAGATACAAATAGATATAAAGGTGCGAGAAAAACAACGACAAAGATAGAAAATTGTATAGTATAGTTGTGGTGAGAATCATAGTTAGTGGCGGATGAGGTTGAGAACTACCTTGTCGGGATAGATTTTGTGGGGCTTTGCCAACTTGCTCAAGCTCTAAGTGGCTAACGGCAATAAGCATCCGGTGAAGATGATGCTGGATGGTGAAGATCGAACAGGGTTATCTTCACTGTGCATCGCATATGAGAGAGTCTTGGCAATCTCTCTCATTTGACGTACGGAGGTGCAGGTGCAGCTCTTAAATGACTGTACGAGTACGTACAGTACGGCCGTAAAGTAACCTCTGTTTGCCCCGCCAAGAGTTACAATCCTTTTGGGCTGCACCTCCGTACCACAGGAACGAATAATTGAAACAACAAGGCAATTGCTCTCATAAGTTCTATGGTTTCTTCCAAGAAATTGCATGCTTACTATAGGTGGACCCATAATTCTGCGCCTTGTGTACTTTGTGAAATACATGGATTTAGCAAAAGTCAACCTCCCTGGGAGCCTTTCTTGACTGCTCACACAGCTTCATAGCCTCCTAAAAGAGGCACAGTGCTACCAGGCATGAATCTGTTATGTTGGTTGTTCTTGTACAAGCGTATGGAAGCAAAAGCTTCAGAAAAGCCCTTCTCCTTTTCATTCTTTCTCATAATTTAAACAACCTTTATTTATTCACAAGTTCCTAGACATCCAGAAACGCTACAAAAGTACCAATCTACTTCTGCCTCGAAGTAGTCATTTTGATAATTATAACTTGGACACTTTCGAAATCAGCTCGATCATCATGACGGCCAGCAAGACTACATATCGATGGCTTGCCTTGACGACCATCGCCCTCTTCACTTTTGCCGTGACCGTCCTTGCCTTGGTCGCCGACACCCAAAGAATAAAGCGAAACTACCCTAGCGATCAATACACCGTGTATGGCGGCTTCTGGGCTTCCTATGTCCTCACAAACGGAACCACCATATACGAACCGCTCGAAACCAGTTATTTCCTGACCCACCTCAACCAGGGCCCAGACAAGTTCATTCTCGCATCTGGCTGTATCTCACTTGCCGCTAGCGTCCTGGGGATGTTCTTTATATTTGCGAATGACCATAGTCCAAGCGCAGGGAAATTTGGCATCCTGTTTGCCTCCCTCTCGGTGGGGACAGCATTCGGTGCGCTGGTTTACGCCATGACTTTGTATACCAAGTCTGGGAAAACGCAGGACCAGTACGCCGTCCGGGATGGGTCTTTGTATACGGCGACGCTTGAGGGGTGGACTTGTACGTTAAGGAGGATCCTGAATCTTTCTTATGAGAGAAAGGATTACGGGAACATGTGCAAGAATTCGGTAAGTTGATTAGCTGTTGACATGGCGAATTAAGCCAAATGCTAATAAGATTCGACAGCGAACTGCAAGGTTCATGACGATTCCTTTGCTCATTGTTAGTCTTGCTTTTTTGCATGCGATGGTGCGCCGTGTTAGTCCTGCTTTTTTCTATGCAATAGGGGCTCGCTACAGCAACCCCCAGACTATAAGCTTAAAGCAGCAGACGAGGAGTCCCGAGGATGTGGAGATGACAGGGCGTACTTCTGCTTCTACCGCTCAAGATACCCCTCCACCTTATGTTGCGCCGAATGAAAGCAAGCTTTGAACTGATACAGGGAGGAGGAGAAGAAGAATATCATATCAAGGTCTAAATGAGTAATTCAAATCAGCCTTTTAGTTATTATCCAATGACACCGGCGCCTAAGCAAAATTCAATTTGTCCCCTCCCATCCAGACATGTCACTTAACACTTCCCAGCCATTTCTTCACAGATTTCCTTCCATCCTTGCTTTCCTACTCCTTCTGCCTACCTATCACCTCGTTCCACATCTGCTCATACCAGACCATTCCTTTCGCCGCCTTTCCATTCCTCCTCGCCGCCTCATGCATCCTCATCGTGTCCATACTCATGAAAGCCGATGGCCCATTGGCACAACACCCTGGGCCGCAGAAGTATAGTCTCTCGCGCCCCGAGAGGTAAGTGGAGAGGGCTTTTTCGGCATCTGACTTTGGCCGGAAGGGGAGAGAGAGTACGCAGTGTGGGTTTGCTGAGTACATTGTGTTTATGTGTTGTGAAATCTTTCTTTATATGTGCTTCTTTTGGTTTGGGGGATGTAAGTATACCCAAATGTTATGAATCCAATTTTCTGTGTTTCATAGTCAAGTGTACACAACGGTGCAAATAATAGAGAACGTGGCTGTGAAAGGAGGTTTTAGTAATTGTATTCAAAACAAAGAAGGCATTTGCTTTGTCTTTTGGGAGATTTCCAGGACCCCATTTTGATCGCCGACTTGAATATACGAGCGCTGTTTCTTTATTCCTTCGGATACCTTCCGCCGTTTGGATCGGAGTGTCTGAAAGCAAAAGTACCCTTTTATGTTCTAGTAGCAGTAGCAAGGCTTACCGGAAGAGCCAGTTTCCATGGCCAGGCCTTAGCATGCGACTTCTACGTGTGGCATTATTAAAGAAAAATGATGCAGACATTTGCAAAATGACATACTGCACCCCGATGAAGAAACGATCTAGTTCCTTTTCAAGCCCCCGGGGATTTTCTTGAAGTAATAACTGGCTCTGACTTAAGAGCATACCCCTTTGCAATCTGAGATGAATGCGCGGGAAAGAAATTCTCTGCAGCATGAATTTGATATTCCGAATGTGGATTATATCAATTTGTCTGAAGTCTGTCGACACCTTCCTGCTTTCAACATACCTAGGAAACCTTAAGGCTCGGGGATTTCTTCTCGGTTCTATCTTCCCTAGCGGGTTATTCGATCTCGTCGATATTGTCTACCTCATCAAGTAACAGCTGACTCTGAAGCCTGGAAAACCTTCAAAAGAACGTTGTCTGAAAGAGCCGGTGGAATATCCATCCAGGAAATGGCCTTCTTATTCTTCGGCCCGGGATCCTTTGCCTCCTTGAAAGCCTCGGCACCGGACTTCCCGGTGGATGGACCGTTGTCGATGGTGACGTCTTCACGTTCTAACACAATGCCATCGCCAGGTGAGCTGTTGTCACTGGCCTGTGGAGTTTCGGATATAGATTCAACATCCTCGGGGCCTGCCCCTCGAGCAACTGTCAAGAGAGAAATGGTGAAACATTTTGCTGAGGTACGCGCGAAACTAAACGTTTCGGTCCTTTTGGAAATGGTTGGGCGTAGTCAGAAAAGCCCTGAACATCTTTGATCAGGTTGTATCCCATCGCTCCGTTGAAACCACATCATCCCAGGATGCATCTTGGATACCCACCATAGTCTCCTGTCTTTCTTCCATTGCGCGTTGTCGAAGATGTGGGTTTTCTCAACAAGATCTGTAGTCCAAGCACTAGATTCTAGGAGTAGTTAGGAGTAGTTTGTCGGTAGCAGCATGATGTACCATAAGCTTCGCATATCATCTTGCAAGCGCGGCAAACTGACAGAGAGCATGCTTATTGGCGGTTGCAAAGAAACAAGCTATATTTTGTTCTCAGGTATAAAACCACCTGCCAGCGTTGACTTGATCTTCAAGAACTCCTGATTCTTTCTGGAGCCGTGATCCTGGTTTTTCGTAACAGTAATACCGAATAGCGTCCTAGCTCTCGTCATCATCGCAAAAAGCAGTTGCGTATCCACCAGCGGCATAACCCCAAATATCACACTTGGCGGGGATGGTACGAGTAACGCGAATGTCACGAGATTCGTGTCTTCTCTGAAACTATCTGGAAGATAAAGTTATCGCCGATTTATATGCCTAATAGGCAGCAGCTGCTGGTTAGCATATGCAAACTTCCATTTGTACGTCTACGACCGATAGGAAGCATATAAAGGTCATGATTGATGGAGATGCAGGCCGTGGGGTTTAACACACTCGGTATCATCTTTCTTACAGTCCATTATCGGACAGGTTGACTGAGACTGAGACTGAGACTTGTGCTCATACAAAAGTACTATTCCGAGTGAAGAATCAGGAGTTGAAGGGTTACTTATCCTATTAATAAATTGACGAGACTTGAGGTTGTAGGCGAGGAGAAGCCGAACTGAGCATCACCACCACTGCATAAATGGTTAGCGCACTTATATATGGGCCCATCTGCGCAGATGCCGGAATGGCTTCAGAAATCATACGATGTTGCCACTAGCGAATAATTTCGTCCTCTCAGCTTATATGCAGGTAGCACAATGCAAAACCATTCCCTCAATAATCACCCCACATTGCTCTCCTCCTACGCCTGCCCAACAAGTGCTCCCTTTGTCCGTGTGATTGATCCTATCCTTGCTCTCTTGCCTACTCAGGCACATTCTTGCAGATAAGACTGAATGAACAGCATCAGCCCATTCCGTTGATATGGACTCTCAAAGCACCTTGGATCCCGCCGTCCTCTCTGGCATGTCTCCGGGTTTTAATGCTCTAGACGGCTTCGACGACACTCTGGCGTTCACCGATCCGCTGGAAGGGGACGATCCTCTGTTCCCAGTTGACTGGGACCAAGAAGACACCCCTCCTTACGAAGGCAACCTCTACTCGACACCTCTCAATTGGGACCCTCCAGAGGCCAAGGTCGAACCACTCCCAAACGCACCCTACCAGACAATGCCGTTGAGCTCACTGACTCCGGCCCAACAAGAGAAGCTGCGCAACATCGCGATGCCGCAACATCTCCAATATCGAAATCAACATAGCCCAGCCAGTACGCACAAGAGCGCTTCTGTCTCGTCTCCCGAGGCGAACGACAACAGGCGAAAGCGCAAGTCCACTTCTTCCGCAGAGGAAGAAGATGACGAAGACGGGGAGCATCCTCCCGTGAAGAAGACCGCACATAACATGATTGAGAAGCGATACCGAACAAATCTTAATGACAAGATTGCTGCGCTGCGGGACAGCGTACCAAGTCTGCGGATCATGACAAAGAGCGCTCGAGGTGAAGATACGGCCGACGACAGAGAAGAGCTACAGGGTCTTACACCTGCCCACAAACTGAACAAAGCTACAGTGAGTAGTCCCATTTTTCAGTCCACCGTTATAGCAAATGTTTCAAGCGTCCCAGACTGCTGGTTGAGACTTTACGTGATTCTATCTGATGTCTGTTTTGGGTCTGCGGAAATCGGTGAGTAGTTTCGTGACAAGCAAGTGCTTGCATGTCTCGATAAACGGACTGACGACCGTTAATATATTTCAAGTAATCTATTTGAACAATACTAATTTCATGTTTTCAGGTACTTAGCAAAGCTACTGAATATATCGCCCATCTAGAGAAGCGAAATAAACGACTACAAGAGGAGAATGTTGAGCAGAAGGCACGCCTTGCTGCGTTCGAGACCCTCTTCCGTTCAGGATCCATGGGCTTTAGCCCAACACCTCCAATGTCGAATGCCTTCCAGTATCCTCCTGACTACAATACTCCGAGTCATTCCCCTGTTAATGATCCTCAAGGGATGATTCAAGTGCCGGAAGATATCCGTCGACTTCAACGCCAGTCCAATCAGCAAACATACCCAGTAGGACAGTTCCAAGAACTGCAGCAGCAGGGTCGCCAACAACAGATGGGTCCAAATGGATGGCAAAACGGCGGTGGTGGCTATTTTGGCAAGCTGATGGTTGGATCATTGGCTGGTTTAATGGTCATGGAAGGCTTCACTCAGGCGGAAAGCGAAAGCGACGAACCTGGAGCTCGAGGCCTCTTTGCCCTCCCGGTGCATCTTCTAAGGACAGTGGCACATTACATTCATTCATCCATCGACTTTAACGTTCTTGGTTACCACGTTTCGACCTCACAATTCCTGGGATACTTTAAATTCTTCCTGGTATTCGGCGTTCTATTATATGTTTTCTTGCCATCACTGTTTGCGAAAAAACCAAAATCGCATGGGGGCAAGACTCAGAACTCTTCAATCGTTGCTGCCCCATCTCTTGCTTCATCTATTCAAGTTCGCAGACAGGCCTGGCTCACTGCAGTTCAGACCGTTTGGGTGCCGAGTAACAACTTTTTCCTCGAAGCAGCCGCATTGTGCCTGAAGATGGTCAAGCTTAGCTTCCGCAATACTGTCGGCTCTGACAGTTATACATATCTCACAGGGATCAATCAGCAATCAGAGACTGCTAGAGTCAAGACATGGGGAATTGCCCTCGACGCGCAACTGGCTGGAGGAGATGTCGAGGTGAGCAAGAGTCGACTTACTCTGACCTTGTTGGCTTCCGGCACTCTTCCAGATACGCCAGCAAGGCTCATGCTCAAGGCCTTGCACATCCGGGTACTTCTCTGGGAATTTGGTAATGCAGGATTCAATGGTTTCTACATGTTCCATGAAATCGCGGCAAAGCTCGCTAGATGGAAGTGGAACGAGGCAAAGAAATTGCAGCGACTGATGTCCAGCACAGAAGACAAGCAAGATGACGAACTACCAGGATACCTCAAAGCTCTCCTGGAGGAAGAATGTGACGATGTTCTGACGGATTGCATTGGTCAACGTGCTTACAATCTTGCCTGGAATCTGCCGACGAACAACAACGTCAGAGTCGGATACAAAGGTATGGATAGTGTTGTAGACGACTATGCCATTCGAAGCCCATTGGATGCCGTCGCAGCTTGGTACTCCAGCCTTCTTTGCGAACAAGCACTTTCAAAGAGTCTCGAGAGCAGCAGCGATGACGCTGTCAGCCAAAAGTCCATCATCGAAACCATTGCTCTTGCTATCAAAGTCGCACCCATTGGCTCTGGAGCTCAGATCCGAGCATTCGTCGCACGTGCAGTGTTGGTCAAGGAGAAGCGCGGTTTGAACATCGCTGCTTCCCTCAAAGCACTGGGCCCATTTCAGCCAAACAATAGCAAAAGTACGACCTCCGCGCCGAGCCTCATCCACACAAGTACTTCCATCGCAGGCCTGCCGGACATCAAGATGTCGCTGCGTTGCGCTATGGCCATTGCCCATCTCGAGCGCTTCCCTGCGCCTGACAACCCCACTGCCGCTCACCCCATCATCAACAGCGTTGTGCCTACCAACTTGACCCTCCTCGGCTTCACGGCTGCTTTCAAGCTCATGGAGAGTATCCAAGCACATGACATGGTTGCAGCGAGCTGTACCAATGCGCTTGAGAAGCTGGCTGGCAATCTGAGGATCTGGGTTGGTGGGAAGGATGGGGAGCAAAGCGGGCTGGATAAGGATATTAGGAAGGAGATGGTAGAGAGGTGTCTGGGTACTACGAAACGCATCATTGGGATGGAGAAGGATGCCGGGTATGAGACGATGAGTGAAGATGAGACAGGCGAGGGTTGTTGATCAATTCCTTATTCGCTGCTTTATTGCTTTTGCTTGTTTCTGGGATAGATTACAGATAATGGAGAAAGGGTGGTACCATTGACGTGGTTTCTTTTGTACAGTACATCACCCTCGGATTACCCGGCGGCGTTTTTGGAGTAATGTACTCTCGGCTACAATGGCATTCATGGTTATCTGTCTATCGAGAGAGTTAGTCGAAGAAAAGCTCCCCACACTCGGATCACAAATAAGTAAGAAAATGGATAAAATATGAAAAGCAAATATGCACTCGGTACGAACCTTTCAAGACGTTTACGAGCATTCCAGTGTGCATAACTACAAGCCTATGATATACCTCCGCGTAGATATATAGTCCTTCCTTTCTGAAGGTACCTACTGTAACTACAGTGCATTTCCGACCATCTCCGCGCCTCTCTCTTATCAGTGCCCCACTATCAGCTTATAACCAATCATGCGTCGTCAATTTCTTACCTGACCAATCATTTTCTTATCAATATCGCTTATTACCCTTTTCTCCAGTAGCAGCAAAAGAAGACCGAGGAGAAGAGCTGCTTAACATGATACTGACCTTCATTGGGTGAGCAAAGTATGTCGAGAGTCAAATGTCATGCCGTGGAGAAGCTACGGTCATGGCTACCTTTGAAGCTAAAGATATCCCAGGTTGCGGACGACGGTATTGTATCTCTTCCCTCTTCGCTCTCATTCTCCCATTCTCCCATTCTCCCATTCTCTTACCGCATCTCTTTCCTTGATCACTTCGCCAAAGAGATATCCTATGCCACTGCGTGAGGGTTTGTGTGCTTTGACGTGGAATACTTGTATAAGACCAAGACCGACATATTGTTCCAAATGGCCGGTGGTTGGCAACCCCAAGTCTCCGCTGTAGAAATCAACGGTGGTCCTCTTAAAGGAGGTCCAGATGGAGTCATTGGATCTGAGAACGATGGTCCTACGGGTGCAAAGAAAAAGGTTGTGATTGTTGGGCTTGGAATGGTCGGCATCAGTTTCATGTGAGTCTCTAACAATTGAATTTGAAGCGCCCAATATTTTTGAGCTATTGCTGATGATAAACATCACAGTGAGAAACTTATGAAATTGGACGCCCGAAGACGAGAATACGACATCATCGTCATTGGCGAAGAAGCGCATCTAGCATACAACCGCGTTGGCCTCACATCTTTCTTCCAGCACCGGAAGGTCGAGAACTTGTATCTTAATCCGAAAGAATGGGTATTCTCCCTCTCCTTATTTCTCATGTTCAACTGGACCAATTACTAACAAATAATTAATAGTATTCAGCTTGTCCTGAGGGCTCCCTAGACTACCACCTAAACACAAAAGTAACATCCATCCACCCCGACACCAAAACAGTCTCCTGTTCCTCGGGCGAAGAAGTCTCCTACAACATCCTCGTCCTAGCCACGGGCTCCGATGCCCTTGTCCCACGCCACACGCCGGGTCATGACGCAAAGGGTGTGTTTGTGTATAGAACCATTGAGGATCTACAGAAACTTATCGATTACTCGGCTTTGAAAAAAGGGACTACTGGCGCTGTTGTAGGTGGTGGCTTGCTTGGGTTAGAAGCAGCGAAGGCGATGATCGATTTGGAGAACTTCGAGAAAGTGAAGTTGATTGAAAGGAATAGATGGGTGTTGAGCAGGCAGCTGGATGGTGATGCTGGTGGGTTAGTTGTGGAGCAGGTCACGAATCTAGGCCTAGATGTGCTGCTAAGCAAACGAGTAGGCCGCATTGAAGTCAACGAGGAGAATGCGGTGAAGGGTGTGGTATTTGAGGATGGGGAGAGCATGGAGTGCTCCACCATCTGCTTCGCGATTGGGATTAAAGCGCGCGATGAGCTGGCAAGACAGGCGGGCATTAAGTGTGCGGATCGAGGAGGTGGGATTGTGGTTGATGGAGAGCTGAAGACGAGTGCTAAAGACATCTATGCTATTGGTGAGTGTGCGAGTTGGGAGAATCAGACGTTTGGACTCATCGCGCCGGGGGTTGAGATGGCGGATGTCTTGTCTTTCAATCTTACGCAAGCAAAGATACATACGTACAGAAAATTCAAGAGGCCGGATCTCAGTACCAAGTTGAAGCTGCTCGGGGTCGAGGTTGCGAGTTTTGGCGACTTTTTTGCGGATAGAGATGGCCCCAAGCACCTCCCTGTGAGAGCTGCGAAGAAGAAAGAGGGGAGCCCGGACCCGTTGCACAGGCTGACTGATGGGCCAGCTCCTTCTCCCGTCAAGGCTTTGACGTACAAGGACCCGTTTCAGGCTGTGTACAAGAAATATTTGTTTACTCTTGATGGCAAATATCTTCTTGGGGGGATGATGATAGGGGACACTCGCGATTATGTCAAGTTGGTGCCTATGGTCAAGAACCAGAAAGCGCTGGATATTCCACCCAGTCAATTTATCTTAGGAGCGAGCAAAGAAGGCGACGACGAAGGTGACGATCTCGACGACGACACGCAAATCTGCTCCTGCCACAATGTCACTAAAGGAGATGTCTGTGGTGTGGTTAAAGATGGATCCTGTAAGAGTATTGGAGACGTGAAGTCTTGCACAAAAGCTGGAACTGGTTGCGGTGGTTGCATGCCTCTCGTGACCAGTATCTTCAATGCCCAGATGAAATCCATGGGCAAAGAAGTCAAAAACCACATCTGTCCGCACTTCAACTACTCTCGGGCAGATTTATACAACATTATTTCAGTCAAGAAATTGAAGACCTTGCAAGAGGTTATGAAAGCGGCAGGTAACGACCCTGAGAGTCAGGGATGCGAGGCTTGCAAACCTAGTATTGGATCCATCTTCTCGAGTTTGTACAACAAACATGTTATGGATAAACCTATTCACGGTTTGCAGGAGACTAATGATAAGTTTTTGGGTAACATTCAGAGGAATGGGACGTATTCGGTGGTTCCTCGTGTGAGTGCCGGAGAGATCACTCCAGATAAACTGATTGTTATTGGGAATGTAGCCAAGAAGTACAATCTCTACACCAAAATAACTGGCGGGCAGAGAATCGACATGTTTGGCGCCAAGAAACAGGATCTCCTTGACATCTGGAAGATGCTGGTGGAGGGTGGAATGGAGAGTGGACATGCGTATGCAAAGTCACTACGTACCGTAAAGAGTTGTGTGGGTACCACTTGGTGCCGATACGGCATTGCAGACAGTGTGGGCATGGCCGTTCGATTGGAAGAGCGATACAAGAGTATACGCAGTCCACATAAAATGAAAGGGGGGGTCAGTGGTTGTGTCCGAGAGTGCGCTGAGGCTCAAAACAAAGAGTAAGTTCCCCTGACCCTATGCCTCTAGGCCGTCTAACAACCTATAAGCTTCGGTCTCATCGCCACAGAGAAAGGTTTCAACATATTCGTTGGCGGCAACGGCGGCGCCTCACCCAGACACAGCGAGATTCTCGCCAAAGACGTCCCCCCGGACGACATCATACCCATCTTGGATCGCTACCTAATGTTCTACATCCGCACCGCCGACAAACTGCAACGCACCGCGCGCTGGCTTGAAAACCTACCTGGCGGAATCAAATACCTTCGCGAAGTGATCCTGGAAGACAAACTGGGCATCTGCGCCTCGCTCGAAGCGCAAATGGAAGAACTCGTGGGCACATTCTTCGACGAGTGGGCCGAAGCCATCAAAGACCCGGAGCGCGCGAAGCATTTCCAGCAGTTTGCGAATACGAAGGACACGCTGGAGAATATGGAGAATGAGGAGGATAGGGGACAATTGAGGCCGGTGTATTGGGCCAAGGAGAGTGCCAAGGTGGACTTCAAGAATACGAACTGGACAAGCTTGACATGGCAGCCGATGATTGAGGCGGCGCATTTCAAGGGTGCGGACGAGACGCCTAATGGCATAAGTGCGAATGTCAAGAGAGGCGATACGCAACTGGCGGTCTTCCGAGTCAAAGGGAAATGGCTTGCAAGTCAACAGATGTGTCCGCATAAACGGGCTTTTGTGCTCTCGGATGGGTTGATCGGTGATTCGAAAGATAAGCTCTGGGTCTCGTGTCCGTACCATAAGCGGAATTTCGAACTCACGGGCGAGCAAGCGGGACGGTGTCAGAATGATGAGGAGGTCAGCATTGCGACGTTTCCGGTGGAGGAGAGGGAAGATGGTATGGTGTATTTGAAGTTGCCGCCTGTGCATGAGCTGGATGGAGTGCTGGGGACGAAGAAGTGGATGGTGAAGAAGGGGGAGAGTGGGGAGAGTCCGTTTGAGAAGTTGGATAGGCGGATTGGGTTGAATGGGACAAAGATGAAGGGGAGAAAGCCGTTTGAGGCGAAGAGGGCGTTGGCTGCGGGTGGTCCGGGAGATAATGGTATTGATTGGTAGATTGGCATTCGTGTACAAGAGCGGGTTGGTGTTGGATGTGGAGATTGCAGAATTGTATATGGAAAATTGTTCATTGCTCTAGGATTTCAAAGCAAGATTCCTTGCAAAGCTGTCTCATATGGGCATCAACTTTCATCTGTCGGATTTCTCGGGGTTCCTCTGTGGATCGTCATATATGTCACCGCCTCCCCGGATTCCCAAACATCCTAGCGCAGATCACGGGATCAATTCCAGCCTCGCATCCTTTTCCCTTAATTAAACCTAGTTAATTGGGTCAAGTGGAGGAGATGCGTACGTTTTGATTCCAACAGGAGCCGGTGATCAGTCAGAAGGAACAAATCAGTGTTTCGTTTCAATGAACTGAAATTATTGATTATGCTATATCGAGGTACCGGGCTATAGTAACGCTAATTCGCCTCATATGTATTTTATATATATATTTTCCCCTCCTTCCGTCTCCCAGTATTCCTTACATTGCTTCCAAACAAGTTGTTCAGTCTGTCTTTTCCCTCTTTCTTTATACACAGTCTCTACACACCCACGTTCTATCATTCAAGTTACAAAAACAAAGCGTGAACACCAACAGTCTTTTCCAAACCACCATATCACTTCCATTTCCCACAACAATGCAATTCCCAACTATCATATCCCTCCTACTCACCACTCTCGTCGCCTCTATCTCCGCAGCCCCAGCCTCAACACTCTGTCTATGCGCCCAGAACGCAACCGGCAACTTCTGCAACACGCGCTCAGTGCCCGGAGGAAATCTCACGGGGTCGTGCGCGGACGCTACGCTGTATACTTGTAATGGGACAGCGGTACCTGTCTTGTCGAGCCCCTGTGCGCCGCCGGGAAGCTCGTTCAATCTGCCGTGTGTGCAGAGGGAGAGCGAGGGGGATGTTTGTGCGGTGGTAAGGGAAGGGTTTTAGTTAGGTGGAGCTGTGTTGTACTGTACTGTAGGCGTACTAGGAATTTGACATTTTGGGAATTTGCAGTCTGCGACTTTTGCATAATTTCCAGTACTGATCTCCTGACCTTTGTTAGTTGATGAATAAGTATGTTATGAAGAGGCGGGGTTTCTTCCGTTTGTAAGAGATCTTTGGTTGGGGGGAGACTCCCCGCGACGTGCAAGCACGGCGGCTACCTACCTGGTAGCAAACGGACTACCCAGCCCAAAAGGACAATCCCATAAATCTCCGTTCTTTTCTCTTTTCCAATTTGAGCAAGCTCATACCTTTAGTATTTCAGAACCGCTTCCAAGGATGCATCCATCTCTGTGTGAGACTTGCGGTAAAAGTTTTGACAGCAAGCCATCATATCGGCAGCATAAGAAGGCCATACACACTCGTATTTTTCCCAAGAAAGGATCAGGTTCAGATATTAGACCCCAATCGGTACTTTCACCCCCTCTCAAAGATCAAATGACTGCCATCTTGCTAAATAAAGCCCAGGCAAAGCAGCCACTTTCAAGCTCGAGCTCGAGCTCACAGGAATCGCAAGGGGAAAACTGCGAACAGGACGAAAAAAAAGGGAATGAATCAGACAGCAGAGTAAGTTCAATCATCCATCGAATTAGCAGTCTCTAATTACTTGTTGAAGGAATGCACAAACCCCCTCGGCGCTCTCTTGGATTCTTGCAACCTGCCAGAGCAGACTTGCCTCAGATCTGGAAGCGAACTATACGAGGATTGGGAACTTGTGGACATGATCCAGGGAGACGAATTAGATGATCATGCTGTCAGCAAAGGGGTAGAGGTTGTCATGGATGACATAGGCTGGGGATATGTAGGAAAGATTGCTCGCGGGTGGAATATATACTGAATACTGGGAAATTTGGACGCAGGTGGCATATGTCCAAGACTTGGGACTCTGCTCTTGCAGTTGGTTGCTTAAAGAAACATTGTTCCCATTTTTCAAAAATGGTTGACGTGTAAAGAGCCTCCAAGGTCGCTACCTGAGATACATATCCTCTCCCACGCAAGCAAATCGACCATATTGATGAAGCGTTCGGGGAAGATAGCTTGGGGTTGTGAATAATAATGCAGACTGCTTATTCCTCAGGAGTGCTAGTAACCGACAAACTGGCTGAAGAAGTATGGAAACGAAGATATACCGAAAGCATGACTTTGCTACTTTTGTGATATTGGGGACAATCTGCCGCTCATCTATGCTAAGATGTATGTGGTGTTGTATTTCCCCTGGTGTGATCCAACCGGCCACCGTAGAGGACTTCTTCCTCATGTCGCGTCCTCTTCTCTCTCGAATCCTTCACAACTGCAACACCAACATCAAAATGTCCAGCAGCGTCTGAAGCTGCCTATAATATCTTGCATATGCACCTCATTGAGGATCATACCTACCGAAAATAAATCTTCACTTCTTTCGTTGAATCTAAGAGCATTTTATTATCTGAATCGCTGGACCTGTCAGCAAAGCGCGTGCGAAACCCAACCAGTTTCAAGTGAAACAGCTGCTGCCAGGGGGGCCTGAACTGCAAAACGCGATAAGGCCAATTGCCATTCTTGCCAAGGCTGCCTGCTACCAATTTGCATATGCAGTCAAGCTACCATTGTCTGAGCTCTTGTTCCAGTTGTTCCAAATCTTCAAGAATGTTCGATTTACGCGGTTCCATGATACCAATCGAGACCATGCCCGTAGAACACTGTTTGATCGTGGCACCTATTGCGGGCTGCCCCCATTGAGGATGGAGGGTCCCCAGGGCGGATTCCGGGTATTGCAAGTTCGCACTACCCATGAGGCCGTGACTTGCTTCCTTTTGCATCTTCTTTGATCTGTTACCCGATCTTCGGTATCGACAGCATTGTTGTCGTCGCCGTTAACCACGGGAATGTGCTAACGTTATCGGCCATGAAGCATCTTCATTGATCTATTTCTTCTGATCCCCATAGATTGGGCTTTACTAGTATAATTTTCTCATTCATTAATCTGGCATTCACCATGGCCATTTCCGATAATATACAGACTGTCACGGCGGCATTTTCATTGTTAGTTCAGCACCTACCTAGCGGATTCGATATACTAATTATCTGTGTAGTGGTATCTTACTACAGGCAGCGTCAGGCGCGTTATACATATATTATCAGGGCCATGGACCGAATCTCCTTCAGGACGGCCGGAGGCTGGTCCTCCTGTTGTTCTTGTTATTTGCTGCCCTGTGGGCACAATTTAGCTTTTTTAACCTTATGATACCCTCAACGGCGGCGGGTGCTTGCCAAGCACTGCTGGTCTTTTCGACAATGTTCGATCAATTGGCAAGAGTGGGAGTAGAACAGTTTTTTTTGTGGGCGATAGGGCAGGGAATAAAATCGACGGCCCAGCAAATGATTCTGCAGGGAATATTAGGTGCTAGGTTGATTGCTGGTGGCTTGCTTGTTGGGTTTACAAGACCGGATTTCGCACCTGTGTGTGTTGCTCGCACCTCGCTGTTGCCCGCCTCGATTATTGTCTTGACGCTGGATGTTATAATCCTGGGTGTATTATTGATTCGGGCCTCGTCGCTTGGTATGTTTAGTGAAATTGGAAACGCGAAGCTAGGCACAAGGCGGGAGCAAAGCAGGGCGGTGATATTCAGCATTGCTGGATTTACAGCGTGGACTGGGGTAGGGTTTACAATGGCAAAGTCTCAATCGTTACTAACCTCTCCTGCAGACAAGCGTCCCAATGATTCTGGGGATCCAAACGATGATCTTGATTCTTAGAACTACTTTACCTTCGATCGGGCTTCTTATACTTGTTGGTAGGTGTTTATAACTCTTTACCATGATACTTGTTCTAACCTGAAAAAAAGGTATCGTCATTATCTTCCAGGGAGGTTTGCTTTTACCAAGAGAAGAGGAAGCCACAACACCCGAAGCACGCTCTCCCTTCGTCATGCCCACACCTCCAACTCGAGAGCTATTCAGAGGAAATGCCGGAAATGGCTCTCCCGTTTCCGGTCACAATTACACAAAAAGTGGTAACTTGTTCGTGGTCAACCCTTCATCAACGCCGCGTGATTCGCCAACTCCTAGATTCCAAAACAATTTTAAAGGCGATACACGAGGCTTCACGAAGCTTGGGGCTGAGACAACAGTGCGAGTTCTGGAAGGAGATGATCAACTCCTTTCTGCTCCGAATAACGCCCCCGGTTATCGTGGCTCAAGCGGTGTCTTTCCCTCCATTCTTGCCACACAACTGCAAGCTGGGAATCAGACTTCAATGCCTCCGCATATCAGGCCAGCGGAGGTCGAAGCAAGTAGAAACCCACCAATTCTATTTGTTCCCACTCCGACAGTGCAGCAGAAACGATCTCTCTTCAGTAGATCGAAGCCTTCTGCAAAAACGCATTTCCGAAACCTAGAAATCTCCAATCCGGTTTTGGACGAAAATGTTGAGTCCGTACAACCCTTCGCGAGGATGCCAACCATTGATCTTGCAACTGCGGCAACAAATGAACGGGAACGCCGTGAAGGTGCGGCTGCCAGGTCTCGTCTTATTGCCAACAGGCCAGCGCCACAACCGCCCTCCCTCCCTCCAGCGCAAGAAGGACTACGTAGGAGCATTAGCTTGAAGAGGAAAGAGATGATAACTTTGCAAAGAGAGCCAATGCCAACCATACCCAGTTCAAATGCATCTGAACTTTCGGTCGATACAGCCAACGGCAATAGCACATCTGCTTCTCTTTCCCCTGGTCGCGAGGAAGTCAGGCGGAGGTCACCAAGGAACATGAATAATTTCAACGGTTTTATTGATGAGAATCAATCATCAGTAGTCCCTGCTTTGCAAAGAAACCCAACAATTGGGCTGCCTTCAAACCCGCGTGCCCAGCGAAGTACAATGGCTCGCGAAGCTCGTTCAGCAAAGGAGCAGACAGTTATGTTCATAAATGACATAGTATATGATGATCCTGGTATGGTAGACGCGATCATGAACACAGCTCCAAATGAATATGCATCTACGAAGCATCCAAAAGCTACAGAAAACCCTCGGGTGTACTCTAAACAAAGTCCACGTTCGCCCCATTCTATTATACATCGACCACGACCGTATAAACGAGATTCAGAGCAAGATCGTGCTATATGGCCAAGTGAGCCTTCTCCTAGACATAAACGAAGCAAGTCTGGATCTTCTCTAATGGGACGAAAGTCCATGCTCATGGGCTCCATTGGAAGCCCGACGCAACTTCCTCCACTTCCACCTCCTCCCACTAGCGCGTCAAAACTGAAGAGATTGTTACCAAATGACACGAAAAGTATGACTTTCGACGAAAAAATCGAGCTGCTCTTTCCAGCACCCCCTGGTACCTCAACACACAAACGCAGGTCATCGGTTCCATCTCTCCCACGAGTGCCATCTGTCTTCATGTCGGATACACCATATGTCCAGAGTCCAACAGAGGAGGGCGAAAGAAGCCGTATAACGTCAAAGAGAATGACAATAGCATCGTTTAAAATGCCCGACGTTGACAAGCAGGCAAAGTCTCCAAAGTTCGAGGCTCAGAAAGCCATCGAGAATCACACATACCGATTCAGTGCCAGTGTTTATCGGGACCTGGCGGGCGAGGTCGGAGAGACGGCCCCCACTGAGATGGGTCTCGGCAAGTCAGTCCAAGAGCTACCAAAAACAAAACCTGAGTCGGTAATCAACACGAGACAAAAGTCTACATGGACGGAGACGACCGCGAGTATATCAAGCTCTAGTGACGATGCCAAAACCTTTTGGGGTTCCCTACACTCCGAGATCCCGCCTGTTGACCTCTCCAAAGCAAGACAAATGGTAAAGCCTAGTCTCATTCAACATGGAGGTAATCGATCGCGTGACGACACCTCCAGAGCCCTTCCTCCACTCCCACAGACTGAAAATGATGAAGACGAAATTATGACAGTCATGTTCGATTCAGGAGAAGCTCGCCGCCCGATATTGTCACCCCCAACCGAAAATAGACTGTCCTTCTTGCTTGATGCAGGTCAAGCATTGCCTGGCGATAAAACGCCGTCCCCCAAAAGTGAAAGGGCATGGCATCGACGAGTTGGTGATGAGCTACCCACGTTTTCAGAACGGAAAGTCAAGCCTAGAGCTCGAAAAATGCCCCCGCCCACACCGTTACTTCTGAACAGGAATGGCAGGCAAGCTACCGTTGTAGTTCGTAATACCGAGCCCTCGCCAATTGACTCACCGGAACTAGCGATGAAGGAGCTTCAAGCTCAACTGAAACGATTCGAGGAGCCAAATCGTGGATCAGTAGGGTCAATAATACGCCATCTTCCCAACGGTTCTGCTGTGGAAGAAGGCGATTTGCTCAAAGATCACAGATTCCAGTTGCTTGAAAACCTCGAAAAGGAGATGGGCCAGCAAGAAAATCAGTGGCAGCAAATGCAAACTAACATTGACCGCGACTCGATGTCAACTATCATGTCACCTCCCGCTCCACCAAAGACTGATCTCTCCCGAGAATCATCCCAACGATCGTCTCGAACTCCGTCTCGGATATTGTCTCGAAGAGCACGTATCCGGAGTAGCCTAACTGCGCGATTGAGGGGAGAAGACTCGACTTCCACAACGTCTACCCAAAGCTCCGATAACTCTAGAGCAAGCATTTGGCAACAACGTCTCGCAGAAGCCCAAGAGGAATATCTTGAAAATGCCCCAGTTCTTCTCCGCAACAAAAGTCTGAACTTCCTTTCTATTGCGCAATCGCACCAATTAGGCAGTCCAACTCCACCTGACAGCGAGGAGTCCGGGACGGAAATCGAAACTGACGTGGAGTCCGAATCCGAAGCTCCGGAAGCCCTGCAGGCTGCGTTTGTGATTAATCAAAAGCAAGTCGTGTCACTTTGGGAGCCAACTTCAGGCTCACAGGGTGCCGCGGCGGACCGCTTGTGGAGCCCTCCTCATGAGAGTTTGATTACACGTGATGACTCTCCCGAGCCTCCTGCGAGAGATGTTCGACCAGTACAACGTCGCACTGGAAATTCTTCGTCTATTTATAGCTCTACTCTATGGTCAAAACCCAAGTTATCCGAGCGCCGGCAGCCTGTCGTAGGGCTCTGGGGCTCTAAACCATTGCGAGCACCTAGCGTCAAGACGCGGCCCGTAACCCAGAGACCGCAACGGAAATCAAAACGTGTTACCTTCCTCCCTGATATCAGTATGAAATCTTTTGAGATAATGAATGGCCTTTTAGCTAATCTACATTTAGTCGAAAATCCTCTTCCTCTACCGAACAAGCGAGACACGCTTGGGATCTTCCAATTCCCTTGGGGAGAAAAATCCGATTCAGCTGTCTACCAGCCGGCCTTCAATCCCGCTCTTCTAGCTGGCCCAGTCATCAACACGAAACTAGAGGCAAGATCTCACCAGCTTGAACCGGACTCGTCAGAATACTCATCTTCGTTCTTTGATGAATACGATGAGGAACATGAGGATGACCCCGACCCAGAGAGTGACGACGATTTCGACGAAACAACATTGTGGGAAATCGCAAGTCTACTAAAATCCAGAGACGTACCTTCCAGGGACAGTCTTCTTCCGGATTCTAGAGATATTATTGAAGATTATGATGACGATAGTGAGACTGAGTTCGAATCCGATCCTGAGGACCAGGAAGTTGATCTTGACGAGTCGTGGACACAGGGTACTACCGTACTTGCAACCAAATTTCCGATTCAACCCCTTATGCCAGCACCAAGAGTGGTATCTCAACTTTGGACCAGTGGCCTAATTTCCGACGTAGATGCAAATATGATTGGCTTGCCTCAACCCGAAGAGGCTGTTTGGAAGTCTTTCGTTTCGGCAAAAGATGATGTCCTCAGACCCAAAACCCGTGTTTCCGAAACTCTGCCAGAAATTGTTACCCACAACTTATGGACAGCCCCATCCTCCGAGATGTCAGTTTCGACCGCGACTTCAATGTGGAGTATGCGAAGCACTGTGAAGAGCCGAGTTCCTGCTCGTAAAGAATATATGTGGCAAGCGGCTCCAGAGAAGAAAGACCAACATACTCCAGGTCTTTTTACCGCGACCAAAGACAAAGCCGTGATGCGCACAACAAAAGCAGAACCTGCAGCACTCAACATGTTGACAAAGTCTCGCTCTGCTGCAGCACACCTTTCAATAATTTCATCTCGAACCTTGTGGTCTCGCAGTCTTGGCCCTAAACGACAGAGAGAATGGACATCCAAGCCGACCACTGCTCAGACATCATCATCTGTCAAACCAAATCTTATGTGGGAACGGCAGACAACCGAGGCAACAGCAAGTGATATAGGGCTCTTCGATGCTTCTATTGCGCGATCTGATTACCGGTCAACCGCTTTGATACCTGCCGCAATCAATATTGCCTGCAAGCCCCAAACAATCCATGCACCATTGAGTAAACTTGCATCAACCAAGCTCTGGTGTCGAGAAGAAGGAGCTTGCCCTGAACACCATTGGATTTCGGAATCGTCAATCAGACCTGTCAGCCCGTCTGTTTACTCCAGTTCGTCCTCGGGAGAATCTTCGCCTTCTTCCGATGCTTCTTCTGTAAAGTCAACCAGCACTAAAGCTTCTTCTATCTGGGGATCAATTGGATCCGCTGCGACCTGGTGGGAGTCCAGGTCTAGAAAGAAGTCACCATCTCACACACCAGTAGATGACCCCAAGCATCCATCGAAGATTCCTCTTCGTCCAACACCCAATAAAGCTCCAAAATCTGTGGCGGAACATGCCAGAGAGTCCAACATTCCTGTACCAGTCAAGCATTTGGTGCGACTCCGAGAGTCAAGAGTTCTTTCCCCCGAAGATCTTGCAGAAACCAAAGCTTTCGTTTTGGAGAGCATACCATTGAAGAAGGTCCGAACCATGACGTCTCAACCCGGTACGCCGGCTCTCGCTGAAGCACTTACTCGAAGCCCTTCAACTTCCCATATAGCAGAATATGACCCTTCGATGCGACACCCAGTATTTTTCACAGGTGATATGACCACGACGACAACCCAGATCCATCCAGCTGCCATCGGTCATGTGTCTACTAAAATATCAGCTCCTTCGCTCTGGGCCACGCCGTCCATCACCAATTCCCTGACAGTTGCACCCTTGTGGTCAAAGGGTACTACGTCCAAGCGTGAAGCTCCGCTTCCAGTTGCTCAAGTCCACACAATTGTTCGGAAAGCTCCCGTAACAAGGACTTTTGATTTACCAAGTCTTGAGTCTTCTGCATTTTGGCAACCAACTCAATCCCTAGTCTCAGAGCACAACTGGTTGATTGCAACCAAGGTCAAGTCTCAGACTTGGGCCCCCCGTGGCATGCAGGCGTCTCCCGTAAAGAAGACTGATGATAGCAACTTGTGGATGCCCCAACGACCAGAAGCCGTTGATTCGCCGGACATGTTTGCAATCGTGCGAGGCCAATATACTAAGAAAGCTTCTACCCACCGTGCAGACCAGCTTCCACATCTGGAGTCAAGCAGATTGTTCGAGACAACTTTTAGCACCAAATCAAACACTCACTGGCTTCATGAAACTTCCAAAGCATCAGGAAACCGTTCTCGTTCGTCCAGCTCCTCTAAAAGTGGCAACGAGGACCTCCGGATGCCTGCATCCTCGGACAATAATTTTCAAAGCATGACGGTTTGGACGCCAGTACCCACAATGGCGCCACAAAACGAGTCTAGCGAAAAGATGTGGGAGTCTGCGACGAGTGAAATTACCCAATTGCCGGCCCTCTTTTCTAATCCGCATACCGCGCCTTGGGAACAGAAGAAGAGACAACCAGCTCCGTTGAAAACGGTTGAAAGTACCAGTTTATGGCAACTATCGATGGCAATGCCAGAGAGTCCAAAAGATTGGCTTGTTAGATGAAGATTTTCTTGAGTTGAGTTTAGATATTGATGATCTTACTATTATTGATTGACTTGGTCAAATCATAGTGCATAGTGTACTTTAATACAAGTTGCGCTAAATGAAGACAGTATCTTTTCGATATGGGATACCTGTTTGAGAAGAATGGGGAAGGGGGGGGGAGGGACCCGGCTTATCGTAGCCATTTCTTATGTAATATTACGACCGTTCCTAGGCATCGTGCTCCGAAAATGATGTGATTATGTAGCATCTATCAAAAGAAATGAATATATGATGTTGATGGACAAGTAAAGGAGCATCAGAGTCAGAGGATCGAATTAGTCAGCTGTCAGGGGTTTTGGACCACGCTACTTATAAGAAGTACACAAGAAGTGGATTATTTTACTTAAACCCTACCGATCTTTATAAAACAACGTAAACATCCAACAACTTAAAAAGAATCATTTATGAGATAAGTATAGACTGATGTTCAGTTACCAACATCCAATATCTATATTTAGGTATCTATCTTATCCTTTGGTATCTGTTGGGATATCAGGACCGCATCGCGACCTTTCTAGTCATGTGACTTGGCGTAGCTTAGTCAGCACAGAGGCATATCCTCTTCGCGTTACACCACCATGAATGCTAAGCAATATCAACTAGTATCGAGTCTACTACGTAGTATATAAGTGATCACAGATATCAACCTGTGATACCAACAGTATCCAATCTTCTTGCTAACAGCATTAGGAGGGGAAACTATTCTGTCAACCAAACTCAACTCAACTCAACGTTGAACAAGATGGCCGACGATACTGACATGCTGTCGCGTCAACAGCAGGTTCGTCAGCAAGAAATGATGAAAGCACACCGGAAGCAGAGGCAGATGATGGCCTGGGCCACGCATCAGCAACAACAAGCAATTAATATGGGTTCAAGCTTGTCCTCAACTATGCCCTCATCAAAGATGGCCCAAGCTTACGACGACCTCCCCATCATGGAGCCTAACGACATAATCTTTGTCCCAGACTCCGCCGCTTCCCAGGCCTCTCGGGAAGCCTTTGAATCCGCCTGCCAGCATGGCCCTCTATCCACCGTCCAGTCCATCGTCTCCACAGAGAGCCACAGATCCGCGCCTATAAAAACACCTACGCCCTCCTTCCTGCACCACGGCCTCATCATCGCCCTCACCGCCGGCAACATCGAAGTTGCCCGTTACCTCCTCTCAGCCGGCGCGCCCATTGTGCGCCAAACCCCAACCACCATCCTTTCCGCGCCTCCAGACCAGCAGATCCTACTTTTCGAACTCCTAATGCACCACGGCTGGACCCCAAATACCCCAGGCTACTACGGCGCTGTCCTGCTCCCTGAAATTGTCACTAACCTATCCCTCCTCCGCTGGTTCCTCGCCCACGGCGCTAACCCCAACCTCGGCACCCAGCGCGACTTCCGTGATCGCAATGGTGCGTCGCAGACGGACTCGTGCGCTGCGCTTGAGGCTGCAGCCGGTAGGTGTGATGTAGAGACTGTGCGCATGCTGCTCGATGCAGGCGCGGAGATCCAGAACGGCGTACCGTTGCACTTCGCCGCGGGAGTGTGTCCGGATAGTAAGAATCCACATGTAGGTGCGGTCACGCCGAGTAGGGAGTTTGATGTAGGCAGGATTCCCGTCATGGCGCTGCTGGTGGAGCGCGGGGCGAATGTGAATCAGGCGGAGGAGTCCCGGCATATGGTTGCGAGGTATGCGATTGTGCATGCGGTTATGGCGGGGGCTGTGGAGAGGGTGGGGTGGTTACTGGGGATGGGGGCGGATCCGGAGGCGAGGGGGGCTTGGGGGAGTGCGGTGGAGTATGCGAAGTTGAGGAGTGAGGAGATGAAGAGGGTTGTGGAGGAGGGGGTGGTGGCGAGGAGGTGGGTTGAGGATGTTGCTGATGCGGATCCTACATGATAAACTTATGCAGCAGATACATGCAACATATTTGTTTATCTAAAGCTGTTAGATATACTCTGCTCTTTTGGTAGCAGGTTTTGAAAGCCACGCTCTTCGACCGTGTCCTGATTAGACCTAGAGGACATACGGACACGGACTAACAGTTTCGTGGAAGATATTGAGGATAAAATACTTAAATCCTATAGTGTTTTACGGCATTCTTTATACAATGTCAAGCCTCGCGGTAGATAATAAAAGGCAGCACCAATTTATAATGTGCTAGGCGCGTGAGATATCTAAAGCCAACGACAAATGCCGATTTTCCAAGCCTAGCATAAGGAGTATATGAAAAGCTTAAGGTTTTGTACTCGGCCGAGGCCGTAAAGTCAAACGTTACAGGAGACAAGGGCGAAAGGAAGGAGAAAGACGTTACGCCATGTCTTTCTCACCGCATTCTTTTGCGCTCAAAGACGTGGTGGGAATTCTCGCAATTTTGAATTCTCACAATCAATAAACTATCCATGTCTACCTACAGTACTCATGTCATCTAGATGCTTCATCTCCCGAGTCTTCAGATGGTTTTTACTTATGTGGGTGCATCCTTGTCTACCGGCATGAAGGAAGAATTGATCCCTCACACATATATTAAGGTAGAGTGTATGCGTTAAGAAAGAGGCAAATGTTACAACGAAAAGTGATTATCTTTACACGACTGGTCTTGGTAAATATGCCCAGATTGTACCTCGCAATGTGCATTGAGGGAGAACTCATACTTTACATATCATCCATCTCCCATAATCACAGCAACACACCAAGACAAACACCAAAAAGCATATTAAATCATTCGTTAATTAGTTCCCATTCATTCAATCATTCAAATCATGTTTCCACGCACAAAGCGCGTCAAATATTCATAGTCATACTCATACATGCAGTAGTAATTTTTCAAACCAGTTGATTCAATCACAAAGTGTCTAATTTTCAATACTCCTATCATGACCCGTTTCCTATCACCTATCCTATCCAAATATGCACCTCCCAATGTTCATGTCCACGTCTTTAAGCAAGTAACAAATGAATACCGTTCGTTCAAAAGCAATGAATGCGTCTAGGCGGCTGCCTTTCCCTTGGCGCCTTTCTTTGCAGCTGCAGCTGCGGGGGTCTGGGGAATATGTTAGCTTTTTGTAGGATTGATAGGAATGGATGGATAAATGGGACAAAGTGAGAACGTACTGCTGCGGAAGCGGTAGCTGAGCTAACGAGAGTCTGGAAGATTGTTAGTATGTTGTCTCAAGTATGTGATAGAACGTGTGAACGTACCCCATCTGCAGCGGCGTCCACGGCGCTTTGGGCAGCGGCCTAGTAGCTTGTTAGTTCGAGTTCATTGAAGGAAGAGGGTCGAGATTGAGCCGTAAGGGAAATGTCTCATGTCGAGTTCGACATCCCCCCTAAAGATCTCAAGCTCGACTTCAGCATTCTCAAATACGTACGGCAGCCTATGAAATGTGTTAGTCAGGTTGTAGAAAAATGTGGAGTTTGTAGTAAACCCGGTATCTTCAAACTCAGAAAGAACTTACGGCGATCCCAGCACTTCCATCGCTAGCTGCAGCGTTGACATCAGCTGCACCAGCCGCTGTACTAGCAGTCGATGCCTTCGCTGCACCTGCCTTAGCCTAGGAATGTTAGCTAGGGACAAGTCGAGTTCATAGGGACAACGAACTGCTTTGGCGGCTTTTCCAGTAGTGGCCTGTTTATAAATTAGCGATACTGGTTGAATGGCGACAGTTGAGTGGAAAGGGAGAGTGCGTGACGAGGCCAGTGAGAAAAGGGCTGGGGATGTGGGGAGAAGCGCAAGTCGTAAAGACAATGCTGACTGCATTTTAGGAAGCACTTACTGTACCAGCGGCTGCACCAGCGGCTGCACCAGATGCCTTGCAAGGTCGTTAGTAATGATCGCTCATTATTTGTGACCAGGAAAACAAACCTTCGCGGCTCCTGCTTTCGCCTATGTATGTTAATTCAAGTTCTGGTTATTGACATTCAAATGACTTACTACTTTGGCTCCTTTCGCTCCTGCGGCAGTTGCGGTCTATTAGATCATTAGTTCTTGTTTCTTGGACATGCAGGAATTAAGATTCGATGCAGAACTCATCGCTGAATGAAATGAATAGAGTAGGTACCTACCGTTGCTGACGCAGTCGCGTTCTTCTTTCCTTTGCGGGTCTCAAGTACTGGAAGGCTTCGTAGTCCCTGGAAACAAGTCAGTAAGTTATTCCAAAAGCTATAAAGTAAAATGTCCCATGTTGAGTGACACATTCATCTCAAAGGATCTCGAGACCCGAGACGATCCTCGGGAACCCGAGCAGAATCGAGGAGGAACAAGGAAATGGGCTGCTTACAAGAGATCCGATGTTGATTCCAGTAAGGCCTTGTACGATACTAGTCAAATCTCCGCTAGCTGCGGCGTCGTTGTTGGTAGCTGCGGCGGCGTTGTTGGCACCAGCGGCGGCGGCGGTGGCAGTTCCCTATCATCTTGTTAGGATGCAAACAATTTCTGAAGTCAACCCTCGTGGTAAATGTCCCATTGAGCGCGAGACATTTTACTTAACGGCTCAAAACAAAAACTTCCATAATCTTGGTATAAGCCGAGTAAAATTTTTCATGCTCAGTGAGAGATCCCATCTCAGATTTCGAGCTCGGGGTTCTTGAATCAAATTACCTTCGCCTTCTTTCCTGTCGCTGCGCCAGATGCTTGAGCAACTCCAGCAACAGTCGCGTTACCCGCTGCTTGTCCCTTTGCCGCTTTTCCTTTAGTAGCCGCGACTCCAGACGCAGCAGCAGCTCCGGCCTTTGCTTTCTTTCCCGTAGTCGCGCTGGTTACTGCTGTGGCCGCCGAGGCAGTCCCGTTGGCTGCCGCCGCCTTGGCCTTCTTGGGTGAACGAGCGATGACATCGTCTCCTATGTATGGAAATCTTGCTTCGAGGCTACCAGCCGCAGGGAGAGCTCTAGCAGATACAACGCTGGCCGAGATGGCAATGAATGTAAGGATGGAGGCGAAGTTCTTCATGATGAAAGTAGTGATAGGTGATAAAGCGTCAAGCTCGTTAAAAGTATATTGGCGTGAAAGAATGTAAACTGTGAGCACAGCTAGATGCTGGTTAGCCAAGACCTGTATGTAGATGTCGGTTCAGCTTACCTCTTATGAAAAATATATACAACAAATGGCCTGCACGTGAAAGTTGGGAAGTGGATGAGGATAGAAAGAGAATCATGCGAAGACGTGGGTCTTATATCAGTCCATGAATTATCTTGATCACGAGACCTGGGGGACTGATCATGCGAGAACTTCATGAAACGATACTATAGAGAAGACCTTCCCCTCTCAACCTTGACTCGTCTGATCTGCATCTCAAATAGTTTCCTGGAGCCAGCGCCGTCAATGTCGGCAGGCCAATGAGAACGAGCGAGCGGAGCATGAGTGATCAGCGACATCCAAGAATATGAAAGTGAGCCTGGGATGAAAAGCACGGGGAAGAGCCGCTCGAATCTAATCCCAGCCGATCTTTGCATCTGAAGACTTCTTCGGGCAAAGACTGTGTGCTAGCAAGCCACCCAAGAACCTTGTCGAAAGAGGGTCAAGACAATTCGCGCTGAGGAAGAAGCATTCGCTGTTCCAGGCTGAGCGGCTCTTCGAAACAAGATACATTACAGACTAGAATTGTCATCAAGCGGAGAGGATGTGCAGCCCGGGTGTTGTTGGGTGAGGCTCGGCTCCATTGCTCGCTTAACAGGGGCTCCAGTTAACCAAACGCCACTCAAAACACGCTCGGGTGCAAGAGAAGATTCCGAAACGTTCAACAGTATGATGTGCACGGCGCATCAGCTCTAAGAGTATCAATCCGAAAAGAATCCTCCACAGTCGATGTGCCGGAAAGAAGAAGTGCCGAGTATCACGACGACGTTTCGCAGCAAAGCGCTGGACTGTTTTCGCCTTGAAGACCCGCCTCCAGGTTTGTGACAGAACTATACAGACGAGAAACTTGACCGAGAAACTTCCCCCAGGTCAAACAACTGTTTTGCCAAGTGAAAAGATCGGAATAATTTATTAAAATAGACAAGACACCTCTTGGCGCTTCAGACAAGACTTTTCTGGATGGAAATCGCGCAATCTTGGCGTCCAAGATCAGATATCATTCTTGTGCTTGAGGGGAAGTTCTCGCGACTCCAGGGAGATCTTTCAGGACCAAGCACTGAGCGACACAGAGATCTCAAGTAGCGGAGTTTGGGGCTGAGTAGCGATGGTTATGCTTACTGCACTCATACCGCATTTCACAGTACTGTAGGTACTGTAGATATTTCCAGTCGTCTTGAAAGAAAAGAGAAAGCCATTGCAAAATACTGTACGTACTGTACATGTACTTGTAGCCATCCCGTATAGTTCACCGGTTGTAGTAAATGGCTTTGATTCAGGCTCTTCCTTATTGGCTGGGGCCGACCGACCTTGACCGACCTTAGCCGACACCATCCGACATAGAATGGACCGAGGGCAAAACAAACTCACTAAACCGTGACGCATATTCCCGACAAGTCGATTGTCCATTGTTGATTGTCGATTGACGGCAAGGCAAGGCAATGCGGCGACAATAATAACCCATAATGTCTTCCTCCAGATCAATCACTACAAGTCTGCAGCGGAATCTGTTGAGGCAAGGTCCCCTCCGCCTGTCTGCACAGCATCCCCGACGATGCTTTAACTTGAGCTTTGCCCCTCCACGGCCCCGCCTCTCTAGAGCTCTTATTCAGCAAAGGGCATTCTCGACTTCGCTTCCAAGGAGGCTCGCAGAAGCCAATGACAACTGGGACCCCAAGTACATTGATCGGGAGAGCGACGAGGTTGATGTGTGTATAGTGGGGGGAGGTAAGCTTACTACACGATGTTTCTTAGATTAATCCTAACACAGACAGGTCCTGCTGGGCTTAGTGCTGCTATCCGATTGAAGCAACTCGCGAATGAGGCTGGTAATGAGGACTTTCGAGTCATCCTTTTGGAGAAGGCGGGGGAGATTGGGGCACATATCCTGTCTGGAGCAGTCATCGAACCAATTGCAATCAACGAGCTCATCCCCGACTGGCTTTCAGAAGAAAACGAGAACAGATTCGAACATGCGACGCCTGCAACCGGAGACAAGATGCGATTTCTGACGAAATCGAGCGCGATTCCTATACCTCACCCACCACAGATGAACAACCATGGCAACTACATTGTTTCTCTGAATCAATTTACAAGATGGCTTGGCGAAAGGGCTGAAGAGCTCGGAGTTGAGGTCTATCCAGGGTTTGCGGCTTCAGAAATCTTGTACGATAAAGATGGGTCGGTGAAGGGGGTGGCAACCAATGATTTGGGTATCTCAAGGGAAGGGAAACCAAAGGATAGCTTCGAGAGAGGCATGGAATTCCACGCAAAAGCCACACTTTTTGCCGAAGGCTGTCATGGAAGTCTCACGAAACAGGTCATCAAAAAGTTCAATCTCAGGAGTGAAAGCCAGCATCAAACCTACGGACTTGGACTGAAGGAGGTATGGGAGGTACAACCCGAGAAATTTCAAAAGGGCCAGGTCGTACATTCTATGGGCTACCCGTTATCTGCAGATACATACGGTGGTGGATGGATGTATCATTTTGGAGACAATCTTGTCAGTGTTGGGTTGGTCGTGGGCTTGGATTACCCAAATCCATGGCTATCACCATACGGCGAGTTCCAGAAGATGAAGCATCACCCTCTCTACAAATCCGTTCTCGAAGGAGGCAAGTGTATCTCCTATGGTGCCCGAGCTTTGAATGAGGGAGGCTTCCAATCGATACCCAAAGTCTCTTTTCCCGGCGGAGCTTTAATTGGTGACACCGCCGGCTTTCTCAACGTCCCAAAGATTAAAGGCACCCACACAGCTATGAAATCTGGAATGCTTGCAGCAGAAGCAGCCTACTCAGCAATCAGTCAAACTACTTCCGGCTCTATCTTCCTCTACGACTACGAAGACTCTCTTCGAAAATCCCACATCTGGAAGGAGCTCAAAGAAGTCCGGAACATGCGGCCATCCTTCCACAGCCCTCTCAAACTCTATGGCGGCATCATGTATTCCGGACTCGAAGCATATATTCTGAAAGGTAAAATGCCGTGGACGCTCAAGCATGCGCAACCTGATTACGCTGCGACGAAAACTGCGGATCAATACCCGAAAATTGAGTACGAGAAGCCGGATGGCAAGATTAGCTTTGATATATTGACGAGTGTGAGCCGGACGGGCACAAACCATGAAGAGGATCAGCCTGTGCATTTGCAGGTTAAAGATTGGGAAGCGCATGCTCAGGAAGAATGGCCAAAATATAAGGGAGTTGAAAATCGATTCTGCCCTGCTGGTGTGTATGAGTATGTGGAAGATGAGACAAAGGATATCGGTGTGCGGTTCCAAATCAATGCGCAGAAGTAAGTCAAGGTCAAACAGTTCCTCCTAATAACGCTCACTAATCTTTTGTAGTTGCATTCACTGCAAGACCTGCGACATCAAGGTTCCGAATCAAAGTATTTACCCTTCACCTCCTGTAGCTTGAATATTACTAACAGACAGTAGATATAAACTGGACTACACCGCAAGGTGGAGAGGGCCCCAAATATTTTATGACATAGACGTAAATTTAGGTATGACGCTAGCTTCTTGTACATAGGTTTTGGCTCGAAAAGACAATACATACATACGCAAGTCTACACATCAACCTGCATTCTCCACATCTTACAGTTCACCGCAGCGCGCATTATCTGTCTCCCGCTGCGGAGGAAAGAAGGCGCTGTCATTGAAGCACCTTTAGGCTCAACGAAACTATCGAGATGGGAGCGCCACAATGAAATTGGCAAGTGCCAGTCAGCCTTCTCGCTCGTTCGTAACCAGAACAGGTCGATTAATCATTCACCTGATGCCTCGTTCATTCAACTCTGAACATCGCGAGGTCCTCGCTTTTTGGCGGGTATATAATACCCAGCTTCTTCCCAACGAGGATTCATTTAGTTACAACTTAACGAAATCAGTTGGCATATTACTGTGTTTTGTCGGAGAGCGAGTCGCTCACGTAGCTTATTAGCTTCCTTAGCCTTACGACCTTCTTTCAAAACAATTTGAATTTCAAAGTGTCCTTCCGAATACTCTTGTACTATACGTTTCCCATTTCCAGCGCTAGTATGTCTGCTGTCAAGCTACATATCCCTGTCATTCATTCATTCCTATAACGAACGCTGAATCCACTACATGCTGTTCACTAAGCCGCCGTTGCTACGTTGCTAGCGCTACTCCTCACTCTTTGCCTTTATCTACGTGTATGCTTGATTTACATTCTCTTTAAACTGCTGTTTGTAGGCAGTATCTGCCCCTGATCTATATAGCGATTTCTTGATTATATTTAAAACCACTTATTTAAAAGCGATACTTAGAAGGGTTTAGTAAGAGAGTTCTAGGCTTAAAATATCTTGTAGAATTGGCCGGCTTCCAGCTGAACCACTACACCGATCTCGGCCATCCTTTTCCCCTTGTTCGCTTTCGAGACTGCGTCCGCGTCGCTGGGGTTGATACTAGTAACCTTGATGGCGCATATCATCTGGAGTAAGAGAGCAACTATTAGGTGGGTTATTAGTATGAGATGCAAGGTTTAGGGTAGTATCTGACCTACCTATTATCGCACAGCACGAAGATGGGAGTCAACCAACGTGCTGGGACCCAGAGCAGTCGAGTTGTTCTCGCGCTGGTTGGGACAACGTGGTATACGATTCGTCCCTGCAGATACGATTGTGAGTTTTAAGAGTCAAGCATTCAAGACAAGACTTCCGAAATCAATATAAACCCAGCTTACAAATACAATAATAGCAAGCCGCGGCCATCAGGACGGGTGCCAGAATAATACGCGCAAATGAAAGCACATAGAGGACCTTGTCATCAGGTTTCCGCGTCGAGAGGCTGCGCACGATGTATCTGATGCTCTCCATAGCGGCCGCAACTACCATCACCACCCATACCAAGGCTTTAATCGGATCCATAGAAGGAATGTTGCGGCGAATTCCAAGGTATACAGTGGTGCTGCTACGATCGCTACCGCTAGACTTGGGTCATACTCGTAACGAGATTTGGGTTGCGACATTTCGGAGGAGATAATCGATAACTGAATGGAGGATGGAAAGATATACAGTATATACTCGGAGGTAATCCAGATGAGTTGGAACCCCTCTGAGGGTTTATTCGAAGATACGAACGCTGGATGAGATGCAATGAGAAGGAGAAGAAGATAATCAAGCAAGTGGTGGTAAAGTTCTATATATACCTAGCATCTTACCATCATGCAGTCGGAGAGATGTCACTTTCCGCAGACCCATCCCAGAGCAGTCAAGACAAGTCTCACATCTCATAGAGGGGTGCGAAGCTCCAACTATACTCCAATACAGAAAACAAGCTATCAAAATCTCGTGGTGCTTGCTGCGGCTCAAAACTTGGTCCGAAAAGGGGATGCATGCATTGCGAGCACGTGATTGAACACCAGTCGGAGCTTAATGGTGAATGAACCCGATGCTATGGCAGATGGCTCACTCAATCTCTCTCTCATAATGCCATTCCGTAGTAGCTTGGTCTGTTTCTGATCCCGACAGGGTAGGTATACTTTGCGGCGAAAAGTTATAATAACTTCATACTCGGCTCCGAACATACTTTCGCCGCCATTGATACGGTTTGCAATTTGCAAACAAACACTTGGACGAATAAAAGTTTCCGTTAATTAATAGCAAGACCTTTAATGAAAAGGCAGAACGCTAGAAGACCTGTAACTGTATACGTCGGATGCAAGCAAAGGTACCTACGATTATATAATAATCACCGCCCCACCAGCCGCCTCCTTGCTACCTCGCTTCTTCCACAATCCGGCCTATCAACCAACCACCGCGTCTCTGCATATGAAGAATTTCTCTTCTCCTTGAATGCAATAACAATAGATACGCAATGCTTACTCCACACGACTCGTTTACATCCCATCCCGTCTCTTCTTAGAACATAGCCTCCCCTCCCTCACCCCCGAAAAAAACCCCCCCCCATTTATATCACAGCACAGGCCAGGGCCCCTGCATCACGTGTGGAAAGAAATCACGAGATCCACCCCCCTTGATCCCCACAAAGAGGTGTGTGTCAGGGACCACTTATCACATTATCACACGAAATGAGTTCAGTTCCAGCAAAAGGTATATATATATATATAATCAACGTTTCATCTCAACCTCCTGAAAGAAATCACCACACATATCTTAAGTCCGCAGCCGCGTCTCATCTCATTTCCCAGCAAGGGAGCTCCGGACTCGTTACGGTCGGTTACTTGCCTTATCTTACGCTGCGATAGTTGTGCTTCTATGTGCGAGTATAGTAGTAATGCCAGCTAGCCAGCGCGCTAAGCATTTATCAATAAGATTAAATAGTAACCGGCACTTTGATCGATTTATTATACATCAATCAGCCTCTTGAGTTTCATCTACTATGAGTATTCCGATCTAATAATGCTGGTATGCAGTTATAACTTCTGCGGATATGAGATTCCCTACTCAAGGTTAGATGCACGGATTAGAATTAAGATTGGAATCTTAGCTTGGTATATATATATGTGACTAAACGTCTTGAAGTCTAGCACTTAGATACATCTAGCAGCTTTGCGCATTCATTAATCATAGAATAGTATATCCTCCATCCTCCCTTCCTGAACTTTCCTCTCCTCTCCTCTCCTCTCCTCTCCTCCCCTTTCCTGCCTTTCTTCTTCTTAAATTGGTTGGTGGTAGTTGCCCGGTTCTGTATGTTTATTAATGGTGCGGGATATAAAGTGGAATGATACTAGGAAGTCATTTCATCTTCTTATACTAAACCAACCTCTCCTAAGCTGGTAGCCAAAGCATGCCTCGCTTTGTAATATTACAGATTTCAGAGATTTCAAAGAATAAAGTACTTGGGTATATTTTTATTAAATGCTTCGCAAGCTTTCCTAGTCATCTCAATCTAGAATAGAATGATGTAGGATCAAGTGACTCGCCAAAATCAGATACGCAACGCCTCCGTCACACTGCTTGTCCCCCAGCATGTCCTCTCCTGCGCTTCTTATCAATCAAGATAGCTAGCTTTACGCGACAGGAACCTCCTCAACCTTCTCGCCCCTCGCGATGATTGGCGGTGGCTTGGGGATGTTGCGGCGGAAAATGTGACGTTTGAAGAAGTATGGAAGCCATACGGTCGTCTCGTAATTGAGGAAAGTCTTTGTTGGGACCGAGAAGACCTCTGTGAGAAGTGTTAGTAGAAGGCCATGGACAGCTATATTAGTGCAGTGGGAGGGTACTTACGGTCGATTTCTTCTAGGGTGAGCTGCTTCGTCTCTCGCACGAAACAGAAGATCATACCCCAGGCTATGAGATTAAGCCCGGCATAGAAACCGACTAGGTTAGAGTCAGCGAATTGCTATGGGTAGGAGGTCAGCACATTCTACTTACAAGCACCTGTTGGAGTCATGACGGTCTGCATTCGAGGGAATGTCAAACTGAGAATACCGGCTACACAAGATTTTATTAGCGGCATGTCAAAACATTTTGATGAAACCCTTACCGAAAGTGTTGTTGATGCAGACTGCCCAAGCCATTCCTTGCTCACGCTGAATGGTGGGGAATACCTCGGCGGAGTACTGGAAAGCGACTGGTCCTTCTCCCAAGGAGTAGCAAATGGTGAAGAGGTAGACGAATCTGAGTTTGAACATTAGTAATGTTCGTTTGCAAACACCTCTAATAAACTTACAAGACAACTGGACCGATTCGTGCCCCCTTGCTCCCATCTGTCTTGAGAAGAGATAGACCAGCAGCCAAGAGGAAGAGGCACATAAGGGGGAAAGTCTTTGTAGACAGATTAGCTATAATCTTGCATGGAGCTCGAAGGGACTCACAATCATTGTCAAAGTTCTTCGGCCTTTGGTATCAATCAAGAACAAAGTAGGGATAGTGAACACGACTTGAATGGCACCATAACCAAGAGACGCGTACAAGGCTTGAGTTGGTGAGTAGCCGACGTTTTCGAAAATGGTTGAGCTGTAGAAAGAGATGACTACAAGGTGTTAGAAGACTTGGCAGAAGAGGAAGACGAAAGGCGACCTACTGTTGATACCGCACATCTGTTGAGCAAGCATGACAGTCGAGGCACCGTAGTTGGCACGTCTGATTCTAGGGATGCGGAAACAATCCCAGAGACGGGTAAAGTAGTTCAGGCCACCTGCCACCTTCAATTCCTCCTCGTAAATGACGTACGAGTAGTAGTAATCTCTGGCACCGATAATGGGATGGGCACGCAATTTCACCATGGAACGGAATCCTTTAGCAATTTGTCCATGCTTCATGAGCCAACGAGGGGACTCGGGACAGAACCAGATACCCAGCATGAGGATGAAGGACGGAATAAATGCGGAACCGAGCTGGAGACGCCAGGAGATGCGACCGGTGTCCTTGACAATGACATTGGCAGCAAAACCCAAGAAGATACCTGTGGGGAACGATTAGCAATGCCACGACGAGCATTGACAAGCATGTGAGCTTACCTGATACAACCCAAAGTTGCCAGAACATGACGAGAGCACCACGAATTCGGGCAGGGGCCATTTCAGCAGAGTAGATTGGGACTGTTGCGTTCTTTGCACCAATGCCGATACCCATGACGAATCGCGCCGCGAACAGTCCATGCCATGACTTTGCGAAACCAGAACCAATTGGGGTGGCAGTAAGACAGCAAGCAGTGAGGAAGATCTCGCCTCTTCGGCCCAAGTACTTGTTGAGAGGATCCACGATGAAAGCACCACTTTTACCAAAATCAGTGTTGTTCAGCAAAGTGAGGGTAGGAGAGTAATTTGCTCACATAAGACCGGCAGTCAAGAAGATGATAGCATTGATGCTTCCCACGATCCATTCATCTTTGCCCTTTCCGTCGATTCCAAATTCCGTGGGGAAGGACAAATTGGCGCCATTGGAACCAGTTTGATCCCAACCTTGGGTGGCAGCACCCATCGCACACAGAGCAATTGAATACCAGAGCATCTTGGGTCCGTGCCATTTGTGATCTCTCTCGTATATGAGGGCAGCACGCTCAGCCTCATCAAGCTCGGTAATCGACTCGAAGTTGTCACCGGCGCGCGCAACAAGAGCGGCACGGCCAAAGAGACCAGCGTGCTCAGTCAACCCATGCTGCTCGGCAAATCCTTGGGCATCTAGGACGGTCTGCTCTGGGGTGAAGTGCTGTGAGGGTGAAGAATGTCAGTATCAATGCGACAGGTTGGGATGCGGAGTTGCAATTGAAGCTCACCTTTAGAGGGTTCTCTACGAGATTGAGGGCAGCGGCCTTGGGACGACCAGTAGCGTCGAGCCGTGGTTCGGGAGAGGGGGATCGGCCCGCGGTCTCCTTCTCATTGTGAGAAGAGAAGGGCGCATCGGCACCAGAGGTAAATGCCTTTTCGTCAGACATGATGTCCAAGACTAGTAGTGTTGCGAGGATGTGAGAGGGGAGACACCAGAAGATGGGGTTGACTGTTGATTGGCGATTGCTGATGGCAAGGAAGAAAGGAGGGGAGCTCTGGATGAGGAGAGGGGAGAGCGACCTTCTAGTACTTGCTCGCTCGTCACACATTCAATTCACACCCACCCCATGCCTATACCCATGCCTATACCCATACCCATACCTTATTCACACACAAGCAAATTCACCCGCCCCTCGTTGGCGGGACGGGGAGCCCGTTCGACAAGAACCCCGGCCCTCCACAACTCCACGAACTCCAGGTGTACGCCGTGCCGCAAAAACGTCTGTTGCATCGGAGCCAGCAGCTTGTTTAGGAAATAGAAGACCGCAGCCTCCAGGGTGCCCATCCTTCACCCTTCCTGTACTATACCTCCGTAGGCCTGGCTGGCTGTCCTCGTAGCTATCCATCTACTGTACTATGCCTTAGCTTCCGACTTAGTTGCTACAAGGGCATCTGGGAAATCACGGGGTCACACGTACAGCAGCCCAAGTGGGGCATGGAAAGCGCCCAGCCGACGGTAGCTTGAGTAGCTCGAGTCCTCTGGTGCGTCTTGGGGGGATTTGAAGTGTTTGTTCAGCCTCTACTGTGCAGTCTTGTACTACATTAGCATCAGGCTGCCATTTAAGACAGTCTCCACTGTCTGCACTAGAATCCCGAGATTCCTGCTCTACCTCCGTGATCCTCGTGGTTTTTGGTCGCCAGTCTTTGCTTTGCTTCTCCCGGTTTTCATGTGGCATGGCATGGGTATTCCGTATGGGGTCAAGACCATGTTTTCCGCCAAGAAGCCAAGAGCGGGCAGAATGAGAATAGCAGTAGGCCATCCTTTGTACAAAGTATTCACCTAGGGTACGTAGTTGTACGTGTTTTACGAGTACTTTGTACGATATTGACACTCCATCAGAGGCGCTCGAGGCGTTATCGTGATCAATTGATCTAGATACGCATATAGTAATCCTCATGTCCATCTTTACCGTAGTACTCCGTAGAAGCGATTAAGGTATGGAGGGGTCGCTTAAGTCGCTTATCCGCGGGGAGGCGGGGAGGCTTTAGACTGTGATTGGAGAGGATGTGCATGCTGGTCCCATGGCATTACGAAGGCACAGCACCACCCTTGTATGCAGCGCAAAGGAATCCCGGCCCGTACTTTATGTACGAATCAAGAATCAAGAAATCAATCCATGGACTGCTGATCTGTTCGAAAATACTTCTACCAAGTAACAATCGAAGGAACTTGAAACTTAATGTAATTAATTGCACATGGGTTGCGTCACGTCACGCGTTGGTGCTTCTTGGGAACTGTCCGTACTGTCTGCATGCATCTGGTCTGGTCTGCAACCGGCCTGTACGTATAACTAGCATGGCAGGTATCCTCTGGGGATTATCTGTGGATTATCTGTGGATTATCTGTGGATTATCTGTGGATTGAATCTGTGATTCCCCCAGAAAATTCAAGTCTATACAATGGAGCTGTTTTAAGGGTGTATTTCTCGGTATGGATCACCAACCCACCTAAAGTCTCGACCAACTTGGCTGAACAAAAGTCATGCGATAAATCAATTGACTATCGGGATGGGATTACAAATTATAGGGATCAGACCAGACAGAGTTTTTTATACTAGCAGACAGAGTTTTATATCCTAGTTCTTATCTTTGCAACCAATCACATTGCATTCTCCCCAGGCCAAAAGAAAAGTCTATAGCCTATTGCTATTGCGAGGTATATCTAGAGTTTTCCTGCTATTTACGAAACAAGAAGATTAGAAATCGGAAAACTTTAGATAGGGCACCGCTCTCCTCTATACTCCGTACAGGACCCCACCTAAAGCAAACCTGGTCTTGACGCCTCCTGCAGACAATTTCATCCGTAAGTATCTACTGACACGAAGAAAAAGAAAAACATGATTGTAAGTATTGCCAATCAATCAATCAATCAATCAACTACGTGCATACCACCACCTAATCGTAAGATCTCAATGCCTCAAAGTTGGATGCCTGGACCTACCACCCACCGCGCACGCTAAAACACGCCTCCCCAGCGCCCATCGCATCATGTTCAGCGCCATAGTCCAAAGCCCAACGCCCACAACGCCAAAGCTAAAAGCAAAACGCTTTCGCGCATGTGACCCGAATCCCTCGCTCCTGTTCCGGCAAGGCTCGTTCCCCGCCACTACTTACCACAAGCATGATTCTGGGGTAGCGGATTTTCCTGGGAATAAATACTACGTAGGGCATTTCTTAGTTTGCTTGTGCTTGTTGTGGTGGCGGATAAATAAATATTACCGAAGGACGCCACGTGAATCGCATACGCGTAGGTAGGTAGGTAGGTAGCTTATTCTGCTCTTAAGCTAGGGTATCGCGCTGTCGGGTTGGCTTTTCTTTTCTTTTCCCTCTGACAAATGAGACATCAATATTTACCTACCTACCTAGGTATCAATAAAAGGTCTTCAAGCAAGCCCATTTGATTGTTTTAATACTGGCGGCACTCTAGCATCCCTTTTAGAACATCAGATTCGAGTTTCCCAACAACCTTGAACTTCTCACTAATACCCGTACTTCGGTACGAGTACCTCTACCCATCTATCTAGGTACACCGAGTACTTGAAGGGGAAAAAATTATACGGTAGGTTGGGTGCCTGAGGTATACTATATAATCCCGGGGAAATCTACCAACGGCTCGTTTAGCAGAATCCCCATATGTATGGGGTAGTAAGGGTAAGGTAAGGGTAAGAGAAGGTCTAGCCAGTGCCTTTTTTATTTATTTTTGACATGTCCAAACCGATCCATGATTCAATACGTATATGCGTATGTATACGTGAGGTACAATACAACCCAGTACGAGTAAGGTACAATGGTACAGTACGAGTAAGCTGAAACAAATTTCACTAGATAGATGGATGCAAGCGGAACTCCTCCGCATCTAAGCGCTGCACTGCGCTTGCTTGCTTGATCTCGGTGACTACCAAAGATCCTTCGTCCCGAAACCCTCACCCCGTCGGCATGGTATTACCTTAGCATGGCCCATTTTCCCCCTTCCCTTTTCATTTCAGGATTGGGTTTCTGTTTCGTAAGAGGAATGGAATCCTTTGCTAAGTTCAGCGGCAAAGAGTTTTCTTTCACTTTACGCGGAAAGCATGTAAGGACCTAGGTACGGTGTAGCATCCTGTGATAGGTTGGTTGGGTTGCGGTATTTACGCATGGCATGTCTGCGTGCGCCGGGAGGAGCTGGCGGTAATTTCCTTCCCGAGCCCGAGGTGCCCAGGCCAGGGTAGTTGTTTAATATACTATACTTCGTAGGAGTACAGTACGTAAAACATACTTTGTTCATAGGTTTACTACTCCATAAATATAATTATTCCCTGCTCGACTGCGGATCTGGGGTAGGTATCCTTCAACTTTCTGACCTTGGCGTAGCATGTGGCAAGGAGAGAACACTTGGGAATGAAAAGAAAAGAAAAGTCCTCAGCTGAGTCAGAAAAGTGCAATGTGACTTCGTCACGTTGTTGGGTACCGGTATCGGTATCGTATCTTTTATTGAGGCTAACGTCAGCTCGGAAGTGAAGCTGGTGTTGGGGGTGAATTGTCATCAGTAGAAGAGGTATCAGCGCTATCTACTTCTACACGCTCATACTTGCTGCCAATACCCATTAGATCTCACCATTTGCGGCAATTAATCAGCATAAAAGTTCAGATATAAGTGCACAAGCAGTACATGATTACATTTCTTTCTTACAAATCTCCGACACGTGCCATATACTTCTCAATCTTCACCTCTCATCCGCCCGCCTTCACAACAACAATCCAAGTCCCCGGACTCACCACACTCCCCGGTTTACTAGCCACAGCCTCAACCGTCTTCCCCACCGCCTCGCCCTCACACACAACATTGATCTCCATTTTCATCGCTTCCAGAATCGCCACCACCTGTCCCTCCTTCAACACGTCGCCCGGCTCTACAAGCACCTTCCACACATTTGCATCGATCGGGCTATCAATCGTAACCCTAGCCTCCTCCGCACCCCCCATCATCCCCTTTACGCGCTCCGCCTCCGCCGCCCTCTCCGCCTCCTGCCCCGCAACCCACTCCCCATACATCATCTTCTCGACCTCCAAATTCCCCGCCACCGAATCCCGCTGCCGTGCCCGGAACGCCTGGACCTCGGGGTCCGCGCGGGCCTGCTCAAACACGGCATGGATGTCCGCGAGGTCGAAGACGCCGTCGCGGATATCGAATGCGTAGTCCCCGCGTCGGTAATCGAGCATTAGGTTGTCGTATTCCGCGATGCTGACTTCGTGGTACTTGACCATGTCAAAGGGCTCGTAGAGCCAGGGGCGCGTAGGCGTGAAGCTCGGCCCGCTGCCGAAGGTGTCCCAGCACTCGATGGTACGTGCGAACATCATGTAGCCGCCGGGAGCCTCGAGTGGGTAGATGGCGAAGAGCGAACCGCCCATGCCGATTGTGCCGCCGGGGGTAGAGACGCGGGTTGGGTTGTATTTTTGGCCGACGATGCCGCTCATTGGTTCAAGGGGGAAGAGAATGGGCGTGCCGACGAGGAAGCCGACGGCTACGATGAGGTAGGGAGAGTTGAGGAGTGTTTCAAAGGTTTCGCGGCGCGTGGGAAGCCCGTTGTTGGTGCGTAGGTATTCAACGTTATCCGGGAGGTAGACTGCGGTTGGTCGGTTGGTTTCGATGTATCGTTTCTCGGAGGCTGCGATGTCGGGATGGTCGAATACTACAGGGAGGTGTATCTCGCGGCAGGGGATTTTGACATCAAGCGTGGCTTGAATGCTGTTTTCGGCATTGTGGACAATCTCTAGTAAGTCGTGTTGGGTGATAGCTTTGGGGTCGAACTGTATAATGACGGCTGTTGCAAGATTAACAAAGACGAATTGGTCAGGCGCGAGGGAACTTACAGCCAACATTTGGATTCATCAATAATCTAGGTCCGTCTAACTTTTGCAGTTTCTCGACCAAGAGTCTGATATGGGTAGTAACTCTAACATCTACTGTCTGGGTGCCTATTTCAACGAGGAGAAAACAATCTCCTCCCTAGAGACGTCAGCTTGATGCAAAATTTACCTGTAGTCTGAAAACTCACCTGTCTGTAAATGACTTGTTGTCGTTCTCCATTAGCGGGGATTACCTTCAAGATGGCGTTCGACTTTCCCTCCTCCAAGCCGGAATCTGGAAGCGTCAAATCCAGTTGCGGCTTATTCTCAGATTTACCCTCCACCAACGCCTGCACATCCTGAATAAACCTCTCAACCCGATCTGTCAACTCCAGAGCTAATTCAAAAGTAGTTGGTCTGAGCTTCATATATCCACCAGGCTTGACCTGTCCAAGGCGCCAAAGATCGGCAGAGATGACAGTCGATGAGCATAGCAAACCACCCAGGTCAGGACTATCCATGGAGAAAACCACCGAGGAATCACCACCCCAATTGACTCCTCCCGGCGACGGATACCCGTAGTCAAAGATATTAGACGGATGCGATCCGCCCTCTCCGCCATCTTTTCTGCTCCATTCAGGCACAGGGCCTACGAGACGAACGCCTGTTCGGTTTGAATTGTGGCCAATCTTCCATGCGGTGCTGTATAGCATTCGTTTATCCTTCTCAGTCATGAAATCATCGGAGTCGTGGGGTCCATGCATGCAGTAGACTTCGGAGATATCGAAATTAGGCACGCAAGACGCGGGAAGCTCGAATGGGGTGGCGCCATTGGCCCATTCCTTGGTGTCGCGGTGAAGCTCGATCCAATCGCCCATTTGTAGTTGTCGTCCCTGAGTTCCGCCGAATCCAAGACTGGGTGTGCCTGCTTTGGATCCCAGATATAGAGGACTATTTGGTTAGTATTGTGCTCGATAGCTCATAGCGATTTAACGAGAGCTGCTTACATTTCTGGAAATCCTCCTTTCACAGCAAGGTAGAATCTCAAACCACCATTTTCAACCTTGCCCATCTTCAACTTCTGGCCAGCTTGAATGACAAATCTCGACCACATAGGATTTTCTTCACCATCAATGGTAACCAAGACTTGAGCGCCACAGACTGCAAGAACAGCTGGCGCGGTGAAGAGTAATTCTGGGCCAGTCAATGTCATTTCCAAGACCTCCATGCCAGGGTCGTTGCCGACTAGAACATTCGCAACTAAACAGCGAGGTCAGTAGATGAGCTGAGCTTTTGCAAGCGCGAGAGCCATACTTCTCGAAGAGAGATTGTCCATAGGACCTCCTTTTGGTATGCCATGTCCGCTAGTTGCTCTTGCAGGGAAGTCTTGAACTGTGGTAAATGATCCGGGTGAGAGAACATCGATTGCGCGAGGCTCGTACGTGAATTTTGTTTCGAGGAAGTTCGTCAGTGTGTTGCCGGCCAGGAAAGCTACCTATTGTCAGTCAATCCGTTGCAGAGTCAAGTGAGGGAGGGCTGCAATTTACGTTTTGATAATATCACATCGGCCAAGAAATGGATATTTGTGGGCGGGCCTTGGAGTTTCGATTCGGACAAGACTTTGGTCATTTTCTTGCACGCAGATTGCCTGTCGCTGGCGTGAACCATTACTTTTGCAATCAGTGGATCTAACGGGGATCAGTATAGTTCGAATTCCGCACTTCCGAACTCACCATAAAAAGAAGCAATTCTCTGCCCAGTCTTCACCCAAGTATCGACTCGGATGCCCTCATCCTCGGGCCACCGAACAGCCTGCAATAACCCAGGACTCGGAGCATAGTCCCTAAATGGAACCTCTGCATAGACTCTCGCCTCAACCGCAGCTCCACTCGGCCCATCTTTTTGCAGCGAGCGCAAGAATTCAGACGAGAGTCCCGTCTCGCCTCCTTTCTCGCAGTCTGCTTGCTGCAACATAAGTGCCACCAGATCAACGCCGTAACACAACTCGGTAATCCCATGCTCTACTTGAAGTCTAGTGTTCATTTCCAGGAAGAAGAAATCTCCTGTGATATCATCAACAAGAAACTCGATGGTGCCAGCAGATTTGTACTTTAGTTGTGACGCATATGCAGTAGCGCATTTGGTGAGTTTTTCTCGCAGCCCGGGTTTCGTTTCGACGAAAGGGCTTGGACATTCTTCAATGACCTATAATACATTTATCATTAGCAGTCTATGTAGTTTCTAGAAGAATGTTTTCGTTTTCAAGTACCGTACCTTCTGGTGCCGTCTCTGAATACTACATTCCCGCTCTCCAAAATGCACAACATCACTCCCATTTCCAAAAATTTGAACTTCAATGTGTCGACTTTGCGGGTAATACTTCTCCAGGAAAACCCCCGTGTTATTAAAAAGCGTCTCTCCTCTACTCTTGACTTTCGTAAACGCAGCCGAGATCTCATCTTCATCATGACACACTTGCAACCCCATTCCACCTCCTCCACCCGTCGCTTTAAGCATAATCTATAATTCCACTAAATCAGTCCTTGCTCACTCCTCCTTAGCGCGACGATCTATCTTACTGGAAAGCCCAACTCCCTCGCAGCATCCAACGCCGCGTCCTCAGAAGCCAGTAGCTGGCTACCAGGCACAACAGGAACATCTGCTGCAACAGCCAAGTCCCTCGCGCGGTGCTTCTGGCCCATCTCAGTCATGGCTTCCGGACCCGGTCCTACGAATACCATACCGGCATCTACGACTTGCTGGGCGAATGCTGAGTCTTCGCTGAGGAAGCCGTAGCCGGGGATGATGGCATCGACGTGAAGGCTTTTGCTGATTTCAAGGATCTCTTGTCTGTTGAAAATCAATGGGCGGGTGTTTATTGGATGGATGGATGGATGATGGAAGATGGGAGGAAAGGAATGAGGTGGGATGGACTTACATGTCTAGATATCCACTGGCGTTCTCGCCAGGTAGTAGGATGTTCTCATCAGCAAGTGAAGCATGGAGCGAGGTCGCATCGGAGTTTGTGTAGACGGAAACGCTTTTCACTGCAGCAAATCAGTACTCGTTGTAAATTTAAAAAGCAACAGCTGGAAAGATGGAACAATCTTTGAGAGCTCTATTATAGTATATCACAGAACGGAAACATAGGAAAGGGTTGGTTACACCCCACTTTCGTGCATGCTTGAATAAGACGAACGGCGATTTCTCCTCGATTGGCGATAAGTACCTTTCGAAGATGAGAGAATTGGTAATCCATGCTGTGATGTAATGTATATATAGAAGAAGATAGGGTTTAAACAATCGTCTCTTCACGTCATTGTTGACAGACGTCTTTAAAGAAGTGCCATTCCGAATGCGAGGCGGGGTACTGTACGATAAGAACCTATCGGAAAGATAGGGGGATAACCAAGCCCAAGACACCGTACGCCCGACCCCCGTTATAACAGAGCACGAGTCTTGTCCCTCACGTTTAGTCATAGCGTACGTAAAACAGAAATGGGAATCTACGGAGTATGAGTGCTTGGATGTAAAGGAACAGAGTTTTACGCAGTAAAGAGCGGATACTTTCAACTGCTACTTTGCCTCGGGGAAGAGCTTTGCATTAGCCTCATCCACAGCCTTTCTTCCCGCCTTCGCATTCTCCAATGCAGTAGGCATATCACTGTGAAGACAGATACTAAAGGCAGTCCCTGCAAACCCTACCTTGAACATCCCCCCTTCATTGTGATCCCTCTCATCAGTCTCTGCACATTTCGTGATTCTCTCGTATATCAGTTCCGGCGTAGCCATCCTGCTCTTCGCAACCGGCACCAGCGCTCCATCCGGCGTATAATCAATATCCACATACAGCTCCTCCTGAAATGGCAGCCCGTACTTTGCACACATCTGCTTCTGCGTCGCATTCTTGCACGCATAGACGGGGACTTTATACACGGCCGCCGCGCGTAGCACGGCATCCATAATCACGGCATCCCGTTGCATGTAGAAGAACAGCTCCCCGTGCGGTTTGATGTGGTTCAGCGGTACGTCTTCTGCGTCTAGGAATGCCTTGAGTGCTCCGACCTGGTATAGTATCGACGCGTACATGTCTTCGGGATCGACTTCGATCCTCCGGCGGCCGAAGCCGAATAGATCAAATAGGCCGGGATGGGCGCCCACTTTCACGTTGTGGGCTTTGGCCATGCGCACGGTTTTGAGCATGAGCGATGGGTCGCGGCGTGGAATCCGCATGCGATGTTTGCTACGTCGATGTATTTTATGAGTTCGTCGTCGGGGCCCTACAGTGCATTGATTAGCCATGTTTGGGAGCGCAAGATAAGAGAGAGCTATTTGGGAGCAAGTGTACCATTTTCCAGCGACCAAAGCCTTCACCCATATCGCAATTGATCTCGATCTTCTCCACAAGTCCTGCCATTGTCATTGTCGAGGTCTACCTTTTGTTATGGAGGGTCGTGGTTGAGGATGTGAAGTGAAGTGAAGACTGTCAGTGAGTAGGAAGCTCTCCCACATCAACGTCACATCTCGAATTGTTAGCATCCCACCTTTGGGAGCATAGCAGCCACCAACGTCGGACAAAGATTGGTGCACTTGTACTACATGCAATGTCCATCTCCATCGGCTTGTTGCTGGTGATGAGGATGGAATGAAGCTGAGGCCAAATCCCTTGAGTAGCCTAGTCAACAATAAACGCGTGGTCTCGTGCAAGACAGGGGTTGGGAATTTTCACGATCTCACTTACATACAAGTACTTGCCAGCTCTTGCACGAATTTCACCTTTATGACTCTCTTTCAACTCCAATTAAGAGTCACCCTCTTAATACTTTTATGCAAATGTCTTAGAATCTTGAGTACCTGACTCCGATGATCCGATTGTGTCGTAGCTCCCTGAAAGACCGCTTGGTGGGGGCACAAGTTGCCTAACGTGAGACATCTGAGGACTCCTTGTTGGAATAATAGAACAAGTGTTGATTATTAGCCCAGTCAAGAGAAGAGCGAGATGTCTTCTATGCACTTGCTTTGCGGGTCCTGTTATCCAAGACGTTAGTTATCTCAAGTGGTGGCTTGACATGGACAGAATCAATCCACTAACTTCAAGCGGGGTTTCACTTATTGTCTGTCGAGTTCTCTTTCTAGTTGAAGTTTTGTTAGTCTGAAAATTCGACATGATCTATTTCAAGTTAATAGTATCATTTATATTAACTTCTTTACCTTCTTTGAAATCTTCTTTAAAGTTGATATGCCATCTTTCCTTTTGAAAAGCGACGCGCTATTCGATAGATGTCATAGATTGATTTGCAGTATGAGTTTCGTCTACATAACAGCTAGTATCTGTTGCGGCCTTCATACATCGCTATAGCTTACCAACTCGTCACTTATATCGTTAATCCATTTCGAACCCACGTTCTAGATTTTCTCAACGCAAACTCCGTCCATCTTACCAGCAAAGTCAGCCCACTCTTATATGAGACCGTCGGTGAAATGATAGAATGTGCAAGCTTTACATCTAAAGTTGTTCTCGAATGTTTGTCTAGTGCTGACCAAATCTTTATCATAGCGCGTTAGAGCGTCTCTTTTCATCCGGATTTCAACAAATAGCCTAAGTCTTTCACATAACCGTTGTAAAACGAGGTGAATGAAGCTTTTGATCAAGTCTATGAGAGTACGAGGCACGAATTGCTTCTATTCTTCTATTGGACTCCTCGCACGCCATCGACTTCTCTCGAATGGTCTTTCTGGCGTTGACAAATGATTTTCCGGTGTACTTAGGACCCCGGCTTTCACTTCTCTAGATCCAAGTCGGATTGGTAATTTGACAATAGTAGACTCTCGACGGCCAATAAACGCCGCGTTCTTATAGAGGTCCCACACCCGCTCCCACTCCCGCTCCCCCACCTATAAATCCCACTCCCACTCCCACTCTCCCCCACCAACCTCGCCTCCCTCACACAAGAAGTCCCCCTCGCAGCACCCATATACCTCTCAAAAGACCCCCCATCTCCCTCAACAACCCCTCTAAACCCGCCACCCCCGCACTCTCAACCCGCTCGCCCAGCGCGCAGATCCTGCGATTCAAGCGCTCTAGCCCTGTGGTGGCAGTGCCCGCAGTGCGCTTGCGGCCAGCGGCATCGGTCCTCGAGCGCGTCGCTGGTCATGAGGTGCCAGATGGCGCAGAGGTCTTGTAGAGCGTAGCAGGGAGGCCATGGATAGGTCGTGGATGGAGGTGCGGTATTGGGCTTGTGCGTAGGCGAGGCGAGGCGCTCGGGAGTGAGGAGCGGCATGGTGAGTTGGGTCGTGTTGTAGAGGGGGTTGAGGAGTTGGAGTTTCCATTGTGGTGTGTTGGAGATGAAGGATTGGATTGGATTGGATTGGTTGGTTGTGGGGTTGACTGTCTGATGTTTTAATGAAGTAGAAGGATATTTGGGGTATGCTGAGGCTAGGAGTGGATTTTGCTCGGTGCGATCGTTCTGGTAGTGAATGGAATAAGAAGGGTTTTCATCCAGGGACTTCTCGGCTCGTCCTACTTTTGTATATCTCTGATTTCCCAGTATAGAATTCACAGATTTGAGCAAGTCAATGATTTCACACTAGAAATCCTTGGGAGGTTGATTGGCATAATGATTTCTAGGAGAATACCAAAAAGCATCCAAGACTTATGCAGTGCGTTGTGCAGGGCATGTTCTTGTTAACCTTAGAGTCTCTCACTCACCACCAGCCTATCACACATAACCTACCTTTCCGTTCTATAGCATGCCGCACCATCCTTTTACCCCGTGCTCTGGTAGATTGAAAGTGGTATTGTATGCATATGAGTAGTTGGGGCATTTAGTATAGATAGATACCTAGATATTACTGAACTGCAGCTTCAAGTTCAAGTATCAAGACAGAAGAAGCGCTAAAGCGCATCCATCGTATGAAGAACAATTCAACCAACCAGTTATAGCATTAATTGCAATCCAAATGCTGGATAACAACAATAGTTCGTCTGATTCTATTTCGACTCAACTACTGACCGGCGAGTCTGTAGCATATCATATTAAACTTAAAGTACAAGCAAGCAACATATTTTTAACAAGCTATGAAAAAGAATGAATGAATGAAGGAATGTATGAATGAACATGTCGTCGTCGCGCACGCATACACCATTCATGCTCCTAACCAGCCATGATTCCATGACGACGTATTCCATCCATCCTTCACACTTCAAATAAGCTTTCATTCGTGTGTAGAAGCATAAAGTAAGTGCACACAATACAGTCAACAAGGTAACGCGGGGCATAGGAAGTGAGTTTTCTAGCAGGAGACTTCCCAGATGATCATGTGGTGCGGACTTTGGATAGAATTGAACGGTATGCGTCAAGGGGTTCGTTATTTATGGTATACTTATAATCCTCACAACAGCCTGAAACCAATACGGTATAAATCCCGCTCCCTTCTTTCCTTCTTCGCAACCCAGAAAATTGAAACGCGAGAAGTCGAAAATGCGCTACTCAATAACAAGTGTAGACCTGTCTGTCTGCTATACACGTTAGCAATACTTTCATAATCATACATACAATTCAAACTTCACAACGTTGTCCTTTCCCCCCCCCCCCCTATTCGCTCCCACACGAAATAAAACTAGGTAGATGAGCTTTGACAGCAAATGAATGATTGAACGACTGACGGATTTCGACTGAGACGGAATGGTATTGCGGGGCAGACAGCGTGAGATTTTTAGAAATGAGTGAAGTCTGATGATTCTAGCTGGTGGCACCGATAGGTAGTTGGAAATGCCTCGGGGCAGAGTGAGAGACATAAACCCATGTTTCAGATGCGTTTTTTTCCCGAAGATAGGAATGTCAGCTTTGTGTTCACCTCAGGCTTTGTACTTTCCCAACACGTCTGCCATTCAACTATCTACTCTAATAATCTCCCCGACTCACCCGCCATTGACTGGAAATCCGCAACGGTCCCATAGTCTCGCCGCGTCTACAGAAACACCACAAGATGGCCAAAGTTTGAGATCCCTAGTAGATGACTCTCGGATCACTTGAGTACTAAAGAAGCTGAAATCGATGACTCAAAGACCTGTTTTGTCACCGCGAGAGGGGCAAAGAGGCCTGAGCATCCTTGAAGCCTAACTTCAATGCCCTTCTCATTTTCATCACATTAGACTTATCATCTTTCCTATTCCAGCAATTTTCGGTGGCAGAATCACATGCCGGTATTCGAAGTCCAGATTTCTTGAGATGAAGGCAAATATTATCCCCAGAAAATACAGCATAGCCTCAGAATTACTTGATTCGATACGGAATTGGGAGACTCGCCCGAATCAAGGGGCGAGCGTCGCAATGTAACGCGCTAGTGGTTCCGTCGGATGTGAGTCAGAGGTCTGGAATAAAGAGATTAGGTCGAGGCTCGGGATTGTGAAGCAGTATTTGAGATATTAAACCCTGAAATGGACTGATATAGGAATGATTCCAGTCTGACAAATTCTGGTATGACTCTTGGACAACATAAGGAAGAAATGAGCCACAGAGGCAAATATCAAGTCCACGGTAGTACCAAGTATTATGTAACTGAAAGCAGGACTTGAAGGATGATCGCTTGAACTGATTTGAGTTCTTGGTAGGTCAATGATGCTGGGTGGCGAATGAATAGGGGGATATTGCTGACAAATAGAGCTTCGTCAGTCATAGAAGCAGCTTGAATAGACTGGAAGGACAGAGATAGCGTGAACCCCGAGTAGGCAGCGTTGACATTCGGAAAGCACAAGGTGATACTTGGATTCAAGAGGCAACTACGCCATATTTGTTTGCCATTCCGTCCCTTTTGAGGTGATTGGCCACACGTGACTCATAACGAGGCTGAAGTGGTACGTACTGCGTACCAGTGTATCATCTTTCAATAATGTGCCAGATGACTCCAACGATGCAAGGCTGATCGGGCGTCGACTTGACGGTACCTTGAACGGAGTATCAAACTTGATTCAGCCCCTCTCCATGGTAAAGCACACACAATGTCTCATGAGGCTGACCCTTCAGCCGTTCTGTCACATATGTGCAGGCCTGGCTATTGGCCCTGTTTGTTGCCTAAGCGCGTCCAACAACGTTTTGATATCTGATGACCAAGAAGGCGGTTCGAGACTGGATGGATGGGTGCACCGAGGCCTCGGCAAACAATCCACTCGGGCACGTATGCCTCTTGTGGCAGAAACAGAAACACAACCCATGGCAGAAAGATTTCTGTAATACCCACCCTCAATCCTCCATACCCAGCGGAGAAGGATTCGAAATAAAAACAAGTGAATAACAAAAGAGTGAAAAACAATTGTTGAGTGCGAGACACCACGTCACCGAGCAGATAGCTCTCCTGTTCTTGTGCGACACGTGTGCTACACCGCTTCAAAAGGGCATGGGAAAGGCTCGAAATGTGTCAAAGATGATGCTATCGATGCAGGCTCAGGTCGAAGGCAGTAGTGTCGTTATCCGCCTGCATCCGCCTGGCGTAGACTAGGTTTTCAGCCAATGCTGTGTCCTGCAGCGGGAAGTAGTGGGGTTGGTGTTGAGTGGAGGCGGGAGCATGCGTGGTCTTGCTTCCAGGATGTGCTCTGGTTGCTTATCCTGTGCAACGTGGTTGGAGCAGGGGGGGTCAACCAATCACGTCACAGCACAGGCCGCCTTGGCATGTGGCTGCATGTGGCTGCATGTCACCGTACGTCGCTGCCCACTCAGGATGCAGCATTCAGGAGACATTCGATGCAAACAAAAGAAGCCCTTTTCTTTCATCTGCAGACTCAGTGTACAAAGGTATATAGCGAAGTATGACTCAAATGGCTGCGAGGTACTTGTGGGAAGATTCGTGTGGCGGAGCAGGGAAAACTCTGCAAAGATTAATTGAAGAGGCTGGGGACAGGCTTGTAAGTATCAAAACGGCAGAATAAGAAACCGTCTTTCCTGTTCGAGGACAGTGGCCCCGGCCCGCGAGGGAGGAGGCTGGAAAGATGCTTGCACGATAGATAAGACATGGATCAGTACTATAGACATGTGGGCTTGTGAAGTTGTGGCCCCAGCGGACCTTCGGTGGTGATGGTGCGGTGCTTTGCCGCAGATAGAAAAGGACGTACAGTACGACATGGGTTCATCTGTGAACCATTGCAGCGGGAATCGGGACTTTACAGCAGGTGATGTGCCCTAAAACGAGCCTGACATTAGAGCCCGCAGCCTGCGTCTATAGCCTGTTGTAGCACCCCGCCGGCATGCAGTTCAGGGAACCAACAGGGGAGCGGAAGAGCCTGAAGCCTAGAACTTCCGTCGTTGAAGTGAACCTGAAGTTATGAGAATATGGTTGTCGCATACTGCGGAAGTCCTGCTTGATCTCAGTGCTGCAAATGACCTTCGGGTGTAGGGAATTAGATATCGTGACTTGCCCAGACAATCGCAGTCCAATGATCCAGATGGTGATATAGCCCCTTTGTGATATCGAGCATGATATTGGCGATTAACAACGGCGCGTGATTCTTGGTGTTGGAGGCTTGGGTACAATTGGCAAGGGCTTGTCTTAAGAGAAACTCGCAGCCTCTAAGATATTTGGCGGGGTTTAACCCGATCTTTTCGCAAAAGAACTCGGGAGGGTGTGAGGGAAGGTTTTGATAATCGGTGATTGTCTCCAATTGAGAAGGTCTGACTACCTTACATGGGCGTTAAAATAGAAAGTCAGCAATCAGTCACACGTTCATCGTGATGTGATGGCTTCGCTCGGTCGCGCTTGCTCCCCTGAATGGCTTCCCCTCCACCCCTCCTCGTTCCGTTTGTTCAACCCCGCCATCTTCTAAATAGCGTATATGGTGCATCCGCATCCTCATCTGCTGCACCACCTCTGAGAGTAATCTCGATTATACCAGCAGCGCATTCCTGTACTGTACCGGCGCGTCAAGAATAACTCCTCATCCATACATTACTGTACCAGGTCCTCACTATGCGTCTTACCTAAGAACCACGGCCACAAGTCGGCCTCATACGTCAACTATCCGTCTGGCTCAGTACCTCCGTACCAGTCGTGTCTTCAGTATCTCAGTAGGTAGGTAGCCAGCTTTTCAATTAGCTAGCAAGGGGCAAATAACCGGATTCCTCGGTGGGTTGTACGAGTGCAACCAAAACCACGAGTCGTTCGCCCTGCTGGGACATCTGCTCCAACAAATAGACAGGTACGATCCTGTGTCTTGGTCCTGGTCCTGGTCCTGGACTTCATTTGACCAGCTATACTTTGCAGTTGGTTTGGCCTGCGACCTCATCGCCAGTCGTTGCGATTCGTTAGTCGCCTATCGATTTCGAGCCCCTCACTCGGTGGTACTGGACTGACTAGGTGGCCACTCGGCGACCAGAACGCACCATTGCCTATAAGGAACCTGTACTATTCGGCCCTCACAACAACGTGAGCGTGAGAACTACTCGAGTACGAAGGGCTATAACGAATGTCCTTTGCCACGCTGAGCGAACGCACTACTCTGAACTGGATCCATGAATACCTGAAAAGTGACTCAGGATCCACCAGTATCACCTTAACACTATATTGACTCCTCTTCGCTCCGCTCCTCTTGGCTCCTTGACTCCTCTTTGACAGTTTGACTCCTATCAAAGTCATCCATCAATCTGCACTTGCGGCACTGGTCCCGCAGCTTCGTACCCAATCTCTCAACGGCCCCATCTCGTCAGCTAGCCCCGTACCCGTACCCGTACCCAGCAGTGCGGTCTGAATTACTTCACACTGCGGCTCGCGGGCGATCCGACGCTGTTCCAGTGGGGATCCTGTTCAAAGCAGAAAGTAGGTAATTTCTTGCTACAGTGGACGAAACGACCCTAACTTCCTGAAGAGATCATTGAGTACCAGACATCCTGTCTCTCATCAATCTCGCTTGCTTCAATATCATGATTGCTTGTGCTGTTTTGGCACTGGCTTGAAGTAAAATCCAGGGGGACCCGTTGCACCGACAAGTTGGACCAGTCTACTCCGTATGCATTTTTATTAGGTTCTCGTAAGTGTGCAAGCCCCCCGTCTCCTATCCTAGTCCCACCACCCACCGGTCCTACCTAGTCTGCGGCGGAAGCTCTTCCCCTTCCACCGCCTTTGACTCGGGTTGTTCTGCTGCCAAATCACAATGTCCGCTCTGCGCTGCTCTGCACCGTGCATTCCAGAATGCCCCGGGGTGTTCTTGCTGATGCCCTGCGAGAGAGCCCAATTATAATCTCGTTGGGTTATTCATATCTCGCTTTAAACCCTGTGGCTTGGCTTGGCTGACCATTCTCCAGGCCCCTGCGCCCCTGCACACGCCTAACGCCAACACACAACACCCGAGCGAGAGTGAAATTTCGTGTTAAATATCATCGCTCTCCCCCAACCTCGTCTTTCCTCCTGCTGTTCCCAAAACCATCCAGACTTATCGACCCCAAAGCTTTTACAACCACCACGATCAATCAATCAACGAGCCGGATTCAGCATCCTGCTCATTTTACAACTTTCACGAAGCCGATACTTTCGACTTCGACAGCCCCCAAGATCTCCTCGAAGAGGATATCGCCAGACCAGTTCTTTGACATGTACGGATCAACGACACAGGTTTCCTCCTTCTCTCGTACCGACTACATACCACGGTGACGGTCTCGTCACACTCTCCTCGGCGTCTCGTTGACACAGCGCCACCGAACCTTTTGTTTTGTTTCTTTCATTTTCATTTTTAAGGGTGCCTCGGAGCATCGCAAGAGTAGGATAACATGGCCGCCTACACCCCATACAACACGCCGCCTGCGCATGGCGCATACTACGGATTCAGCGCATCTCCTTCACCGGCTGGATCCCCCGCGGGAGGGCAACACGGATTTTACGCGCAACGATCAGGACCATCGCCGCGTCACGCGCGACACGCGTCTGGAGATGCTTATGGCTATAGCTCACCTCGAGCCTTTTCGCCGAGATATAACTCCAGCGGACATTACGCCACTGCTGCCAATGTGAGTCGAAAACAAAGTTCTTGGTCGGCGCCGCGGCAGGAGGCCAAACGGCGAAATTCTTTCTCCTATCGAGCCTCTCATGGGGATTCCGACGAGGACGATCTTGAATATGTAGACTATCTGGTGGATGATGTGATCTATCGTGTGCCTGCTCGGCGTGCTACAAAGCAAAGTTACAATTATCGTGGGCATGGCACTGATCGTTACTACTATTCTCAGGACCAAGGATACATTTATAAAGACGACCCTGAGGGGACGCCTCAACACGAACAAACACCTAGAAGACGTAGACAATCGTCCTCGACGCCACAACGACCTTCATCCGCGCGCGCGACGGCGTCACCAAAGAAGCCGCCACCAACACCAAAGGCCACCGAACACGACGCGCGGAAGCATCGCATTCCACCCGGATACTCGCTCAAGAATTGGGATCCTTCCGAGGAACCTATCATGCTCTTGGGCAGTGTCTTCGATGCCAACAGCCTCGGAAAATGGGTTTACGACTGGACAGTCTATCATCATGGTCCAGCTACTCCCATAGCCGACATGGCTGGCGAACTTTGGTTGCTTTTGATTCAACTAGCGGGCAAGGTCAAGCGTGCAGAGGAATGCATGGGACGCATTCGAAAAGAGGATAATAGAGAGATGGTGGAGGATTTCATCGAGTCAGGGGAGCGGTTGACGGACAAATTGAAGAAGCTATTGAAGGCTTGTGAGACGCCCATGTTGAAAGCAGGAAAGAGGCATGGAAAGGATACCCCACAGTTGGGCAAGAATGCAGGCACCGAATTTGTCGACTCTATTTTTGGACGAGACAGACAACTTGATCAAACGGAGAAGTTTATGTCTTCCATTCGCCTCTGGAATCTACGATTCGACGCCAACTGCGAGGATATCCTTCGGAGACCAAACCAATAGAATTGGGTACATATACGAGATGAGATGGGGAGGAGGATTCGGACTATTTCTTTCGTCGGTTTTTTACGGGCTCACGATACCCCCCGATGCGTTAGATGCTTTTTCGCGGTGCTTTTATTGTAAGATAATAAAGAGGATAAAGGGCAACCATATTTCCGTTCAGTCAGGCATTGGGCGGTAACAAGATCACGCATCATGGCAGGAAGGAAAAAAGTTTCGGTTATAGTACAGTTGGAGGGATTTTGCTTTGCACTTGGGTTTGGATCAGACGGGCTGCGCGCGCGCTTGCGGATATTGTAATCATAGTTTCTAGTTTCTCTGATGGATGGCAGGCATATGGGAGCGAGCAGTATTGGGCGTCTTATTGCTTTTGCGCTCCTCGAATCGTCTTCAGAAGATACCCCATACTTTCTCAATAAAACCTCATTTAAAATACCATGGTTGCACCGTTGCAATGTCTTGGTTGAATTGGATCAGGTAAGTGACTCGAGCCTAATGTGACACAATCCAATATCAAAGGCTACCTTGCACACATGGTAGTACCAACTCACATCACACCCTCAGAATTAGATACGGTACTGATATGATACATTATATTGTATTGTATTGTGTTGTGCAGTGCAGTGAATCCGTAAGTGTTTAGTTTCTATTAATGGCCCCTCCCTCTCCCTTCCTCACCTCCGGTACTTGCTCCTGAGTCGACTCGACTGGGTTTCAAACCTTAATCCATCATCCCATGCCCATGCCATGCCATGCCATCCCACCTTTAACTGGAGCGGCAGCAGCAACAGCGGTAGCCAAAATACCCGTACCGGTATCATGACACCATCCCCTCTAGAGCCCTTCCCCTCTTCTGCAACGCAATGGTTCATGCACGAATAAGCACGAGCACGAGCTCCTGACCCCACCCTGTTTTCTGGGGGTGAGGCCAATCAATCAATCAATCAATTGCAAAGCGCGCATACGTACGGAGGCTCGGGAGGGGAGGTACTGTAAGGCTTTTACCGAGTCGTGAGCGAGCACGAGCACCCCTCTTTCAAGTGAAGTGAAGTGAAGTGGAGTGGACCCTGTTGAATTAACCTCGTCTCTCTGGAGGGCTGGCGGGCTATGAACTGGATTTCACGTTTTTGATATATATATAGTATGTATGTATGCTACGAACTGCAATTCTTTTCCGTTATTTCACGGAGTATGTTATGTTATGTTTTCAGAAACACTACTCGTTACTACCTATTACACATTTATAACCTCTGGCGTGTACTGTTTACCATACCGTGTGATATGATATGATGGATGGCTTGTACGAATTAGCCTATTATGTGTTGGTTGGGTTGGTAGGTACGCAGTCATGGTTGTACAGTGCAGTGCAGGTGGGTTGTACAATATATGTATGTCTTGAATCTAGTACCGAAGCGAGAAGTGTGTGAAGTACACGGCTGGCTTATAAGCAGGGAGGGGTTTGAGATAGTGTATCTAGGTAGGTATCTTGTTCCTGCGTTTCTGCATGTTTTGGATCGAGCGTTGGTATGTACAAAGTGTGCTTATGTATGTATGTAGGTATATACTTAATTATACACCCATCTTCTATTCTATTCTATTCTAACATGATGTAGTGGTGGTGCTCGCCCTTTCCCTCGACATGACAGACACACAGACAGCCGGCCGGACCGAATCGTGTCAATGAATCGCGAGTAAGTACTAGACCTAGGTACTTGAAAGTCCTGACCATTTACGGGTAATACCATATAAAGCTGTACTACCTTGCGTTTCTTCCTTCCTGCAAGCCACACCACATTATCACGAAAGAAATGAAACACGTGCGAATGCTTGCTGACGGAAGGGGGATTCTAATTCTGCCGGAGGAAAAGGAAGGGGTGTGGAGGAGAAGGAGGGGGGATTATACAACATTGTTTCGCTTTTACATCTTACGTACCTATTAATGAAATCAAAATGGAATCTGCAAGTACAACTCCCGTTAACGATAAAACGATGTGGAATGAAAAAGTAAAGAAGTTCCAGAACGATACGATATCCGAAATGGATTAGTCTCGCTCGCGAGATGACATAAAAATAAGTACAAGTGCATGTGTATGTACATGCAGCATGGCATACTTAGCATGGCTATGTGCATAAGTTTTATTTATGCACGTCAGATGCTATTTTTATACCCAGCCCAACACAACCCAACGCCCCCACTCCAGTCAGCCAGCCTACAGATATCCAATCCAACATCTCGCATCGGGCATGTAGGTAGGCAAATATAGGTTGGGTATCGATTACATGCCTGCTTACAGGAACAAACCACAAACCACAAACCACAAACAACAATCGACAACCGACACTTCCGCGCGGCAAAGGAGTAGGGAATAATAATTACCCCACCAAGCTGAATATACGTCGGCTTTTATCTACACGCACGCTGCACGCTCAGCTCAGCCCCTTCCCCTAAGCGCTGAAGGAGGGTGAACGGACTTCGGTCGCATATCGGGTCGCTGACTGGGTTTCTTGACTTGAGGCTCTTTGCACGGTGGGTGGACTGTAAGGCTGATTGTTTGGTAGCACGTGCGTGCGTGCGTGGGGTCGGCATCTTGTAAGGCTGAGTGAGGGAGCGGTGTATTGGGGATTCGTAGAGTCTGACGTGGAGGAGGATTTGGGATTTGGGATTTAGGAGGGGTTGGTGTTTTACGAGATAAGAAAGAGGAAGAGGGAACGGACGGAGTTTTAGGGACCAGAGCAGAGGCTAGGCTAGTTGTCAAAGGCACAGAATCCTTGAGGGCGCTGACGGGAATTTTCGAAAGGGGTTTTGGGTTGTCAGGTGATCGAAAGGGTTGGAAGAGGAGAAGAGATGCATTATATACGTTTTCTTAAGCCTCCTCGTCTGGTCGGTAGTAGGCGTGGAAATACTCCGTTGGTGGTGAAAGCTAAAATCACGGTTACGACTGATCTGGGAGAGTCATTTCTATGGGCCGATGTTGATCTCGTTGTTGAGTTGACTGATGGGAGTGGGAATCGGCTTCTTGAGAGGGGGAAAGGTTATACGTGGAAAGGAAGCGAGGGGATGCGGAGTTTGGAAGTCGAGCTGTTGATTCCTGAATCCAGGGGCAAGGAAGCTGGAGGAGTGTTGAGGTTGTTAGTGAGGCCGAAGGAAGACTTTCATGCCGTCGAAGACCTTGAAAGGATATTCGGAGACTCAATCGAGCACGAAGATACTGGAGGAACTGGAGGTGTGATGGCTGTGAGAAGCATGGCCATTGATATCCCCTCGAATCAAGGCCTGCCGATATCAACGAGCACGAGCATGGCAGAGCGAACCTTCAGATTTAGAAATTCAGAGTTACACATATGGGAGGAGACAGGAGAGTCAATCGCTCGACATATCTGGTATGCTCCATCACATTACCCAAAACACGTCACAGGTACGTCCCATCGTCCACCCAGCTAACACCGAAACAGGGACGCCGGACTATTGTTATCAGCCTACCTTGCATCAACCTCTATCCCATCATCAAAAAAATCCCTACCGCCATTACCATCTCTGCACAAAACCCTATCTCAGAAAGATCTGGCAATCATCGAACTCGGAGCAGGCTGCGGAATCGTGGGAATAACTCTCTCAACCCTCTTCAGAAAGCAAATTTCTCAAATCCTTCTCACAGACCTTCCTGAAGCCAGCGAAATCCTCACTCAGAACCTCTATCTTGAAAACTCCAACTCCAATCCCAACAATAACCCCAGAAGGATATCCCACCAAGTTCTAGACTGGTCCTCTCCCCTCCCCCAAGGTGTCAGGGCGACGAAATGGGATATGGCGGTCGTGGCAGACTGCACGTATAATCCGGACGTCGTCCCAGATCTCGTGCAGACGCTGAAGGGGTTGGGGGAGACGAGTAGTGAGATGCTGGTGTTGCTTGCTATGAAGGTTAGACATGATAGCGAGATGGTATTTTTTGATTTGATGGCCGAGGGCGCCTTTGTGGTGCTCGAGAAGTGTAAGTTGCCGCTGCCGGTGCTGGGCGGGGAGGGTGAGGAGATTGAGGTTTTTGTGTTTGGGGTTGGGTAGGGTAGATGGGTATGGTGATATAAGTAAGTGTATATCAAGCAACTGGGTTGTGATCTCGACTTGAGAAATCCGGTCTTGGTGCTTCTTCTTTTATCCTTTGGCCTGCCTGCTTCGGGGGCTGTGAGTGGTGCTTCATCTAACTAATTTCAGGGGTTTGAGGTTCGAGGAAGTTTCAGAATGTTGATTGAATTCAAAGCTTGATATTGGAAGTGGAAAATCCTTCTAAGCAAATCAACTTAGGCGCCAATTGCTCAATAGGACGAAGTTACTACCTTTTGACGGATTGGAAGAAATTCATCTCGACCTTTTGAATCCGATTCAGTAAACTTTTCCGGTCGCAGGATTTCGGATTCACTTGAGAATCTAGTCTCAGACAAGTTGCCCGCAAAGGCATGTCCAGGTCAAAGATGTAGGGTAAAGTAGATTAGTCGAAAGGAGAAGAAGGGATGAGTTCTAATGAGAAGCCTTGATGGATGTCAAATCACGTGTGCGATATTGGGTGCTCATTATTGGACTACTGGAAATCGTATCCAATAGCCAGGTGCTATGGAAAGCCTCTCCTTGGCTTCATAATTATCCTTTATTGTTGTCTCCCAAAGACTAGGAGTCCAGTGATCTTTGAAAGTGACCCGAACCGAACTACTTCGTCACAAGCACGAACCATTCACTGCAATCCCGATTCAACCAGGACGAAAGTCCAAGCCTAGTCGCATAGGAACTGAACTTTCACCAAACCTCCAAGCTACCAAATTCGGCAATGCCAAACCCCCGTCTCCTCCCCGTATCCTCAAACCCCACCCCAACAGCCCTCTTCAACATCTGCACCACCGACCGTATCCCAACTCTGCGTATCCATAACCGGAACCAAGCCATCCCACCACTCCGTTCTAATCGTCGCAGCAGCCTGCTCGGGCGCGTCATTTATAAAGCGCGGTGGCAGTATCACGGTCCGACCAGTAGCATCCCAGACCCTAATCGTAGCAACAATCAGGAATCGGATTCGAGTGCCTCCATCGGGCTCAAGGTATAGGCGCTTGGCAGTTTGGACGAGGACTTGGAGAGATCTGGCGTCGGGGATATGGTTGGCGAGCTCGGAGGGAATGGTGTGGACTGCGTAGTTGTTGTAGACGGCGCTGATGCCATCCCCGAAAAAGGCCGGGCTGGATGCTGTGAGACCGATGGTCGAGGTACTGTGCGTGAGGAAATCGGGGGTGTGGATGATGGCCATTAGGGTAAGGCGGAGCATAGAGGTCGTTGGCTCGCTTGTCAGGTTGTTGAAGACCTTTGGGTGAGCTGTCAAGTAATTCATGGCGCTGGTTAGGGCCGAGTGTTTGAGAAGGCTCTTTGGGATATGTGTGCGCGGCGAGAGCTTTGAGGGCCGGAAATGGTAAGCTAACGAAAGATGTTCAAGGAGTTGGTGAGTTGTTCGAAGTTGCATCTCTCAAAAGTAGATGGCATATTGACAGATGCTTGGGGGACAGAGATAACTCATATTTCTAAACAACGGCTTCAGCTTGGGAGCGGGTAATTAGGAGTGGCCAATTTAGAAAGCACTGGTGGGCACGGGTGAACTTGGGCAGATTTTGATACTAGCAAGGCTGCTACGGAAACAAGCATGAAGACAAAGAGTGCCGCATAGACTTGAGGGAATCATGCAGAACTCTCATGTGAAGAAGGGTTTGTAGTTCAAAGGCTACGACACACGGACTCATAGATGGTGGCTACGCAAGTTATAACAAAAGGACTCTGAAAACGTTGTGAGGTTTAAGTGTTTTGTTCCAAGTGAGTACTCACTGTTCTGGCATAGCTCATGGACACTCTTCATCTCTTTCTCTTGGCTTTGGTTTGCGTGGCTCGCTTGACTTTCTGATCAAGCAGTCTATAGCCGGCTCCAACTCTTCAAATACTACCATTGGTCTCTGCATTCTCTCCGCCCAGCTGGTAGTTACCGCCGAAGTGGCCCGATATCCTCTTCTTCTTCTTCTTCTTCTTCAGATCCTGGAAGACCGTCGGTTTCTGGCTGGTAATTCTGTTTGATAGAATTGAACCGGGCCACCTTATATTTTAGAAGGAATTTCGCCGTTACGGGCACATGCCTCAATTCCTTGCACATTTCTCTCCTTGTTGAAAGCTGGTCTCCCCCAATGTCTCTAGTTCTGAGGTGGGTACCCGATAAACAAGAAATCGCCCGACCAAGTGAAAAACCTCTGCCTTTGTGAGAAACCTAGCTCTTGAACAGTTGCTGATCACTAGTTGATCGTCAAGATAACAAAACGTTAGGAATACATCGATCCCTTTCGGGGCATGCCTTGCTTTCTTAAATCGTTATCCCTCTCAAATCACTAGTGCTAGGTAGAAAATATATATAGATCTAACAATATCATTACGCTATTAACAAGTGAGAAAACACAGGAAGCTGCGAAATATGTTTTAGAGTCTTGCTTCAAGGGTATTTCTACTCTAACATATACGAGAACATATAGCAAGCCCTGGTATACGACATAATAAGGGAAGGAGAGAATGCAAAGTGCTATTACAAGGCGATTGCGAGGGAAAGAGGGAGGTTACAGCAAAATGTAAATGACAACAACACCATCAAACCTCGGCTCAAAAGCAGACGATGCAACGAGATACTTCTTCTCTCAAAAGACCTTCGTCGTCCCGAGCAGTCGCGAGATCTATACTCCCATGTATCGCCATCTTCCTTTCCTTTCCCCTCTTCCCACCATACAACAAAAACAAAAACACTTTAAAATCTATCACTATCCATCCCTCTCCTCACAGTCACCTATTTATATATACAATTCCAAGTCCCCTAAAAATGTATCCGATAAAGTCTAAGTCCCGCATACAAGAAATTCGGTAGCTGAAATAACCCGCAAAGAGGGCGTGATCTTGAAGTATATAAGAAAAGAAAGAAGCCGAGGGAAACTATCTGTTTTAAGATTCTGAATATCGATATATATCACCTCTGAGATGCAATGATGAGCACTTCTAACACGCATATCTTTCCTAATAATTGAAAAAGAGAGGGGGAAAACTTGCTAATCTGCATACTTTCCTTTCACCGGCATACTCATTACAGCAGTGAGCCAAAACGACCGTTATTCCTGTTATAACAGCAAAGACCCCCATAACAGCAATTCTCATTTCAATTCTCTTCAATTCCCGACAAGTGAAGCAGGGTTATACATCTACTGTCCAGAACAGCTACTTCTTGATAATAACTTCCCCAGCCCTTTCCCCTTTCCCCTTCCTCTGATTGGCTGTCAACTTCCCTTTAACAACTAATCCCCTACAGCATCGAATCACATTCTTAAATACCCCCTTCCAAGCTCCCTCGCTTGCTCGCTCTCGCGACGGAATGGAGAAGCGGAGCGAAGAGAAGACAAGCGAGTGGGGTATTTAAGTAGACAATGCTATGCTATGCTCTTTCCCGGGTAAAATTAATTAAGAACAGCGACAGAAGAGTGTACGAACTATCCGTAGGAGATGAGGGACGATATGTCTTGAAACATGTCATTTCCTGTGATATTCGATCTTGAAGAAAGGAACTTTTCTGCCAGGTCCGTAGGAATGGCAAAGTGAAGAAACTTTACTATTAATAGATGTGAGAGTGTAAGGACTAGATTTATGGATTGGACTATGCCAAAAAACCACTTTTACATTCGCAATTCTACATATCTAATCCTTTTGTTTTATTGTTAATGCAAGATAAGACGATCTTGATATATGCGTATTACTCCCATAAAGTGTTTGGTAGAGATGGTTTATGCAGAACACAAAAGCCAGAAAGCCGAAAACGGCGACTTTATTATTTCCTGTTTTCTAATTGAATTGAGGTTCATCATCGAATTGTGTAAGAGTGGAGCGAACCAACTCAGATCGTTTGTACCGGTGGGATAGCTAGTCCAATCTAGGGCATCAGCACCCCTGCAAGCCAGGAGCACGGGGGTAAGGTGGGGCCGTTACTTACATACTATCACCCCCCTAAAAAATTGTGTCTTCCTGCCCTACAGGAGAGTGGAGTAGGGGGGGAAATTGGAGAAAGTGGGAGACGAATGCTTGGACTACCACTCACATAGAGTAGGGGGACACGATTAAAGGTTAAACCATCTAAAGTCCCCATAAAAGTAACATCTTATGTCAAGGAAAGGCCAGGTGCCCTTGCAGGTCCCGTAAACGTGGCCTACTATTCATGACAAGGATACTTGTACTTCAATAGGACCAATAGAGCCGTAGTGAAATCATTCGCCTAGTCCCCTTGTATCCATACAGAGTAGTAGCGCAAAAGATCATTAACCTTAGTTTGGTGGCGGGGAGTAGTACAAAATTGTAGGTAGGTTGTCAAGTTTTTTGGACCCTAAACATACGGTGTAAAATAAGCATAAATTTGATTGGCTTCCATGCCTGATTGTACGAGGATCTTGGGGCTTAGCCATGAGAAAAGAGATGTTCGAGAAATTGGATTCTAATTTAGGTACTTCGTACGAGGCTACGAATCAAAGAACCTTGACTACGAGTATAGATAGGTACAAGCCGAGTAACTCATAATCAAGATTTATTCAATTGTAATATAATGACCCATGCATGCCGGTTCGACCGCCGTTTATCAGCCTCATGATTCTGTGTTTAGCCTCCTAGAGAGTGTTAATGGATAGACCCTGTAACTTTAATACATTGCACCAGTGTATAGATATGTCAAAGGGCTTACGAATCTCTGTCCTCCGTACCTCCGTAGAACATACTAACCCAGAAGACTTCTGCTCAGCCTTCATGTTGACCAAAGCAGATTGATTCCAGATATATAGACGCACAGGACGATAAGACTACCCGTTTCGACCATTTTCAAACCTCTCTCTCTCTTCCAATCCGATACAGTACCAGCGAGACGGTAGAGTACCACTGCCCCCAGTCCGGAATAAGAAAACATCCTAGCTGCCTTTCACCATGGTTTTTTGCGGCAAGCCAAGCAAAAATTGCTCAAGTTGCCGAGTGAGACGAATTAAGGTGAGCAATACGCTTCTGCCCTATACGCTCTCAAAAAGCACTAGCTTCGCCCCACACCACCAGTACCGTCATGTTGCCCAAGAAAGGTTCTTACAAATTTTCAAGTGTGACCTGAAAGAGCCGGCTTGCTCACAATGCATGAGAATCAATAAAGAGTGTTCAGGCTACCGAGATCAGCTCACCTTGAGTTTCAGAGACGAAAATTCAAAGGTCATTCGGAAAGCTCAAACTCCAAACCAACAGACAGGCCAGCAGAAAGATAAAAGTCCAGATTACAGCACCCCAATTACTCTGGATCGTTTGGCGATACATCCACCTAGTAGAAAGCGGTCGAAAAGCCCTTCATTGGTCGCCCGGTCTAGACGAAGTCCATCTCCTCGCTCACTATTTCCAGCTTTACCGGACGACGAGGGTATACGTTTTTTCTTTGACCACTATGCCACAGCTTTCCACGCTTGCACGGATGACGGGAGCAATGGCACAGATTCTCCTGCTATATGGCCAAACCCCATAGACAGCTCCATGTTCGCAAATACCCTGTCATCAGTTGGATTCGCTGGACTCTACAATGTCACCAAGAACGAGAACCACATGGTCGTTGCGAGAAGGAAATACACATCGACATTGATTGATATCAAAGAAGCATTGACGGACCTTTCCAAGAGAGATTTGGACGAAACTTTCAAGACTGTCATGCTACTTGCATTGTACGAAGTAAGTGACGCAAGAAGTGTGAACATAGACAACGCTGACATGGCCTCTCTAGATAGTTAGTGGTGATGTAGAAGGTTCAGGAGATTGGGGCATACATTTTGAAGGCGGAGCAGCACTTCTGAAGACTATCAATGCACGACTACCCCAACGACATCCAAGAATCAGAATGCAGGTTCAGTTATCCTTCTCCATTGTATGGGGTCCCTCTGGTCTTAGAATGAAGTCGACGTTCTAACCAGGCTGCAGTATATTAAATATCTCTACTTGGGTGTGCCAGTTCCCCATTCCATGACTGAAGGTAAATTGAACAAATGATCATTAAATCACACACTAGCATGATCCAAGAAGCCTTCTCGAAGAACCCATGCTGACTTTTGATCCCTCTAAGCCTCGGAACATTATCGAAACACTCCTATGTTGGATCCGGATGCCCCAGCAATACATCTTGCTAAAATTATATCACAGTGCGCCAAATTGAGCGCGAATATCAGGAATAATTCATCAATCATATCAGCCAGTATCTTTCATGAAGCCCTGATTCTGGAACGCGAACTCCGCGACTGGGAAGCATCACTCCCAGAAAGTTGGAACTTCACAATTGTAAATGTGGAAGATGGATTCGAAGATAGCTTCAATGGTGTCACACACTGCTACCGTGACATGTGGACAGCGAGAATTATAAATCATTTTCGATGGGCAAATATTCTGGTCAACGAGCTACTTATTGTCCACATGCCCTGTCTCGGGTCAACGGCAAGCGAAGACAGTGCACAACGAAGCCGAAGTCTAGCGATTATTTTAAGAATGGCTACGGACATATGCAGCAGCATTCACAACCATTTCGACGGCAAGCACAACATAAAAGATGCCCAACTGAGAAAGGTGTCTACTCTCTCTGATTACCTCCCAATATTTCCACTCTGCGTGGCTGGTAGCACGCTTGTGCCAGAACATGTCCATAATTTTGCAGTAAATATGTTAGAGAACATTGGAAACACGATGGGTATCCAGATGGCTTCTAATATGGCATCTGCGACAAAGACAATATATTCTGAATGGCACAATGAAGGAAAGTCACGGGAGTGGTTGGGAAGAAGAGCCCCGTGATACATGGGACGAAAGGGACGGGTTATAACTAAGCGAGAGACTACTCGTACAATAACCGGTCGGCAGTGAAGCCTAAATGTCTACCGGTACTAGGGAACTACCCTAACCTGCTTATATACATATACATGTATAGTAATATAACATACGATACACGTACGACTTGTGCAGCACTCTCGATTATATCACCCAGGTTTGATTATACGAAGCTCTATAAACATTCTATCAGTGTAGAACATACAACGTTACTTTCCGGACCTACTTTTCGGAGTCTGCGGATGCCAAGCGCTGCAATACATCCTTCTAGATCTTCTCTTTGCTCTAGCACACAACAGGAAGCTGGACGCTGATCACGCCTGGTGATCAATGCTCCAGCTCCCCAGGAAAATCATCATCACCCCCCGCTCAGGCATGATCACACTGCCCAATGAAGCAGGCAGCTACCCATGTACTTCATGTATCTCATCTGCAAACCCCTCCTGCTTGACATTTTCAGGGGAAGCAGCCAGTCTAGACACCAGATTCCGACAAGGATTGACTATCTGAACGGCAATTCTATCGAGTTCCTTGTGTCGGCTGCGTGTTTTCCGGACCGAATTTCTTGGTATTATTCGGCGATTATAAGGTTCAAGTGACCGTGATAACAGAATCGCGACATGGTCAGGGCAGCTGCATTAGAGAAATAGAGTTCTAGACTGCGTATATAATCTATCGTCCCCCTCAAATGGTTTCCCCTTAAACCTTCCTTTCCGTGGTTTCTGAGCTACATTGGACGTTATTCTGAAATTCAGTGACCCCGCAGTCTCTCTCAATCATGCATTTCTCACGGACGATTCTGGCAGTCCCAGTGCTAGGTCTGCTTTCATTGACAGTTCTCGCTGTTCCAAATCGTGTCAAACTTCCTCGAGGGCGCCCGGATAACCATACATTGAATCGGGAGAGAGCAGATGCTGTGAAGGAGGCCTTTACGTTTTCTTGGGATGGCTACCAAAAATACGCAATGGGTCATGATGAATTGCATCCAATTTCTAATTCTTACAGCGACTCAAGGTAGGTCAGATTTCACAACCACCCGCCGAGAGGCTAACAACGAGTTCGCAGGAACTCTTGGGGAGCAAGTGCCGTGGATGCGTTTAGCACAGCCATAGTGATGCAAATCCCAGAGATCGTAGACACCATCTTAAACTACATTCCTACTATCGATTTCGATGTGACTACCGACCAGGTCTCGCTTTTCGAAACCACAATCCGATACCTTGGGGGGATGTTGTCAGGTAAGGAAAATGTTTACGCAGGCCCTTCGAGGCTAATATCTGGTAGGATATGACTTGCTCAAGGGGCCTCTGCCAACCCTTGCTTCAAATGCTACAGCTGTCGATGTTGTGCTAGCTCAAGCGATACGCCTTGCCGACAACCTAGCATTTGCTTTTGATACACCGACTGGTATCCCAAGTAATGGTTTGTACTTCAACCCTCCAGGAACCGATAATTCAACTACGAATGGCATAGCTACCATTGGCACACTGGTTCTTGAGTGGACTCGTCTTTCGGATATTACTGGCAACAAAACGTATGCAGAGCTGTCTCAAAAAGGCGAATCATACCTCCTGGCCCCCAAACCAGCTAGCTCAGAGCCATGGCCGGGACTGGTTGGCACGAATGTTGACATCAACACGGGTCTCTTTCAAGATGCTTTCGGGGGATGGGTTGGCGGCGATGATAGTTTTTACGAATACTTGATCAAGATGTACGTCTACGATACCACACGCTTCAGCGAATACAGGGACCGCTGGATTTTGGCCGCAGATTCATCCATTGCTCATATCGCGACCCACCCTTCCACACGCCCGGATTTAACATTCTTATCCATCTTTGACGGACAGGAGCTTATCCATGAGTCTGAGCATCGTAAGACTCCGAAATGCTTTTACCCCTCTCTCAATACATACTGACTTCAATCAGTTGCCTGCTTCGATGGCGGATCTTTCATCCTCGGCGGCCTCACTCTCAAAGAACAGAAATACATTGATTTTGGCCTGGAGCTCGTCAACGGCTGCCACGATACCTACATTAGTACCCTTACAGGCATCGGCCCCGAGATCTTCCGCTGGGTCACCAACAGCACTGCCGCCAATGACACGAACAATCCGCAACCACCGGCTGACCAACAAGCTTTCTACGAAAAGGCCGGTTTCTTCATTACCAACGGCCAATATGTCCTTCGTCCAGAAGTGATGGAGAGTTTCTATTACGCCTACAGGGCGACGGGCGACCAGCAATACAGGGACTGGGCATGGAATGCTTTTGTAGCAATCAACTCGACAGCTCGTGTAGGCAGCGGATTTGCAGAACTGCAAGATGTAAATGCGGCGGATGGAGGTGGTTTCAATGACTTCCAGGACAGCTTCTGGTTTGCCGAGGTGCTAAAGTATAGCTACTTGATTCATGCTCCAGTAAGTCCTAGGCCCTTATCCATACTGAGTATAATGCTGATTTTGGGAAATAGGACAGCGTGTTCCAGGTTGAAAATCAAGGTGTCAACCAATTCGTTTTCAACACGGAGGCGCATCCATTTAAGGTTGTTGGCCCGCCTATTTGAGTGGAGGGTACCTATTAGTATGACTAGCCTTGAGCATTTGGAACTGATTAAACACATAAATGCTTATAATGAAGTGACCCCGAAATGAATTAATGACCACACCTGTTTCCTCCGGCATTGCAAGATTTTGAAACCAATATGAACCTGAAGTTCAGCTGAACAGTGAATGATAAACGCGATTCCCTTGTCCATTCTACTGTAGTAAGTATACTTCATCCTCTCCTAGGTTTCTTACTTTGCAAGTTGTTTATAGTTTAAATATTAAAAACTTCAGGTGTTGTTTAAAAGTTTCCTAATAAGCTCAAGTCTCGCTTCCGCTTATAATACTTGGTCAGTTGCTAGCCATATCGTTCAACCTATTCCTGTAATTGTAAGGGTCGATTTACTTTGTCGAAATACGTTCACGGTTATCTATAGTGTTGTCAAATCCGACTAGCGGCCCTTCAGCTTGCTATGCTCGTCGAGCCATTGGCCAACGAAGAACTTCTTATTCTCAGGCTGAAAAAAATTTGAGGGCATTAGGTGGTGGGTGCTAAGGCTGATTTTTACGGCAGATTCTGGTCGGTTTGTTTGTTCAGGGCAATTTGAGGCTATGTTTAGGGATGAAGTTTTCAGGAAAACTTTCAACTATACATCAGTATTTACGGCTTGATTTAAGCCGGCCGCATTGCCCATCACGCAACCCCTTAGGTGTTCGAGCTTTTCCTTGGCTTGCACAAAATCTACCGAACCTTATATCAAAGTTGTATATGGAATTGTGGTCCACGTCTGCCATTGGTGAAGCAATGCAATCTCTTATAAATGACGAGCCACACCCGATTGAAGGTCTCAGAGACTTGGGTATGAGGTGAAACTAGTCGTGCATGGTGAAAAATCCAATTGGCAGCATGCTATATATCCATTCGCTACTTGAGGACGATGAAAACTCTATGTATTTGTAGAGGGAAATGTTTAAGGGATAAATTGTGAATTTGCAGTGGTATTAATGTTAATCATAGTGCCCCATGTAGTATCAAGATATCCCGGGAGAGTCAAACACGATCCATTTCAATACCCTCGCAGAATCTTCAACCATTTGGGCAATTTCTAGCTTCCTGTTGGTAACCATCTCATCCCAAACTGAAGTTGCCTCTATGCCATTCCACATCCGAGCAAGCATGCAAGCAAGAAGATGAACACCAATCGCCTCTTCACCTGAAGTGACAGCTGCCCACATGCTTGTGCAATCTGCACCTACATAACTTGCGAACACTCCATCCGTAATGTTGGGGCGAGGATTCACAGATTCCAATTTGCATATCTCTGAAACACGAGTCCCATATGCCTTGTAGGGCTCGGATGTTGGGGGGATCTTGGAGGCAAAAAGAGCGCCAAGTTTTCGTGCAGTTTTATGGACCGAACCTTCTTCTGCTGTTGATTTCCGGTGCTTCGAAATCATGCGACCTACCCCTTGAAACTCTGCTGGAGCCTCGAGCTTCACGAGGGTGAAGTCAAAGTTGAGATTCGCCAGGGACACTGCGTTCTCATTGTGCACCGAGGCCAATGCGGTGGTAACCCGGCCGACAGCGTTACTCATTTTGAACAATTCGAGTAGATGGCGGAGGAGATTTGGTATCTAGAAAGGGGTTAACATATGGAGAAATCAAAGGCTTTTCGACAGAACGAGGCTGGAATATGCTTATAAGACGCCGGTGTCGAGGTCCCATGTTCAAAAGCCGCCACATAAATCTGCCTGCATATTGACACGGCATACCAGTATTTGCCTGACCAATCCGGTCAGACTGCACAATTTTTCTACGTTGCCTGTAGATGAAGAGAAATATTCAGCAAGCAACAGCAAATTTGCAGTTGGACGGCAGCTGTCGCTCGCTATACCATTTTTGGGTACTAGCAGTCTGACATCAAATGTATTTTGTGTGTATTTCATTAGCTCTTGACAGCCCCCGCAAAATCTTTCAAAAATAACCATCTCCCCTTCTCCACCCAACCCTTCTCTTTAAAATCATTCGCATACTTCGGGAAGAAATCCACAACATCCAACAAAGTATCATCATGTGCCATGACAACCAATACCTCATCCCTCGCATCCGCTTCCATGACTTTCCCAATTGTCCTCTCCGCTTCATCTGCATCATGCGCTATAGCGCCCCCTCCTTTCGCAATAGTATAGAACGGCTTCGTGCCGTCGCCATCTCTATACAAATCCTCAAACAGAGAGCCAGGACAGGGAGTGCTGCTGCCGAGGCTGAGAGGGTTGGGTGAAATGGATGAGGGAAGAGGTAGGTATTGCGAAGGTCGGAATTCTCCAGCATGGTGGCACGCATCACCTCCCATGAAAATAAAGGTATTCGCTGTGACGCGAGCAAGTCCACAGACATGTCCAATAGCATGACCCGGACTATCCAGTAAATAAAACGACCCGTCGCCGAAATAATCAAAAGCGTTAAAACGTCCAATTTTCAAACCTTGGTCGAAAGAAATCTCGCGCAGTTCTCGGTTTTTATAATCGCTTTCGCGGATAGGAGATTCTTCATTGGCTGGATAGCCTGGCGTGAAAGCGTCTTTGAAACCGGGTCCTACGATGAGTGCGGTGTGAGAGTCAAAGGTCGATGGGTCGCCGAGATCGAAGAGCAGCTTACGGTTTGAGGGGTGCTCGATTAAGAAGGAGAATGCGGGGGCTGCTGTGAGAAGAGTGTGGCCTTTGATTGCGGGTGATACGAAACCCTCGAGGGGGATGCCGGAAATGCGGCTTGTGGTGTCAATTATACGGATGTTGACTGTGGTGGTTGAAGAGGGGATTTTGAGGTCTGGTGGAGGTTGAGCCATTTTGAGATGCTTCTTAGGTAGCGTTTGTGAGGAAATAAGAAGATGGGTGTTGTATAAGAGATCATTGATCGATGTATCAAAGGGAATAATGTGTTTCCCAAGGTATCTATTGAGGACGTCAACGTCTCGAGAGAAGAGGGTCTGCTGGGTGCTCGAGCTGACGTCAGACCATGGTTTGAAATACTACAGTAGGTGAAAGTTTGAAAGAGTAGAGAAGGTCAAAATGTAAAACTGAATCTGGAGGTTCCTAAAGCTGCTCTCGCAGTTTCCTTCTTGAAAATTTGGTAATACAGTCTGCGGGGTGGATTAAGGCTGGCATCAATGCCTCAGCCTCGTGGAATCATGGAAGCGGGGTCGGATTGATAAACGCACGTATAGGATAAATGCGCTCGTTGCATTCTGTCTGAACTTGGACAAGTTTGGTTTAAATAGGTTGTTTCGATTATTTACAGACGTGCTTTTATCAAAATTACATAGGCGAGTCCCGTTAGTCCCCTCCTTCCAATTCCATCTACTTGAATTTTCTTACCGGCCGTGAAAATGTGACTCTTTGGATCACACCCCACACAAGAACTATACCTTGAGTGCCCCTGTCAATACCCCCCTCTCCTTCAAAGCGTACCTTCTAGCTGTACTCTACTCTTCTATTATCTTCAAGATGGTCGTCAAAGAGTATGTGACCTATAACCAGGTTCGTCCATACCCCTCCCTCCCCTCCGAGTCCCTCAAATAACTGACAGCCGCGCGACCAGGTCCACAAATTATGTCAAGAGGCTGCCCCTCGAATTCTCGACGACTTCAAGCCCCAGCTCATAATCGCAATCGGCGGTGGCGGCTACGTCCCTGCTCGTATTCTGCGATCATTTCTCAAGCAGCCTGGCGCGCCCAACATCCCCATCCAAGCCATCGGTCTCTCGCTGTACGAAGAACTACCCTCCAAACATCCCTCGGGATCCAACACACCCGGTGCTGTAGAATTGCCCGGCACGAAGGTTACTCGAACGCAATGGTTGGACTTGACAAGTTTGGGAGAGATGGAGAACTTGGTTGGGAAGAGGATTTTGATTGTTGATGAGGTTGATGATACCAGGACAACATTGGAATATGCTGTGAAGGAATTGGAAAAGGATGTTGAGGCTGCCAGACAAAAGTTGGGTGGGAAGGCAGAGAAGACTGTTTTCTCGATATTTGTGCTTCATGTAAGTGAATCGCGGGAGAGAATGGCTCTTGGAATGGACCTTACTGACTATCTTCTTTACAGAATAAGAATAAAGAGAAGAAGGGTCTTTTGCCGGATGATATGCTCAACGAAAACCGATACTTGGCAGCCAGAACTGTTGGCGATGTTTGGATATGTTATCCTTGGGAGGCTAAAGACATTGAGGAGCATGATGAGTTTGCTAGGAAGCAAGAATCGAAGTAGAGAGACTATATTATACCGGCAGTGTCTGGGCTTATGAATACGTTGGCTCTGAAGCAGAATCCTTTGACCTCAACTCTATGCAAAGTGCAAAGTGCATCCATACTGCCTGTCCTATCCTGTCATACAGTACAGCCGTTGCGATAAGAATAATCTTATCTTAGTGTAGCGTGCACCATCAAAAAGTGGGGGTGGGGTATTTTGAGACCGGGGATGTAGGTCAGACGGACCGACCTGGATACTCTTTTGAGACCATCGAGGGGTTCAAGATCCTTGCAGATTCAGAAATAACGACATATTTGCCGCATATTTGCATTTGACACTTACTAGGTCCATACTTTTGTGCCAACGTCAATTGATATCTATCTTCGATTTCTAAGCACTTTTTGCACTCATATAACCTCCCAATCCTTTCAGTCGATGATACAAATATTATTACCAAGCAGTTGTTAGCCATAACCATTACATCCACAATCATGGGAGAAGCACCACCCCAAGAAAAGGAGCACATCCTCTGCATGTCGCCATTCAAGGAAGACAAGAGCATCACGGATAGCATTAAGAAGAAGCATCCTAATGTTAGCATCACATATCGAGAGTCATACTACAAGAAAGGGACACCGCTAGATACACATATTCCAGACGGTACTACCTCCCCCGCACATCCCATATCAAGTTCTCGACTCCCCAACTGAAAACTTTGCAGAATTATTAAAAGATGCTACTATTCTCGTCACCCTGTTCAAGCTCCCCACACCCAAACAGGCCAAGAATCTCAAGTTCATACATCTCTTCAGTGCCGGCGCTGATCGACTCCCCGAAACGCCGATATGGAAAGAAACCAATATCCCATTCACGAACTCGTCGGGCGTCCACGGACCTCAAATTTCTGAATGGGTGATCTTGCAGATTCTAAGTGCTTCGCATAAGGAGAAAGTGATGGTGGAATGGCAGAAGAAACATATCTGGGGAAACCAGAGCGAGCTGGGCAATTTGCGGGATGGCGTAGGACAACGCCTCGGTGTCCTAGGATACGGAGCTATTGGACGACAAAGTACCCTCTCTCTTTCCTCTCCTTTCCTCTCACACATAACTAACACATCCCAGCTGGACGAATAGCCAAAGCCCTCGGCCTCGACGTAATCGCCTACACAGCCAGCCCCCGCAACACCCCCGAGAGCAAAAAAGACCGCGGATATATCGTCCCCGGCACCGGTGATCCAGATGGTGTTATACCCAGCAAATGGTACAGCGGACTTGACAAAGCATCCCTCCACAACTTCCTCTCACAAGACATTGACATCCTCCTCGTCTCCGTCCCCCTAACGCCCCAAACACGGCATTTTCTCGCCGCCGCCGAATTTGCGATCCTCGGCAAGAAGAACGCCTTCATCGTCAACATCGCTCGCGGCGCGATTATACAACAGGATGATTTAATCACTGCTGTTAAGAAGAGTAAGGACGAGGGGGGTCTGAGGGGCGCGGCGTTGGATGTTACGGATCCAGAACCGCTGCCGGCTGATAGCGAGTTGTGGGATTTGGAGAACGTGGCTATCACGCCGCATGTCAGTGGATTGGGGACGCTGTATGCGCAGAGGAGTTTTGAGATCTTGGAGAGGAATTTGACGAGGTTGGAAGATGGGGATAAGCTTATCAATGTGGTGGATAGGAAGAAGGGGTATTAACTACTTTGGTGTTTGACGGCCTTCTTCCACAGTACCTACCTAGATATATACTCGCGGACGCCTCACATGTAGGCTGGGTGATTTTTGACTCCAATTATTTATTTACGCTAGTTTGCCCCGCTCTGCTCACCATATGAATTCGCGTCTGCCACTTTTTTGGTTTGTTTCCCTTTCAGCCTTGCCTCTCAATGCGCCCCCCCACCCCCTTCTTCAACTGGGGGGGGGGGGCAAGATTGAGTTGCGCGCAAGCCGTTCCTTCTGTCATCTGTCGTTTTTTTGTTCGATTACTTTTGCAAGGCACCAAGGCATGGCGTCCGGGGTGGTCCTTTGTTCGATTTCTCCTGTGGCAATTCCCAGGCATTCACTTAAACTTCCTTTTTTTCTCCCTGGGTAGATACTCCCTCGGATTGAGCAGAACCGGATTCATCAATTTTTTATTGTTCCTCCGCAGTTTCCCAGATCGACTTCACCGACTTGCTCGATCTTCTCTCCTTCCTTCGCACAAAACAAAAACAAAATGCTCACTCCGCGGTTTCCTCTCATAAATCCCGTCGCCTTGTCTCCATGGCCGACCCGGAAGCGGTCTTCATCAATCGTAACTGGCCTCATCGAGTCTACCGTTTGTATAATCAATTACATCGACGTTCGGTAAGTTTGAGCCCCTTTTGGCGGAATGCCAACATTACCCAGGATCATACTGACGGTTGTGCTTGCAGAGAAACGACAGCACTGACCACTAAAGGATTACAAGATGATGCTCCTTCCTAACATATATCAATTCTACGTTGTTGCGTGGGCTCGAGAAGTTTGCTGCAGAATTCTGATGGAACGCTAGTGCTGGCCAAGAATGATTCCTAGCGTTCTATGTCTTAGACTCTTACTTCAAGATCTCATCGTTCGCCCGAGGTATATTTGTGAAATTGGAAAGAACCGCTGAGGCTATTTCGACAATGAAAATGGCAGTCCCAGCTGTCTTTGGTCTTATTCGGGACGCACTTTCTTCGATTCAACTTTACGCTCCTAAACAGAAGGAACATTATGATGGATGCCGCTTGTGTTTCGAGCGCAATGGCGCAATCTTCCGTGGTCACTCAGCACGAATTGATCATCTTGTGGAAGAAACTCTCTTGTGCTTTTGCAAACTCACTCGTCCCAATCTATACAATTCCAACTGTCCGGTCGCTCTCCTCGAAGAATCTCTCAGCCTTGACCTTGATACGTATCCGCAGACTCGCAATTCCTCACGATGAGCCCTGAAACCGAAAAGGCCACAACATCTGTTATTGGGTTATTACAAGCAATTCGGCTATTCAAATCGGCAACTAGTTATATTGTCGATCCTGGCATCGTGAAAATACTAGACAAAGAAAATGACGATGACCTTGCTCGAAGCATACTCCGCAGAACTTCTCAGGGAGGACGCCAGTTACTCCAGACGCGAAACATCTCCGAGCAAATTATTCAAGAACTCCCTCTAGTCTTCAGTCTTCAGTCGACAGTCTGTCAATCTGTCATGTTTCCGATACGAACGCGGTGTCTATTTGATCGTAGCCTCCGTCAAAATGCCAGATAACTCCAAAGATCTTCGCTTGTATGTTGGTTCAGGGAGAGGCAAGGTTGGCATGCGAGGCCGGGGCCAAAATCACACCGACCCTCGATATAGAATGCGAGCAATCAACCGAGGGCATGGAGGCGATGTCTATGAATTCCTCGAGCGCGAGGGTTGCCGGATAGATGTTTATTGCTTGGCTGCTTGGCCAGAATCCGAACTAGGGATTTTCGCAAACGATTCTGCGGATATTCTTCTTGCAGAGGCTACTTTCATCGGACTTCTTGATACATCTGATCGGAGCGCCCTGCGGCCATTCCTTGCCAGCAATCGCTTGTTACCATCCTCCAAGTCTTTTCAGGGTCTGAATGTCGCGTCCGGGCTTGAGCCAGCTAGAAGTCGGTATACGACCAACAATCCTGTAAGAGATGACGCGTTTATGGATGAAGATGACGAAAAGGTCTTGAATGATGGGCTAGATTCTATGTTTAAGGCGGATCGAATCGCGATGGAAAGCGACTTTGATACCTGGTTCAAGACGGCAATGTCAACAATCGCGGCAAGAGAAGCTGCAACACTGAGGAAGAAGTCGGACAACGTCAAACTCCAACAGCAGAAATGGAGAGCCGAACAGCCCGCCGAATTCAACAAAGCACAGAAAAAGGCGAAAACCTCACAGGCACAAGTTTCGCTCGACAAATTTCTCAAAGAAGGTCGGACTCGACAAGTTGTGACTAGGCATCACCGACGCTTTAATATCAAAGGAATGAATTTTCACGTGCCAGGTAGATGCGAAACTCCTGGCGGCGGTCCGGTTACATTAAGACTGAATGTTTTGGCGAATAGGGATATAAGGGATGTAAATAATTTCGGCGGTAAATACCAAGTCACGATGGAGGGAAATGGGGAAACGACATTCTATACCTTGAAGGATTTCTCAAAGGGGTCATCAACTGAGGATGAGATCGTTGCTGGCTTTGATAGATGGTTTGAAGAAGCGGAGATGGTTGGCACTTTCGCACCAGCCGGTTCGGTCGTGAGAAAGCGCAAAATATCCGAAGTTGATGATGAAAGAACATCCTTTTTTTTCTTGTGTGCCCTTAAGGCTTCAACTCCGGGGTTCTTTGTTCCGTTGGCTCAATCCAGAAAGTTTTCATGCTCTTAATTGCCAGCGTTAGTCTACTCTCTCCTCTGACATGTGATCTAAATCTTGCCTATTTGCTGGCGGTATGGCTTTAAAATAACAGAAAAAAGACGCGATTCGCATAAAACCCATCTTGATATTAGTGCTTTAATAATTCAAGACTCAATTTTCGTAGTGACGAAGTATGAAGAAGCATAGCGCTTGGTTAATAGAATTGTAACAATCATGCAACAAAAGCAAGCAGACTCAGCGGAGTAACATGGAAAAGGGGTTACAGCCAAGTGATTAATTCCAAAAGAACTGATATTTGCGCTGTGCATAGGAAGAAGATAAGGGCTAAGAAGAGGAATATGTCACCAGGGGAGACGGAACTAGAAAAGGCAGACTAAGAAGTAGAATCAAGTGCGCATATGTATTATCTAGATCAGACTTTAATACACCAAGTCATATGACTAGAAAGGTCGGGATGCGGTGCGGTTTGGGATGCGGCTTAAGATGCGGTCCTATTATCCCAACAAAAATAAAGCTCGGGAGATTATAGAAAAAAATGAGAAAAAATATATGTCCTTGGAGAGACTCGAACTCTCGACCTTTGGATGGCCAGGCTGTCAACAACCTAATCATATAGATTTATATGAGACCAACGCTCTGTAATGATATTAGTTAGGATTCTAACTGCTGTGATTCTGATGTTCTTACCTAACCAACTGAGCCACAAAGACTGATGTTTTTGACACAGAACTTCTTATCTTAGTAGATACGACCGTCAACAATTTGTCCCGGCAAAGCGAAGCCGGGCGGTGAGGGTGCGTGGGTGTTCAGCAACAATTATGAGCGCTTATTTACTTCTAGAATAGCCTCGTCTTCACTATAAATTAGTTCTAATGCCCTATAATTATATATTTCTATTTTATGCTAAAGTTCTGTATTCTTAAATTTATTGCAAAATTGTAGGCGAGTCAAAGAGTTACAAGTTAGCTAGCTACTAGGGGAGGGAGCGGAGCCTCTAGAAGCCTTTAGCGAAAACTCCACCATAGTGATCCGATCCTTTATGTTTTGACTCCTATAATGCTTTCTCTATAAACACTACTATCCATAAAGCCTTAGACCCTTTAATATTATTATGCTTGCTAAACGCAAAAAGCACTACTTGTTCTCATCAACTTTTAATATCCTACGCCACCTAGCATATTATATGTTCGTGCTGCTTTTTCTGTCCACCACGAGGCTTCTTCCTTTTACAAAGACGGCTGTAAAACACTATAAGGGGTTACTCCTTACCACATATTGCCTTGCAAGTATCTCTCCACTAGATTACCCAGAATCGTAGGAACCTTACTACAATAACGTCTTCGGCGAATACTCGAATGCTAGGTAGGCTTCCAGCATCCCTAACTACTCTTGGAAGTAGCTACTATTTGTACTAAAAATATGGCTACGAGTAGAGGTCATCAAACGCGCAGTTTAGTATAAAGAATCAAAGATCAAGATTAAGTAATATTATATTCCGTAACCATTAGCGGAAACTCGAAGATCATCGACAAAAGAATAGCTGGGAGACAAAGGACGATCTGCAATATAGAGCTTATAGCCCAGACTTTATAAAGGGGGAAGAAGATTAATCCTTGGAGCGTGTATACTTGACTTGGAAGCTATGCTTTTATGGCCTGAAATGAGCTAAGCTGTCTACGAGAGGAAGGGGGTATGGAATAGATGTGAGTGGTCGGCATAATAATTTTCTGGCGGTGGAGCTCATTCCTAAAAGATCTTTAAATGGCCGGCACGAACCGTTCAACAAACTCCAGGTTGTGGGTATCTCGCAATATATATAGAGCATTTAGAATATAAAGAGAGGTATAATTGTAGTCCATAGATTTTGATCAACCTAAGGTAGTACCATAGGGGGTTTGCTTACTAAGAAGGGCTAGCCCCTGGTGCATCATCAATCCCAATCCAATCCAGCCCAGCATCGACGTCGTGAAATTTCAAGGACACATTTCAGCCTCATTACCAACAAACTCAACATCACGCTCCTTTAGCCCTTGATCTATTTCTATTTTTTATAATCCGAATTCTACTTCTTCCGCTCCTTAGCCACTTTTTCGTCATCATGGCTCCCACGACCAAAGACAAATACTCCATCATCCTCCCTACATACAACGAGCGCCGCAATCTGCCCATCATTACATGGTTGCTCAACCGCACCTTCACCGAGCAGTATGCGCGTCCCATTACTTATCCAACCCCCGGACACTGACAACTCCTGCAGAAACCTCGACTGGGAACTCATCATCGTTGACGACGGCAGCCCCGATGGCACCCAAATCGTCGCAAACCAACTCGCGAAAGCCTACAGCCCACACGTCCTCCTGAAAGCGCGCGCTGGAAAGCTGGGCTTGGGAACAGCATACGTACACGGCCTGCAGTTCGTGAGTGGCAACTATGTCATAATCATGGATGCGGATTTCTCCCACCACCCGAAATTCATCTCGCAGATGATCGCGAAGCAAAAGACGCTCCCGACGAACGGCGGCTATGATATCGTAACCGGTACACGGTATGCTGGAGATGGAGGCGTATACGGATGGGATTTGAAGCGGAAGCTGGTTTCGAGGGGAGCAAACCTTTTCGCGGATACGGTGCTTCGACCTGGTGTTAGTGATTTGACTGGCAGTTTCCGGTTGTATAAGAGGGCTGTTTTGCAGAAAGTCATCGAGAGTACGGAGAGTAAGGGATACACATTTCAGATGGAGATGATGGTTCGGGCAAAGGCGATGGGCTGTACGGTTGCGGAGGTCCCGATCACGTTTGTGGATCGTCTCTACGGTGATTCGAAATTAGGCTCTCAGGAGGTGGCCGAATATGCTATGGGGGTTTTGAGATTGTGGATGAAGGTTTAGAGCAAAGTTTTATTTCTTCATAATCTAGAGCTACCCTTTCTACCATATCAATCGACAGTGTCGATTTTATCTACTTTCAAGCACTTCTATGTTAAGCATAATATACCCAGCACTACTGACGAATAAGCAAATCGGACGTCGTCGAACCCCACAACTAGAAATAATACAGCTCTACCACTTAAGATTTCGAAAACTCCTGCGCAACATTGACCTTTTGGTTTACGCTTTTGACACCCAGTGCAGACCTCTTCTGCTTCTTCGTAGGCGGAGCGCCGTCCTTTGCAAAGCTACCGACCTCAACCGATAAGCCGTGAGTTTCAACCAGATGTCTCGCCAAGCTCTCCTGATTGAGTTCCTCCATCAGATCACAAAGAGCAGGAACCCCGTTCGCAGATGCAGAGCTAGCAGGGCAGAGCACAGATTGGACGCCGTCCATAGCCTTTAGATGTCCTTCGATATGTGCAATGTATGGTCTCATATCAGCAAACTCGTAGAATTGGGTCGTCAGCCCAGCCCGGTCGTCAAAGAGACAGAAGATACAGAAGGACGGATGCGCCCATCTGTAGCTTTCGAAGACACCTGCGAATCCGTGGCTTGCAATAGCAGATTGGACATCGTCGATATGTCCCCTCAGGTGCTCCTGTTCAAGACATTCTGTCCGAGGAATCCACACCTGGCAAAGTTTGCACCAGAATACCAAGATATCCGGATTGATGACACCCCCAGCTGATTTGAGGGGTAAGATCTTCGATGGTGCTGCGTGCTCGGTAATCAGATGTACTCGAAAGTCATGGAGACTGTCGTAGTCGGTAGCATGGTCAAAGCAGACATACTCTTTCGACTTTGCTTGATGAGCATGCTTGGAATGAGATCTATGCGAACTAGTATCGTCGTTGTACTTGTACGTGCAAGGCTTTTTTCTGCCTGGTACAGTCATGGAGCAAGTTGTGCAGGCTGGAATTGTGCTCTCCTTCTCCTTCAAACTTTCCATGGTGAGCTGTGCCATTGTTCTCCCTTGACACAATACAACATGTTCGTTCTCATGGAGCATGCCGATGAGAGATTCGTCGCAGGCAATACAAGACAGAGTGCCAGGGTGTGGCTCTTGGTTGGGGTAGAATCGGTCTGCACAGTGAAGATGGTTGAGCTTTGTGACCATGTTGCTCGCAAACTCAGTTTCCGAGAGAGAGGACGGTTGATCATACAAGAGCTCCGAGAGATCAGATAGGAGAGAGTGTCGTGCAAGTGGTCTGGCAGCAAACTTGTTGGCAGATTTGGCTACAATGACAGGGTCTCCATTCGATTGGACGGCGTCCGATTCCAAAGCATCAAGGTCTGCGGTCAGGGTATCTGCTGATCTCTCCATGTCATTCTCGTTCTCGTCAAGCAGAACAGGGTCGATCTGCTCAAGGTTCGCGTCTTCCACATCTGCTGCCTCTATCATCTCAGACACTTGAGAAGCTTTGTGCTCCAGCTCGGGCGGCTGCTCTTGAATCTGCTTTGGAGAGTCTCCGCCAACTTTAAAGAATTCTTTCCACTCAACTTGGAATTGCTTGTTCAGTAGATGCCCTTCCCTCTTTACATACATATCTTTGACCTTGCGGTATTGCGAGATCAGGTCTGAATCAGGGGTGCCGATTAGCGAAGCATCGAGAGAGCCATACTTCTCAATGAGCTGATCACCAAGGGAGCATTGTTGATCCAGGAGCTCCATCAGCTCTTTATCCTGGTGCACATCTTGTATCCCTTGGTCGGAGACACGGTCTGGCGGTTGTGAGGTTCTGTTCAGGAGTGCACTGGACATTCGTACGACAGACTTCTCGTCTAAGCCAAGGCGAAATGCTTGAAAATCTATGGACGACGTGGTATTGCGATATGCTGCCCAGTATGTGCCATCAGCATCACTATGGCCCATGCGAGCACAGCGCTCCTCCTTTGAAGCTTTCAATGCAAGAATGTATGCCCCCCCACGGCGGAGCGCACCGGCCATCATTTTGTTCTCGAGCCCCATGTGTCGGCTGAGGTCATTAAGCTGTTTTGTGAACTGCTGATATCGCATGACGTCGTTCTCGATCAATGGTGTGTTTGCAACCGGCTTACGAAGAGCATTGCGAAGTACCTTTATGTAAGATGTAAGCATGGTGTCACACAGATTTGTAGGGAAGCGCTGCAACTCACTGGTGTCTCCATCTTGTCAGGTCTGATGTGGATTCTTGTCCCACCCGCTTCGCATCGGACAGCGTCCAAATCTGCCCAGCTGGTGATGTTGTGGAAGACTTGGTCGATTAGACCTAATATCAAAAGCCATCGTAGACTGTCCTCTGCAGCGAGGTGCAATGGAAGTAGTCGAAGAGGGATGCACTTCTCCCTATTGCCCTTCTGACCTGTGTTCTTCAGACCCGAGAAGGTTAGCCGTGCCTCGAGTTCAGCTTTACCATCTGGACCTGGGAATGCAAAAAGCTCGACATGTTGCCAAGTGAAGATCTTCTCGGGATTTTCCGACTTCCACGTCTCCCAATCCTCATATGACATCGATGGTCTCGTGAGCTCGCTGATGCGCCCATTGCAATCGATCATCAGATTGATAACAAGAGCAAAGGTTAGAATATCGCGAGTGGTGAGCTGTGAAGAGCAGTATGTAGGATCGAAGAAGGAGCGCAAGCACTGTGATACATCCTTTGGCGTAGCAACATGCTTCTTCCTCTGCTCGTAATGGGTCAGACCACGTCTGACCATGTTTGCCCGGACCCATGAGAGTGTGTTCTTCTTGATAGTCTTGTCGACAGGGTTCTTCGCAATCTTTGCCGCTCCAAAGAGGCCGAGCAACACCTTTTCCAAAGAGCGTACAGAAGGAGTGTCCCGGATGGTACTATGCATTGTCGCTGCATAAGGCTCGATGAAGGCTTTTAAGACCTTGAAGGTGAATTGAGGACCTCGGGCGGTGAAGAAAGCCTCAGTTTGCTCGAGAGTCTCGACAATCTTAACGTCAGGACCGCTGGCCATCTCGATGAACGTAGCTTTGCATCTAGCATGTTGATTTCTCGTTTGAATGCTGAGTTTAATTTCGACTTCATCATCCCATTCTCGATTGATGAAACGATCCTCGGGAGCTTTGGCAGCCTCGCTTTCCTTGAGCTTCTTTGCGCGTCTTGCAGCGTAGAAGGAACGTGGTGGCATCTTGACAAATCAAGTGTCAAATTGGACGGCGTCTAAACAGCTCAGATAGAGATCAAATCATGGATGAAGGATGGAGAATAAGGGAAGGAAGGAGTAGTATTCTCACAGTCTTCCGTGGTACGAGACGCGTTGGGCAGGAGCTCTGATGTACCTCATGAAAAGGGAAGTCACCACCCTCCCCCTTTTGGAATTAGTACCTTGGATTGCTCGCATTTAGCTCACCTGTTATCTAGTTAATCAATTGGTTTTGACTCGTTTCTAGTTTCAGGAAACCCTTAAAATCGCCTTCCTTCCTATGCCTGGCTATAGTTATCCGTGTACGATCGCGTAGCCAGTCACTCAGTCTCTCACTCAGCCCTTAGTCCTCAGTCCTCTCTCAACCCTCTCTCTCGGCCAGCGAAGACGGATCTCTCTGCCTGTACGCGGCGCTGGCTACGAACTGGCGATGCTTTCAACAAGTATTCGTCTAAGCTGAAGAGAGAACGCATTCGGCCACCTGTCCTCTTAAAGTACCTACCTACCTACCTTTACCGACTACACGCAAAGCCCTTGACGACAAGGCCGCATACTACGAACATACACTTGCAGATATAGGGAGGAAGACTTGGAGACTCGAGGCGCGTAGACTATTGCAGGAACTGCCACCTAGCAATCACGTCCTAAGTCGCGCCCTATAGAGACGTTGTGAACCTCATTTGAGAGCAAAGCTGATTACATATACCCGGAAGGAGGAAAGGTGGAGCGTTCTACAGGTTAGAGAGAATAGGTTTGCTTGTAGAAGGCAGGACATATATAGACGCGTAGGAGGGGGTTCTGCGAGTAGCAGTAGGGGGTTAGGGAAGGAAGGAAGGGAGAAAGAGATATGGAAGGCCTTGATATTAGCTAGCAGGGAGGAAAAGAGAACTGGACGCTTTCCAAAACAAACTACTTAACTTATCTACGGAGTGTTTTCCCCCTGTCTTCCTAGCTAGTCACGCCCTAATGCCCCCTGGGAGGCTTGGATGAAGTCTATATAGCTTCTCCCCCCGGCGTTAAACACCACTAAACTAAACTAAAACCCTCTCTCTCGGCCCCCACGGCAGTGCCCCCGGAGCCAGCGGAG